AATTTTTAAACTTGAGAATCAGTTGTTGGTTGAATTTGAATTTGTGGTTTTTGTTGAACTTGAGTTTGTGGTGTTTTTGAACTTGAGTCTGTGTTTTTTAACTTGAGGTTGTTGAAATTGTTAAACTTGAGAATTGGGTTTTGGTTGAACTTGAGTTTTTGTTGTTTTTGAACTTGAGTTTGTGTCGTGTTTGAACTTGAGTTTGTGGTGATTTTGAACTTGAGTTTGGTTTGTGTTTGAACTTGAGTTTGTGTGTTGGTTTGAACTTGAGTTTGTTTCATGTTAGAACTAAAGTTTGTGGCGTTTGTTTAAATTGAGTTTGTGTCATGTTTGAACTTTATGAGTTTATGGTGTATTTGAACTTGAGTTTGTGTGTTTTTGAACTTGAGGTTGTGGCAATTTATAAACCTGAGATTTGGGTATTGGTTGAACTTGAGTTAGTGTGTTTGTTGAACTTGAGTTTGTGTTGTGTTTGAACTTGAGTTTGTGTGTTTGTTGAACTTGGTTTTGTGTTGTGTTTGAACTTGAGTTTGTGGTGTTTTTGAACTTGAGTTTGTTTCGTGCTTGAACTTGAATTTGTGGCGTTTGTTGAACTTGAGTTTGTGGTGTTTTTGAACTTGAGTTAATTGAGTTTTTGAACTTGAGTTTGTGGTGTTTTTGAACTTGAGTTTGTGGTGTTTTTGAACTTGAGTTAATGGTGTTTTTGAACTTGAGTTTGTGGTGTTTTTGGACTTGAGTTAATTGAGTTTTTGAACTTGAGTTTGTGGTGTTTTTGAACTTGAGTTTGTGGTGTTTTTGAACTTGAGTTAATGGTGTTTTTGAACTTGAGTTTGTGGTGTTTTTGGACTTGAGTTTGTGTGTTTGTTGAACTTGAGTTTGTGTCACGTTTGAACTTGAGTTTGTGGTGTTTTTGAAATTGAGTTTGCGTGTTTGAACTCTATTTAGTGGCATTTGTTGAACTTGAGTTTGTGTCGTGTTTGAATTTGAGTTTGTGGCGTGTTTGACTTTGAGTTTGTGGTGTGTTTGAACTTGAGTTTGTGTGTTTGTTGAACTTGAGGTTGTGGCAATTTTTAAACTTGAGATTTGGATGTTGGTTGAACTTGAGTTTGTGTTGTGTTTGAACTTGAGTTCGTGTTGTTTTTTTAACTTGAGTTTGTGAAAATTTTTAAACTTGAGAATCAGGTGTTGGTTGAACTTGAGTTTGTGGTTTTTGTTGAACCTGATTTTGTGTTGTGTTTGAACTTGAGTTTGTGGTGTTTTTGAACTTGAGTTTGTGTGTTTGTTTAACTTTAGTTTGTGTTGTGTTTAAACTTGAGTTTGTGGTGTTTTTAAACTTGAGTTTGCATGTTTGGTGAACTTGAGGGTGTGGAATTTGTTAAACTTGAGAATTGTGTATTGTTTGAACTTGAGTTTGTGTGTTTGTTGAACTTCGATGGTGTCGTGTTTTTTAACTTGAGTTAGTTGTGTGTTTGAACTTGAGTTTGTGTGTTTGTTGAACTTGAGGTTGTGTCAATTGTTAAACTCGAGATTTGTGTGTTTGTTGAACTTGAGTTTGTGTTGTGTTTGAACTTGAGCTCATGTTGTTTGTTGAACTTGAGTTTGTGTGTTTTTTTAACATGAGGTTGTGAAAATTTTTAGTTGAGAATCAGTTGTTGGTTGAATTTGAATTTGTGGTTTTTGTTGAACTTGAGTTTTTGTTGTTTTTGAACTTGAGTTTGTGTCAAGTTTGAACTTGAGTTTGTGTCGTGTTTGAACTTGAGTTTGTGGTGTTTTTGAACTTAAGTTTGGTTTGTGTTTGAACTTGAGTTTGTGTGTTGGTTTGAACTTGAGTTTGTTTCATGTTAGAACTAAAGTTTGTGGCGTTTGTTTAAATTGAGTTTGTGTCATGTTTGAACTTTGAGTTTATGGTGTATTTGAACTTGAGTTTGTGTGTTTTTGAACTTGAGGTTGTGGCAATTTATAAACCTGAGATTTGGGTATTGGTTGAACTTGAGTTAGTGTGTTTGTTGAACTTGAGTTTGTGTTGTGTTTGAACTTGAGTTTGTGTGTTTGTTGAACTTGGGTTTGTGTTGTGTTTGAACTTGAGTTTATGGTGTTTTTGAACTTGAGTTTGTTTCGTGCTTGAACTTGAATTTGTGGCGTTTGTTGAACTTGAGTTTGTGGTGTTTTTGAACTTGAGTTGATTGTGTTTTTGAACTTGAGTTTGTGGTGTTTTTGAACTTGAGTTTGTGGTGTTTTTGAACTTGAGTTAATGGTGTTTTTGAACTTGAGTTTGTGGTGTTTTTGGACTTGAGTTTGTGTGTTTGTTGAACTTGAGTTTGTGTCACGTTTGACCTTGAGTTTGTGGTGTTTTTGAAATTGAGTTTGCGTGTTTGAACTCTATTTAGTGGCATTTGTTGAACTTGAGTGTGTGTCGTGTTTGACTTTGAGTTTGTGGCATGTTTGACCATGAGTTTGTGGTGTGTTTGAACTTGAGTTTGTGTGTTTGTTGAACTTGAGGTTGTGGCAATTTTTAAACTTGAGTTTGTGTGTTGGTTGAACTTGAGTTTGTGTTGTGTTTGAACTTGAGTTTGTGAACATTTTTAAACTTGAGAATCAGGTGTTGGTTGAACTTGAGTTTGTGGTTTTTGTTGAACCTGATTTTGTGTTGTGTTTGAACTTGAGTTTGTGGTGTTTTTGAACTTGAGTTTGTGTGTTTGTTGAACTTGAGTTTGTGTTGTGTTTAAACTTGAGTTTGTGGTGTTTTTGAACTTGAGTTTGCATGTTTGGTGAACTTGAGGGTGTGGAATTTGTTAAACTTGAGAATTGTGTATTGTTTGAACTTGAGTTTGTGTGTTTGTTGAACTTCCATGGTGTCGTGTTTTTTAACTTGAGTTAGTTGTGTGTTTGAACTTGAGTTTGTGTGTTTGTTGAACTTGAGGTTGTGTCAATTGTTAAACTCGAGATTTGGGTGTTGGTTGAACTTGAGTTTGTGTCATTTTTGAACATGAGTTTGTGTTGATTGTTGAACTTGAGTTTGTGTGTTTTTTGAACTTTAGTTTGTGTCGTGTTTGAACTTGTGAATGTTGTGTATTTGAGCTTCAGTCTGTGTTGTTTTTTAACTTGATGTTGTGGAATTGTTAAACTTGAGAATCAGGTGTTGGTTGAACTTGAGTTTTTGTTGTTTCTGAACATTATTTTGTGGTGTTTTTGAACTTGAGGGTGTGGAATTTGTTAAACTTGAGAATTTGGTATTGGTTGAACTTGAGTTTGTGTTTGTTCAACTTGAGTTTGTGTCATGTTTGAACTTGAGTTTGTGGTGTTTTTGAACTTGAGTTTGTGTCATGTTAGAACTTGAGCTCATGTTGTTTGTTGAACTTGAGTTTGTGTTGTTTTTTAACTTGAGGGTGTGAAAATTTTTAAACTTGAGAATCAGTTGTTGGTTGAATTTGAATTTGTGGTTTTTGTTGAACTTGAGTTTGTGGTGTTTTTGAACTTGAGTCTGTGTTTTTTAACTTGAGGTTGTTGAAATTGTTAAACTTGAGAATTGGGTTTTGGTTGAACTTGAGTTTTTGTTGTTTTTGAACTTGAGTTTGTGTCGTGTTTGAACTTGAGTTTGTGGTGTTTTTGAACTTGAGTTTGGTTTGTGTTTGAACTTGAGTTTGTGTGTTGGTTTGAACTTGAGTTTGTTTCATGTTAGAACTAAAGTTTGTGGCGTTTGTTTAAATTGAGTTTGTGTCATGTTTGAACTTTGAGTTTATGGTGTATTTGAACTTGAGTTTGTGTGTTTTTGAACTTGAGGTTGTGGCAATTTATAAACCTGAGATTTGGGTATTGGTTGAACTTGAGTTAGTGTGTTTGTTGAACTTGAGTTTGTGTTGTGTTTGAACTTGAGTTTGTGTGTTTGTTGAACTTGGGTTTGTGTTGTGTTTGAACTTGAGTTTGTGGTGTTTTTGAACTTGAGTTTGTTTCGTGCTTGAACTTGAATTTGTGGCGTTTGTTGAACTTGAGTTTGTGGTGTTTTTGAACTTGAGTTAATTGAGTTTTTGAACTTGAGTTTGTGGTGTTTTTGAACTTGAGTTTGTGGTGTTTTTGAACTTGAGTTAATGGTGTTTTTGAACTTGAGTTTGTGGTGTTTTTGGACTTGAGTTTGTGTGTTTGTTGAACTTGAGTTTGTGTCACGTTTGAACTTGAGTTTGTGGTGTTTTTGAAATTGAGTTTGCGTGTTTGAACTCTATTTAGTGGCATTTGTTGAACTTGAGTTTGTGTCGTGTTTGAATTTGAGTTTGTGGCGTGTTTGACTTTGAGTTTGTGGTGTGTTTGAACTTGAGTTTGTGTGTTTGTTGAACTTGAGGTTGTGGCAATTTTTAAACTTGAGATTTGGATGTTGGTTGAACTTGAGTTTGTGTTGTGTTTGAACTTGAGTTCGTGTTGTTTTTTGAACTTGAGTTTGTGAAAATTTTTAAACTTGAGAATCAGGTGTTGGTTGAACTTGAGTTTGTGGTTTTTGTTGAACCTGATTTTGTGTTGTGTTTGAACTTGAGTTTGTGGTGTTTTTGAACTTGAGTTTGTGTGTTTGTTGAACTTAAGTTTGTGTTGTGTTTAAACTTGAGTTTGTGGTGTTTTTGAACTTGAGTTTGCATGTTTGGTGAACTTGAGGGTGTGGAATTTGTTAAACTTGAGAATTGTGTATTGTTTGAACTTGAGTTTGTGTGTTTGTTGAACTTCGATGGTGTCGTGTTTTTTAACTTGAGTTAGTCGTGTGTTTGAACTTGAGTTTGTGTGTTTGTTGAACTTGAGGTTGTGTCAATTGTTAAACTCGAGATTTGGGTGTTGGTTGAACTTGAGTTTGTGTCATTTTTGAACATGAGTTTGTGTTGATTGTTGAACTTGAGTTTGTGTGTTTTTTGAACTTTAGTTTGTGTCGTGTTTGAACTTGTGAATGTTGTGTATTTGAGCTTCAGTCTGTGTTGTTTTTGAACTTGATGTTGTGGAATTGTTAAACTTGAGAATCAGGTGTTGGTTGAACTTGAGTTAGTGGGGTTTTTTTACTTGAGTTTGTGTCGTGTTTGAACTTGAGTGTGTTGTGTATTTTAACTTCAGTCTGTGTTGTTTTTGAACTTGAGGTTGTGGATTTGATAAACTTGAGAATTGTGTATTGGTTGAACTTGAGTTTTTGTTGTTTCTGAACTTTAGTTTGTGGTGTTTTTGAACTTGAGGGTGTGGAATTTGTTAAACTTGAGAATTTGGTATTGGTTGAACTTGAGTTTGTGTTTGTTGAACTTGAGTTTGTGTCATGTTTGAACTTGAGTTTGTGGTGTTTTTGAACTTGAGTTTGTGTCATGTTTGAACTTGAGTTTGTGGTGTTTTTTAACTTGAGTTTGTGTTGTTTTTTAACTTGAGGGTGTGGAATTTGTTTAACTTGAGAATTGGGTACTGGTTGAACTTGAGTTTGTGTGTTTGTTGAACTTGAGTTTGTGGTGTGTTTGAACTTGAGTTTGTGTGTTGGTTGAACTTGAGTTTGTGTTGTGTTTGAACTTGAGCTCATGTTGTTTGTTGAACTTGAGTTTGTGTGTTTTTTTAACTTGAGGTTGTGAAAAATTTTAAACATGGGAATCAGTTGTTGGTTGAATTTGAGTTTGTGGTTTTTGTTGAACTTGAATTTGTGGTGTTTTTGAACTTGAATTTCTGTTGTTTTTCAATTTGAGATTGTGGAAATTGTTAAACTTGAGAATCAGGTGTTGGTTAAATTTGAATTTGTGATTATGTTGAACTTGAGTTTGTGTCATTTCTGAAATTGATTTTGTGGTGTTTTTGAACTTGAGTTTGTGTGTTTGTTGAACTTGAGTTTGTGTTGTGTTTGAACTTGAGTTTGTGGTGTTTTTGAACTTGAGTTTGTGTGTTTGTTGAACTTGAGTTTGTGTTGTGTTTGAACTTGAGTATGTGTTGTTTTTGAACTTGAGTTTCTGTTGTTTTTGAACTTGATTTTGTGGAAATTGTTAAACTTGAGAATAAGGTGATGGTTGAACTTGAGTTTGTTGAACTTGAGTTTGTGTCGTTTTTGAACTTGAGTTCATGGTGTTTTTGAAATTTAGTTTGTGGCGTTTGTTGAACTTGAGTTTGTGTCGTGTTTGAAGTTGAGTTTGTGGTGTTTTTGAACTTGAGTTTGTGTGTTTGTTGAACTTGAGTTTCTTTTGTTTTTGAACTTGAATTTGTTTCATGTTTAAACTTGAGTTTATGTTTTTTTTGAACTTGAGTTTGTGTTGTTTTTGAACTTGAGGTTGTAGCAATTTTTAAACGTGGGATTTGGGTGTTGGTTGAACTCTAGTTTGTGGTTTTTGTTAAACTTGAGTTTGTGTCGTGTTTCAACTTTAGTTTGTGGTGTTTTTGAACTTGAGGTTGTGTTGTTTTTGAACTTGAGGTTGTAGCAATTGTTAAACTTGAGATTTGGGTGTTGGTTGAACTTAATAGTTTGACATTTGTTGAACTTGAGTTTGTGGTTTTTGTTGAACTTTAGTTGTTGGCAATTTTTGAACTTGAGTGTTTGGCGTTTGTTTAACTTAAGTTTGTGATGTGTTTGAACTTGAGTTTTTTTTTTTAACTAGGGATTGTGGTGCTTTTGAACTTGAGTTTGTGGCTTTTTTGAACTTGAGTTTGTGGTGTTTTTGAACTTGAGTTTGTGGTGTTTTTGAACTTGAGGTTGTGGAAATTGTTAAATTTGAGATTTGGGTATTGGTTGAACTTTAGTTTTTTGTGTTTTTGAACTTGAGTTTGTGTGTTTGAACTTGAGTTTGTGGAAATTGTTAAACTTGAGAATCAGGTTTTGGTTAAACTTGAATTTGTGTTTTTTAAACTTGAGTTTGTGTCATTTTTTTAAATTGAGTTTGTGGTGTTTTTGAACTTGAGTTTGTGTGTTTGTTGAACTTGAGTTTGTGTTGTTTTTGAACTTGAGTTTGCGTTTTTTTAACTTGAGTTTTTGGTGTTTTTGAACTTGAGGGTGTGGAATTTGTTAAGCTTAACAATTGGGTATATGTTGAACTTTAATTTCTGTTTGTTGAACTTAAGTTTGTGTCATGTTTGAAATTGAGTTTGTAGTGTTTCTTGAACTTGAGGGTATGGAATTTGTTAAGGAAGCCCGAACACCCCAAATATTTTTTTTTCATTTTTCTTTTTTTTTAGGTCTAACTCCAATAGGTTGGAAAAGAGTTCCTACAGAGGTTTAGGACAGTGATTTTAACCTTGACGCCAAAAACCTTAAACCTTACCCTAGCCCCATAACCTTATACTCGGGTATTACCTTAAGGAAGCCCGAACACCCCAAACATTTTTTTTTATTTTTCTTTTTTTTTAGGTCTAACTAACTCCAAAAGGTTGGAAAAGAGTTCCTTCAAAGGTTTTGGACAGTGATTTTAACCCTAATGCCAAAAACCTTAAACCATACCAAAGCCCCATAATCTAATACCCGAACACCCCAAATATTTCTTTTTCATTTTACAATTTTTTTTTTGGTGTAACTAACTCCATAAGGTCTGAAACATGTTCCTTAAAAGGTTTTGGACAGTGATTTTAACCCTAACGCCAAAAACATTAAACCTTTCCCTAGCCCCATAACCTAATACCCGGGTATTACCTTCAGGAAGCCCGAACACCCCAAATATTTCTTTTCATTTTCCATTTTTTTTGTTGTAACCAATTCCAAATGGTTTGAAACATGTTCCTAAAAAGGTTTTGGACAGTGATTTTAACCCTAAAGCCTGAAACCTTAGACTTTACCCTGGCCCCATTACCTAATACCCGGGTATTACCTTCAGAATGCCCGAACACCCCAAACATTTTTTTTTCATTTTTCGTTTTTTTTAGGTCTAACTAACTCCAAAAGGTTGGAAAAGAGTTCCTACAAAGGTTTTGGACAGTGATTTTAACCCTAAAGCCAAAAACCTTAAACCTTACCCTAGCCCCATAACCTTATACCCGGGTATTACCTTAAGGAAGCCCGAACACCCCAAATATTTTTTTTTCATTTTACAATTTTTTTTGTTGTAACTTACTCCATCAGGTCTGAAACATGTTCCTAAAAAGGTTTTGGACAGTGATTTTAACCCTAACGCCAAAAACCTTAAACCTTACCCTAGCCCCATAACCTAATACCCGGGTATTACCTTAAGGAAGCCCGAACACCCCAAATATTTTTTTTTCATTTTTCTTTTTTTTTAGGTCTAACTAACTCCAAAAGGTTGGAAAAGAGTTCCTACAAAGGTTTTGAACAGTGATTTTAACCCTAATGCCAAAAACCTTAAACCATACCAAAGCCCCATAATCTAATACCCGGGTATTACCTTCAGGAATCCTGAGCACCCCAAATATTTCTTTTTCATTTTACAATTTTTTTTTGTTGTAACTTACTCCATCAGGTCTGAAACATGTTCCTTAAAAGGTTTTGGACAGTGATTTTAACCCTAACGCCAAAAAGATTAAACCTTTCCCTAGCCCCATAACCTAATACCCGGGTATTACCTTCAGGAAGCCCGAACACCCCAAATATATTTTTTTCATTTTCCATTTTTTTTGTTGTAACCAATTCCAAATGGTTTGAATCATGTTCCTAAAAAGGTTTTGGACAGTGATTTTAACCCTAAAGCCTCAAACCTTAAATCTTACCATAGCCCCATAATCTAATATCCGGGTATTACCTTCAGGAAGCCCGAACACCCCAAATATTTCTTTTTCATTTTACAATTTTCTTTTTGGTGTAACTAACTCCATAAGGTCTGAAACATGTTCCTAAAAAGGTTTTGGACAGTGATTTTAACCCTAACGCCAAAAACATTAAACCTTTCCCTAGCCCCATAACCTGATACCCGGGTATAACCTTCAGGAAGCCCGAACACCCCAAATATATTTTTTTCATTTTCCATTTTTTTGTTGTAACCAATTCCAAATGGTTTGAAACATGTTCCTAAAAAGGTTTTGGACAGTAATGTTAACCCTAAAGCCTAAAACCTTAAACTTTACCAAAGCCCCATTACCTAATACCCGGGTATTACCTTCAGGAAGCCCGAACACCCCAAATATTTCTTTTTCACTTTACAATTTTCTTTTTGGTGTAACTAACTCCATAAGGTCTGAAACATGTTCGTAAAAAGGTTTTGGACAGTGATTTTAACCCTAACGCCAAAAACCTTAAACCTTACCCTAGCCCCATAACCTAATACCCGGGTATAACCTTCAGGAAGCCCGAACACCCCAAATATATTTTTTTCATTTTCCATTTTTTTTGTTGTAACCAATTCCAAATGGTTTGAAACATGTTCCTAAAAAGGTTTTGGACAGTAATGTTAACCCTAAAGCCTAAAACCTTAAACTTTACCAAAGCCCCATTACCTAATACCCGGGTATTACCTTCAGGAAGCCCGAACACCCCAAATATATTTTTTTCATTTTAACATTTTTTTGTGTAACTAACTCCAAAAGGTCTGAAACATGTTCCTAAAAAGGTTTTGGACAGTGATTTTAACCCTAACCCAAAAAACCTTAAACCTTTCCAAAGCCCCATAACCTAATACCCGGGTATTACCTTCAGGAAGCCCGAACACCCCAAACATTTTTTTTCATTTTTCGTTTTTTTTAGGTCTAACTAACTCCAAAGGGTTGGACAAGAGTTCCTACAAAGGTTTTGGACAGTGATTTTAACCTTAACGCCAAAAAGATTAAACCTTTCCCTAGCCCCATAACCTAATACCCGGGTATTACCTTAAGGAAGCCCGAACACCCCAAATATTTTTTTTTCATTTTTCTTTTTTTTTAGGTCTAACTAACTCCAAAAGGTTGGAAAAGAGTTCCTACAAAGGTTTTGGACAGTGATTTTAACCCTAATGCCAAAAACCTTAAACCATACCAAATCCCCATAATCTAATACCCGGGTATTACCTTCAGGAAACCCAAACACCCCAAATATTTCTTTTTCATTTTACAATTTTTTTTTGGTGTAACTAACTCCATAAGGTCTGAAAAATGTTCCTTAAAAGGTTTTGGACAGTGATTTTAACCCTAACGCCAAAAATATTAAACCTTTCCCTAGCCCCATAACCTAATACCCGGGTATTACCTTCAGGAAGCCCGAACACCCCAAATATTTCTTATTCATTTTCCATTTTTTTTGTTGTAACCAATTCCAAATGGTTTGAAACATGTTCCTAAAAAGGTTTTGGACAGTGATTTTAACCCTAAAGCCTAAAACCTTAAACTTTACCCTAGCCCAATTACCTAATACCCGGGTATTACCTTCAGGAAGCCGGAACACCCCAAACATTTTTTTTCATTTTTCGTTTTTTTTAGGTCTAACTGACTCCAAAGGGTTGGAAAAGAGTTCCTACAAAGGTTTTGGACAGTGATTTTACCTTAACGAAGCCCGAACACCCCAAACATTTCTTTTTCATTTTACAATTTTTTTTTTGGTGTAACTAACTCCATAAGGTCTGAAACATGTTCCTTAAAAGGTTTTGGACAGTGATTTTAACCCTAACGCCAAAAACATTAAACCTTTCCCTAGCCCCATAACCTAATACCCGGGTATTACCTTCAGGAAGCCCGAACACCCCAAATATTTCTTTTCATTTTCCATTTTTTTTGTTGTAACCAATTCCAAATGGTTTGAAACATGTTCCTAAAAAGGTTTTGGACAGTGATTTTAACCCTAAAGCCTGAAACCTTAGACTTTACCCTGGCCCCATTACCTAATACCCGGGTATTACCTTCAGAATGCCTGAACACCCCAAACATTTTTTTTTCATTTTTCGTTTTTTTTATGTCTAACTAACTCCAAAAGGTTGGAAAAGAGTTTCTACAAAGGTTTTGGACAGTGATTTTAACCCTAAAGCCAAAAACCTTAAACCTTACCCTAGCCCCATAACCTTATACCCGGGTATTACCTTAAGGAAGCCCGAACACCCCAAATATTTTTTTTTCATTTTTCTTTTTTTTTAGGTCTAACTAACTCCAAAAGGTTGGAAAAGAGTTCCTACAAAGGTTTTGAACAGTGATTTTAACCCTAATGCCAAAAACCTTAAACCATACCAAAGCCCCATAATCTAATACCCGGGTATTACCTTCAGGAATCCTGAGCACCCCAAATATTTCTTTTTCATTTTACAATTTTTTTTTGTTGTAACTTACTCCATCAGGTCTGAAACATGTTCCTTAAAAGGTTTTGGACAGTGATTTTAACCCTAACGCCAAAAAGATTAAACCTTTCCCTAGCCCCATAACCTAATACCCGGGTATTACCTTCAGGAAGCCCGAACACCCCAAATATATTTTTTTCATTTTCCATTTTTTTTGTTGTAACCAATTCCAAATGGTTTGAATCATGTTCCTAAAAAGGTTTTGGACAGTGATTTTAACCCTAAAGCCTCAAACCTTAAATCTTACCATAGCCCCATAATCTAATATCCGGGTATTACCTTCAGGAAGCCCGAACACCCCAAATATTTCTTTTTCATTTTACAATTTTCTTTTTGGTGTAACTAACTCCATAAGGTCTGAAACATGTTCCTAAAAAGGTTTTGGACAGTGATTTTAACCCTAACGCCAAAAACATTAAACCTTTCCCTAGCCCCATAACCTGATACCCGGGTATAACCTTCAGGAAGCCCGAACACCCCAAATATATTTTTTTCATTTTCCATTTTTTTGTTGTAACCAATTCCAAATGGTTTGAAACATGTTCCTAAAAAGGTTTTGGACAGTAATGTTAACCCTAAAGCCTAAAACCTTAAACTTTACCAAAGCCCCATTACCTAATACCCGGGTATTACCTTCAGGAAGCCCGAACACCCCAAATATTTCTTTTTCACTTTACAATTTTCTTTTTGGTGTAACTAACTCCATAAGGTCTGAAACATGTTCGTAAAAAGGTTTTGGACAGTGATTTTAACCCTAACGCCAAAAACCTTAAACCTTACCCTAGCCCCATAACCTAATACCCGGGTATAACCTTCAGGAAGCCCGAACACCCCAAATATATTTTTTTCATTTTCCATTTTTTTTGTTGTAACCAATTCCAAATGGTTTGAAACATGTTCCTAAAAAGGTTTTGGACAGTAATGTTAACCCTAAAGCCTAAAACCTTAAACTTTACCAAAGCCCCATTACCTAATACCCGGGTATTACCTTCAGGAAGCCCGAACACCCCAAATATATTTTTTTCATTTTAACATTTTTTTGTGTAACTAACTCCAAAAGGTCTGAAACATGTTCCTAAAAAGGTTTTGGACAGTGATTTTAACCCTAACCCAAAAAACCTTAAACCTTTCCAAAGCCCCATAACCTAATACCCGGGTATTACCTTCAGGAAGCCCGAACACCCCAAACATTTTTTTTCATTTTTCGTTTTTTTTAGGTCTAACTAACTCCAAAGGGTTGGACAAGAGTTCCTACAAAGGTTTTGGACAGTGATTTTAACCTTAACGCCAAAAACCTTAAACCTTACCCTAGCCCCATAACCTTATACCCGGGTATTACCTTAAGGAAGCCCGAACACCCCAAATATTTTTTTTTCATTTTTCTTTTTTTTTAGGTCTAACTAACTCCAAAAGGTTGGAAAAGAGTTCCTACAAAGGTTTTGGACAGTGATTTTAACCCTAATGCCAAAAACCTTAAACCATACCAAATCCCCATAATCTAATACCCGGGTATTACCTTCAGGAAACCCAAACACCCCAAATATTTCTTTTTCATTTTACAATTTTTTTTTGGTGTAACTAACTCCATAAGGTCTGAAAAATGTTCCTTAAAAGGTTTTGGACAGTGATTTTAACCCTAACGCCAAAAATATTAAACCTTTCCCTAGCCCCATAACCTAATACCCGGGTATTACCTTCAGGAAGCCCGAACACCCCAAATATTTCTTATTCATTTTCCATTTTTTTTGTTGTAACCAATTCCAAATGGTTTGAATCATGTTCCTAAAAAGGTTTTGGACAGTGATTTTAACCCTAAAGCCTAAAACCTTAAACTTTACCCTAGCCCAATTACCTAATACCCGGGTATTACCTTCAGGAAGCCGGAACACCCCAAACATTTTTTTTCATTTTTCGTTTTTTTTAGGTCTAACTGACTCCAAAGGGTTGGAAAAGAGTTCCTACAAAGGTTTTGGACAGTGATTTTACCTTAAGGAAGCCCGAACACCCCAAATATTTTTTTTTCATTTTTCTTTTTTTTTAGGTCTAACTAACTCCAAAAGGTTGGAAAAGAGTTCCTACAAAGGTTTTGGACAGGGATTTTAACCCTAACGCCAAAAACCTTAAACCTTTCCAAAGCCCCATAACCTAATACCCGGGTATTACCTTCAGGAAGCCCAAAACCCCAAATATTTTTTTTTCATTTTTCATTTCTTTTGGGTCTAACTAACTCCAAAAGGTTGGAAAAGAGTTCCTACAAAGGTTTTGGACAGTGATTTTAACCCTCACGCCAAAAACCTTAAACTTTTCCCTAGCCCCATAACCTAATACACGGGTATTACCTTCAGGAAGCCCGAACACCCCAAACATTTTTTTTTTTCATTTTTTTTTTTTTTTTGGTCTAGCTAAGTCCAAAAGGTTGGAAAAGAGTTCCTACAAAGGTTTTGGACAGTGATTTTAACCCTAACGCCAAAAACATTAAACCTTTCCCTAGCCCCATAACCTAATACCCGGGTATTACCTTCAGGAAGACCGAACACCCCAAATATCTTTTTTTAATTTTTTTTTTTTTTTTTTTTTGGTCTAACTAACTCCAAAAGGTTAGAAAAGAGTTCCTACAAAGGTTTTGGACAGGGATTTTAACCCTAACGCCAAAAACCTTAAACCTTACCCTAGCCCCAAAACCTAATACCCGGGTATTACCTTCAGGAAGCCCAAAACCCCAAATATTTTTTTTTCATTTTAATTTTTTTTGGGTCTAACTAACTCCAAAAGGTTGGAAAAGAGTTACTACAAAGGTTTTGGGCGGTGATTTTAACCCTAACGCCAAAAACCTTAAACCTTACCCTAGCCCTATAACCTCATACCAGGGTATTACATTCAGAAAGCCCGAAAACCCCAAATATTTTTTTTTCATTTTTCATTTCTTTTGGGTCTAACTGACTCCAAAACTTTGGAAAAGAGTTCCTACAAAGGATGTGGACAGTGATTTTAACCCTAACGCCAAAAACCTTAAACCTTTCCAAAGCCCCATAACCTAATACCCGGGTATTACCTTCAGGAAGCCCAAAACCCCAAATATATATTTTTTTCATTTTTCATTTCTTTTGGGTCTAACTAACTCCAAAAGGTTGGAAAAGAGTTCCTACAAAGGTTTTGGACAGTGATTTTAACCCCCTTGCCAAAAACCTTAAACCTTACCCTAGCCCCATAACCTAATACCCGGGTATTACCTTCAGGAAGCCCGAACACCCCAAACATTTTTTTTTTTCCTTTTTTTTTTTTTTTTTGGTGTAACTAACTTCAAAAGGTTGGAAAAGAGTTCCTACAAAGGTTTTGGACAGTGATTTTAACCCTAACGCCAAAAACCTTAAACCTTACCCTAGCCCCATAACCTTATACCAGGGTATTACCTTCAGAAAGCCCGAAAACCCCAAATATATTTTTTTTCATTTTTCATTTCTTTTGGGTCTAACTAACTCCAAAAGGTTGGAAAAGAGTTCCTACAAAGGTTTTGGACAGTGATTTTAACCCTAACGCCAAAAACCTTAAACCCGACCCTAGCCCCATAACCTAATACCCGGGTATTACCTTCAGGAAGCCCGAACACCCCAAACATTTTTTTTTTTCATTTTTTTTTTTTTTTTGGGTCTAACTAAGTCCAAAAGGTTGGAAAAGATTTCCTACAAAGGTTTTTGACAGTGATTTTAACCCTAACGCCAAAAACCTTAAACCCGACCCTAGCCCCATAACCTAATACCCGGGTATTACCTTCAGGAAGCCCGAACACCCCAAACATTTTTTTTTTCATTTTACAATTTTTTTTTTGGTGTAACTAACTCCATAAGGTCTGAAATATGTTCCTAAAAAGGTTTTGGACAGTGATTTTAACCCTAACACCAAATACATTAAACCTTTCCCTAGCCCCATAATCTAATACCTTCAGGAAGACCGAACACCCCAAACATTTTTTTTTCATTTTTTGTTTATTTTTGGTCTAACTAACTCCAAAAGGTTGGAAAAGAGTTCCTACAAAGGTTTTGGACAGTGATTTTAACCCTCACGCCAAAAACCTTAAACCCGACCCTAGCCCCATTACCTAATACCTTCAGGAAGCCCGAACACCCATAATATTTTTTTCCTTTTTACAATTTTTTTGTGGTCTAACTAACTCCAAAAGGTTGGAAAAGAGTTCCTACAAAGGTTTTGGACAGTGATTTTAACCCTAACGCCAAAAACCTTAAACCTTACCCTAGCCCCATAACCTAATACCTGGGTATTACCTTCAGGAAGCCCGAACTCCCCAAATATTTCTTTTTCATTTTACAATTTTTTTTTTTGGTGTAACTAACTCCATAAGGTCTGAAATATGTTCCTAAAAAGGTTTTGGACAGTGATTTTAACCCTAACACCAAAAACATTAAACCTTTCCCTAGCCCCATAATCTAATACCTTCAGGAAGACCGAACACCCCAAACATTTTTTTTTCATTTTTTGTTTATTTTTGGTCTAACTAACTCCAAAAGGTTGGAAAAGAGTTCCTACAAAGGTTTTGGACAGTGATTTTAACCCTAACGCCAAAAACCTTAAACCTTACCCTAGCCCCATAACCTAATACCCGGGTATTACCTTCAGGAAGCCCGAAAACCCCAAATATATTTTTTTTTTTTTCATTTTTCATTTTTTTGGGTCTAACTAACTCCAAAAGGTTGGAAAAGAGTTCCTACAAAGGTTTTGGACAGTGATTTTAACCCTAACGCCAAAAACCTTAAACCTTACCCTAGCCCCATAACCTAATACCCGGGTATTACCTTCAGGAAGCCCGAACACCCCAAATATTTTTTTTTCATTTTTTTTTTTTTTTGGTCTAACTAACTCCAAATGGTTTGAATCATGTTCCTAAAAAGGTTTTGGACAGTGATTTTAACCCTAAAGCCTAAAACCTTAAACTTTACCCTAGCCCCATTACCTAATACCCGGGTATTACCTTCAGGAAGCCCGAACACCCCAAACATTTTTTTTCATTTTTCGTTTTTTTTAGGTCTAACTGACTCCAAAGGGTTGGAAAAGAGTTCCTACAAAGGTTTTGGACAGTGATTTTACCTTAAGGAAGCCCGAACACCCCAAATATTTTTTTTTCATTTTTCATTTTTTTTTGGTCTAACTAACTCCAAAAGGTTGGAAAAGAGTTCCTACAAAGGTTTTGGACAGGGATTTTAACCCTAACGCCAAAAACCTTAAACCTTTCCAAAGCCCCATAACCTAATACCCGGGTATTACCTTCAGGAAGCCCAAAACCCCCAATATTTTTTTTTCATTTTTCATTTCTTTTGGGTCTAACTAACTCCAAAAGGTTGGAAAAGAGTTCCTACAAAGGTTTTGGACAGTGATTTTAACCCTCACGCCAAAAACCTTAAACTTTTCCCTAGCCCCATAACCTAATACACGGGTATTACCTTCAGGAAGCCCGAACACCCCAAACATTTTTTTTTTTCATTTTTTTTTTTTTTTTGGTCTAGCTAAGTCCAAAAGGTTGGAAAAGAGTTCCTACAAAGGTTTTGGACAGTGATTTTAACCCTAACGCCAAAAACATTAAACCTTTCCCTAGCCCCATAACCTAATACCCGGGTATTACCTTCAGGAAGCCCGAACACCCCAATTTTTTTTTTTTTTTTTTTTTTGGTCTAACTAACTCCAAAAGGTTAGAAAAGAGTTCCTACAAAGGTTTTGGACAGGGATTTTAACCCTAACGCCAAAAACCTTAAACCTTACCCTAGCCCCAAAACCTAATACCCGGGTATTACCTTCAGGAAGCCCAAAACCCCAAATATTTTTTTTTCATTTTAATTTTTTTTTGGTCTAACTAACTCCAAAAGGTTGGAAAAGAGTTCCTACAAAGGTTTTGGACAGTGATTTTAACCCTAACGCCAAAACTTAAACCTTACCCTAGCCTTAAACCTAATACCCGGGTATTACATTCAGGAAGCCCGAACACCCCAAATATTTTTTTTTCATTTTTCATTTTTTTTTGGTCTAACTGACTCCAAAACTTTGGAAAAGAGTTCCTACAAAGGATGTGGACAGTGATTTTAACCCTAACGCCAAAAACCTTAAACCTTTCCAAAGCCCCATAACCTAATACCCGGGTATTACCTTCAGGAAGCCCAAAACCCCAAATATTTTTTTTTCATTTTTCATTTCTTTTGGGTCTAACTAACTCCAAAAGGTTGGAAAAGAGTTCCTACAAAGGTTTTGGACAGTGATTTTAACCCCCTTGCCAAAAACCTTAAACCTTACCCTAGCCCCATAACCTAATACCCGGGTATTACCTTCAGGAAGCCCGAACACCCCAAACATTTTTTTTTTTCCTTTTTTTTTTTTTTTGGTGTAACTAACTTCAAAAGGTTGGAAAAGAGTTCCTACAAAGGTTTTGGACAGTGATTTTAACCCTAACGCCAAAAACCTTAAACCTTACCCTAGCCCCATAACCTTATACCAGGGTATTACCTTCAGAAAGCCCGAAAACCCCAAATATATTTTTTTTCATTTTTCATTTCTTTTGGGTCTAACTAACTCCAAAACGTTGGAAAAGAGTTCCTACAAAGGTTTTGGACAGTGATTTTAACCCTAACGCCAAAAACCTTAAACCCGACCCTAGCCCCATAACCTAATACCCGGGTATTACCTTCAGGAAGCCCGAACACCCCAAACATTTTTTTTTTCATTTTTTTTTTTTTTTTGGGTCTAACTAAGTCCAAAAGGTTGGAAAAGATTTCCTACAAAGGTTTTGGACAGTGATTTTAACCCTAACGCCAAAAACCTTAAACCCGACCCTAGCCCCATAACCTAATACCCGGGTATTACCTTCAGGAAGCCCGAACACCCCAAACATTTTTTTTTTCATTTTACAATTTTTTTTTTGGTGTAACTAACTCCATAAGGTCTGAAATATGTTCCTAAAAAGGTTTTGGACAGTGATTTTAACCCTAACACCAAATACATTAAACCTTTCCCTAGCCCCATAATCTAATACCTTCAGGAAGACCGAACACCCCAAATATTTTTTTTCATTTTTTGTTTATTTTTGGTCTAACTAACTCCAAAAGGTTGGAAAAGAGTTCCTACAAAGGTTTTGGACAGTGATTTTAACCCTCACGCCAAAAACCTTAAACCCGACCCTAGCCCCATTACCTAATACCTTCAGGAAGCCCGAACACCCCAAATATTTTTTTCCTTTTTACAATTTTTTTGTGGTCTAACTAACTCCAAAAGGTTGGAAAAGAGTTCCTACAAAGGTTTTGGACAGTGATTTTAACCCTAACGCCAAAAACCTTAAACCTTACCCTAGCCCCATAACCTAATACCTGGGTATTACCTTCAGGAAGCCCGAACTCCCCAAATATTTCTTTTTCATTTTACAATTTTTTTTTTGGTGTAACTAACTCCATAAGGTCTGAAATATGTTCCTAAAAAGGTTTTGGACAGTGATTTTAACCCTAACACCAAAAACATTAAACCTTTCCCTAGCCCCATAATCTAATACCTTCAGGAAGACCGAACACCCCAAACATTTTTTTTTCATTTTTTGTTTATTTTTGGTCTAACTAACTCCAAAAGGTTGGAAAAGAGTTCCTACAAAGGTTTTGGACAGGGATTTTAACCCTAACGCCAAAAACATTAAACCTTACCCTAGCCCCATAACCTAAAACCCAGGTATTACCTTCAGAAAGCCCGAAAACCCCAAATATATTTTTTTTCATTTTTCATTTCTTTTGGGTCTAACTAACTCCAAAACGTTGGAAAAGAGTTCCTACAAAGGTTTTGGACAGTGATTTTAACCCTAACGCCAAAAACCTTAAACCCGACCCTAGCCCCATAACCTAATTCCCGGGTATTACCTTCAGGAAGCCCGAAAGCCCCAAATATTTTTTTTAATTTTACATTTTTGTTGGTGTAACCAACTCCAAAAGGTTGGAAAAGAGTTCCTACTAAGGTTTTGGACAGTGATTTTAACCCTAACGCCAAAAACCTTAAACCTTACCCAAGCCCCATAACCTAATATAATACCTGTATAACCTTCAGGAGTCTTGAACACCCAAAATACTTTTTTTTTTTTCTTTTTTTTTTTTGGTCTAACTAACTCCAAAAGGTCTGAAACATGTTCCTAAAAAGGTTTTGGACAGTGATTTTAACCCTAACGCCAAAAACCTTAAACCTTACCATAGCCCCATAACCTAATACCTGGGTATTACCTTCAGGAAGCCCGAAAACCCCCCAAATTTTTTTTTTCATTTTACATTTTTTTTGTTGTAACCAACTCCAAAAGGTCTGAAACATGTTCCTAAAAAGGTTTTGGACAGTGATTTTAACCCTAACGCCAAAAACCTTCAACGTTACCCTATTCCCGAACCTAACACCCGGGTATTAACTTAAGGAAGCCTTCACACCCCAAACATTTTTTTTTTTCATTTTTCTTTTTTTTTTTTTTTGGTCTAGCTAACTCCAAAAGGTTGGAAAAGAGTTCCTACAAAGGTTTTGGACAGTGATTTTAACCCTAACGCCAAAAACCTTAAACCTTACCCAAGCCCCATAACCTAATATTATACCTGTATAACCTTCAGGAGGCCTTAACACCCAAAATACTTTTCTTTTTTTTTCTTTTTTTTTTTGGTCTAACTCCAAAAGTTCTGAAACATGTTCCTAAAAAGGTTTTGGACAGTGATTTTAACCCTAACGCCAAAAACCTTAAACCTTACCATAGCCCCATAACCTAATACCTGGGTATTACCTTCAGGAAGCCCGAACACCCCAATTATTTTTTTTTCTTTTTACATTTTTTTTGGTGTAACCAACTCCAAAAGGTCTGAAACATGTTCCTATAAAGGTTTTGGACAGTGATTTTAACCCTAACGCCAAAAACCTTCAACCTTACCCTATTCCCGAACCTTATACCCGGGTATTAACTTAAGGAAGCCTTCACACCCCAAACATTTTTTTTTTCATTTTTCATTTTTCTTTTTTTTTTGGTCTAACTAACTCCAAAAGGTTTGAAAAGAGTTCCTACAAAGGTTTTGGACAGTGATTTTAACCCTAACGCCAAAAACCTTAAACCTTACCCAAGCCCCATAACCTAATATAATACCTGTATAACCTTCAGGAGTCCTGAACACCCAAAATACTTTTTTTTTTTTCTTTTTTTTTTTTGGTCTAACTAACTCCAAAAGGTCTGAAACATGTTCCTAAAAAGGTTTTGGACAGTGATTTTAACCCTAACGCCAAAAACCTTAAACCTTACCATAGCCCCATAACCTAATACCTGGGTATTACCTTCAGGAAGTCCGAAAACCCCCCAATTTTTTTTTTTCATTTTACATTTTTTTTGGTGTAACCAACTCCAAAAGGTCTGAAACATGTTCCTAAAAAGGTTTTGGACAGTGATTTTAACCCTAACGCCAAAAACCTTCAACCTTACCCTATTCCCGAACCTAACACCAGGGTATTAACTTAAGGAAGCCTTCACACCCCAAACATTTTTTTTTTTCATTTTTCATTTTTTTTTTTTTTGGTCTAGCTAACTCCAAAAGGTTGGAAAAGAGTTCCTACAAAGGTTTTGGACAGTGATTTTAACCCTAACGCCAAAAACCTTCAACCTTACCCTATTCCCGAACCTTATACCCGGGTATTAACTTAAGGAAGCCTTCACACCCCAAACATTTTTTTTTTCATTTTTCATTTTTTTTTTTTTTGGTCTAGCTTACTCCAAAAGGTTGGAAAAGAGTTCCTACAAAGGTTTTGGACAGTGATTTTAACCCTAACGCCAAAAACCTTTAACCTTACCCTAGCCCTGTAATATAATATATACATAATTTACAAACACATAGTCTAAAAGATAGACAGCATGGCATACCAATTGAGTGGAGTCATTAAACTTCCTACCAACACATAATTTTTACACACAGATTGAGCTTGGAGACTTGACTGGGAACATGTGATATGTCAACATCCCCCTCACCAATCTTTATTTTCCACCATCTCCACCTCTCCCTTAAACCCCCCTCTCCCTCTTCCCTTCTCTCTCTCTCTCTCTCTCTCTCTCTCTCACACACACACACACACACACACACACACACACACACACACACACACACACACACTCTCTCTCTCTCTCTCTCTCTCTCTCTCTCTCTCTCTCCCTCATCTCTCCCCCTCATCTCTCCCCCTCTCTCTAACACCCCCCCTTTCTTATTCCCTCCCCTGCCCCTTTATTTTCACCTTCACAGAGGACAAATAGGTGATCTTCAGCCTCGGCCTACCCCGGCCGGGGGGTAACCCCTGTTGGGTCACCTATATGGAGGATTAAGAGAGACCTGAAGGGGAACCGCCGTGCCCCCTAAATCCTCCCCCTCTAACATCTTTTTTAACACTCTAAAATTAGCCAGCTAACCCCACTACAAACAACTTCATCAAAAATTTAAATAATAAATACTTATCAATAACTGACCATCAGTGACACCAGACTAAGTTAGCAAAAAAGAACACACACACACGTACAGATTTTCCCTTAGGACATTGATCAGATTTACATTTCTGTTTTTTTTTTAGGGAACTGTTCTCTGTTTTTAAGCTCACTTCTGATTTTTGCTATTTGCTCTTGACACTTCTTTTTTTCCTTTTTTCTTCCCCTTTCCCTTTTCAATCCACTTTTGTTCTTCTTTTATTTTTTCATTGTTTTATATTATTTTATTTTATTTTAGGGTTCCTGTGCTTTTGTTTTTCTTCCCCCCTCCCCTCTTTTTTCTTAGGAAGGACTGACTCCTGAGGTTCTCATGCCAGGAAAAATGTACCTCCCTCACTCACGGTTTTACCCACAATCCTTTGCTGCAACAGGGAGATTGATTCCCAAGGCTCTCATGCCAGAAAGGAAGTACCTCACTCCCTCACGGTTTTACCCACAATCCTTTGCTGTAACAGGAAGATTGATTCCTTAGGCTCTCATCCCTCAGAACTAAAATACCCACAATCCCTTGCGATTGCATACAAATTGAATGTAGCAAAACTCAATTTAAAACAATAAACTACATTAAAATTAACTTAAAACAACTTGAAGGTTTAAAATACAACCAAGAGACATCCATTCTGGAATACAAACATCGAGAAGAGAACACAACCATGTCTGAGAGGAACAGCACAAACCATGACTCGAGCCCAACTCTGGGGATGTCTTCTCGTGTGAAAAGCACAATTAAGTGCCGTGCACTAAAGAGCAGTTCCTGTTCCAGTTATTGAGACAAAGCACTGACCTCTGGACCAAGAAGACGGACCACCATCGAGGAAGACGCCGCGCCGCCAACTGAAAGAAGACGCCGCACCTCCATCACTCCAAGCCGCCCACCACCGAGCTTCGACCTGCCGACAGCACCGAGTCCCAGCAAACCTTCCCGCGGAGCGATGATCTTCTTTCCCCCGCCGAGGACCCCGGACTTCAGACACACCGCTGCCACCGCGGATGGACAGCTGGAACCTTTTCCCCCCTCCAACAGATTTTAGACTACTGGAAAAGAAACCCCTCACATCAACAACAACTTAGGACCACTAGGGTAAGTCTACAAAAAACCTCTCAAACACCTCAAAATTACTCTAAATAGTTAGTTTTGTTTGTTGAACTTGAGTTTGTGTCGTTTTTGAACTTGAGTTTGTGGTGTTTTTGAACTTGAGTTTGTGTCGTGTTTGAAGTTTGTGGCAACTTATGAACTTGAGTTTGTTTGGCTTGATTTTTTGGCAATTGTTGAACTTGAGTCTATGGTTTTTAGTGAACTTTAGTTGGTGGCAATTGTTGAACTTTTGTTTGTGGCGTTCGTTGAACTTGAGTTTGTGGTGTTCATTGAACTTGAGTTTGTGGCATATTTGAACTTGAGTTTATTATGTTTTTTGAACTTGAGGTTCTGGTGTTTTCTAACTTAAGTTTGTGGAAATTGTTGAACTTGAGGATCGGGTGTTGCTTGAACTTGACTTGTTGTGTTTGTTTAACTTGAGTTTGTGTGGTGTTTTTGAACTTGAGTTTGTGAAGTGTTTGAACTTGAGTTTGTGAAGTGTTTGAACTTGAGTTTGTGTTTTTTTTAACCTTGAGGTTGTGGCAATTGTTAAACTTGAGAATCGGGTGGTGGTTGAACTTGAGTTTGTGGTGTTCATTGAACTTGAGTTTGTGGCATATTTGAACTTGAGTTTATCATGTTTTTTGAACTAGAGGTTCTGGTGTTTTTTAACTTAAGTTTGTGGAAATTGTTGAACTTGAGGATCGGGTGTTGCTTGAACTTGACTTGTTGTGTTTGTTGAACTTGAGTTTTAGTCCTTGAGCCAAGAACCAAAATTTCACATATCGGTACCACTTCGGTGGGCAAATTCTAGTTGTGATTTTTTTATACATCCCTACAATAAGTTTTTATTTGATAGACCTTGGTAACTGGTAGCTTTATTGTAGTTATTACTCATTGAAGTAATAGAGTGCAGCTGTTCAAAAACGAAAAATCGCCTTCCTTCAAAATGAGCTTTCTTTCATTTTAACCTCTCATTTAGGTGTGTTTGAACTATTGGCTAGCCATAGAGACTTGTATTAACCCCCTAAGTAGTATTTCAAATAATTTATCTAATACAGGTGTGTATATATAAGCTTCAATTAGCTAATTGTCAGGTCTAAATCAAGGTCTAAATTAAGGATATTTTTTGACTTAGAAGTAGAAATAAAATAAATGCAGACTAATAGCATTATAATAACACAACTTTAATATGACACTGACATATTTTAAATGTAGGCACTCAATATACAATCATCCTGGCTGGTGCAGGGCAAGAAGACATTAGCATCAAAATAAGATCTACTGATGTATACACTCTATACAATCATCTGAGAAAAACTCCAATTCCTATTCAAAGTCCTATTCTTTCCATAAGGAACAGTGACGGCAAATATGACTGTCAAGTTTTGGCTTAGCACATAATTCTGTCACTGAGTCACAGTGGGTCTGCTAACATAGCTCCCTTTGGTCATCACTTATTAATCAACATCAGTAATCGACATCAGTATCTGTATCTTCTTCTACATCTGAATCTGCCGGTGTGCAAGGGGCTCTTCCTCACTGTACTGGTTGGCACAAGTTTGTAATTTGCACAGGTTTGTGCACTTCAGCCCATTGCTGAGACAGGTGCAGTCTGGTGGTTTGCATGTCCTCACACACTTCAGTTTGTGGTGTTTTTGAACTTCAGTTTGTGGCACTTTTTTAACTTTTAAGTTTTTGGCAATTGTTAAATGTGAGTTTAGGTCATTTGTTGAACTTGAAATTTTGGAATTTGTTGAACTTAAGATTGTGGTGTTTGTTGAACTTGAGTTTGTGGCAATTGTTGAACTTGAGTCTGTATTTTTCTCTGAACTTTAGTTGGTGGCAATTGTTGAACTTGAGTTTGTGGTGTTTTTGCACCTGAGTTTGTGTCGTGTTTGAACTTGAGTTTGTGTTGTTTTTGAACTAGAGGTTGTGGCAATTGTTAAACTTGAGATTTGGGTGTTGGTTGAACTTGAGTTTGTGGTGTTTTTTGATCTTGAGTTTGTGTCTTGTTTGAACTTTTGTTTTTGAGATTTTTTTTTTGTTTGTTTGTTTGTTTTTTTTATTTTAAACCTAACGCCAAACAATAAAACCTTACCATAGCCCCATAACCTAATACCCGGGTATTACCTTCAGGAAGCTCGAACACCCCAAATATTTTTTTTTCATTTTACATTTTTGTTGGTGTAACCAACTCCAAAAGGTTGGAAAAGAGTTCCTACAAAGGTTTTTGACAGTGATTTTAACCCTAACGCCATAAACCTTAAACCTTACCATAGCCCCATAACCTAATACCCGGGTATTACTTTTAGGAAGCCTGAACACCCCAAATATTTTTTTTTCATTTTTCTTTTTTTTTTGGTCAAACTAACTCCAAAAGGTTGGAAAAGAGTTCCTACAAAGGTTTTGGACAGTGATTCTAACCCTAACGCCAAAAAACTTAAACCTTACCCTAGCCTTAAAATCTAATTCCCGGGTATTACATTCAGGAAGCCCGAAAACCCCAAATATTTTTTTTTTCAGTTTTCATTTTTTTTTGGTCTAACTAACTCCAAAAGGTTGGAAAAGAGTTCTTACAAAGGTTTTGGACAGTGATTTTAACCCTAATGCCAAAAACCCTAATACTTACCATAGCCCCATAACCTAATACCCGGGTATTACTTTGAGGAAGCCTGAACACCCAAAATATTTTTTTTTCATTTTTCTTTTTTTTGTGGTCTAACTAACTCCAAAAGGTTGGAAAAGAGTTCCTACAAAGGTTTTGGACAGTGATTTTAACCCTAACGCCAAAAAACTTAAACCTTACCCTGGCTTTAAAATCTAATACCCGGGTATTGCATTCAGGAAGCCCGGAAAACCCAAATATATTTTTTTTCATTTTTCATTCTTTTTCTGGTCTTACTAACTCCAAAAGGTTGGAAAAGAGTTCTTACAAAGGTTTTGGACAGTGATTTTAACCCTAATGCCAAAAACCTTAAACCTTACCATAGCCCCATAACCAATTACCCGGGTATTACTTTTAGGAAGCCCGAACAACCAAAATATATATTTTTTTCATTTTACATTTTTGTTGGTGTAACCAACTCCAAAAGGTTGGAAAAGAGTTCCTACAAAGGTTTTGGACAGTGATTTTAACCCTAACGCCAAAAACCTTAAACCTTTCCCCAGTCCCAAAACCTAATACCTGGGTATTACCTTCAGGGAGCCCGAAAACCCCCAATAATATTTTTTTCTTTTTTCATATTTTTTGGTCTAACTAACTCCAAAAGGTTGGAAAAGAGTTCCTACAAAGGTTTTGGACAGTGATTTTAACCCTAACGCCAAAAACCTTAAACCTTACCCTAGCCTTAAAATCTAATACCCGGGTATTACCTTCAGGAAGCCTGAACACCCCAAATATTTTTTTCTTCATTTTACATTTTTGTTGGTGTAACCAACTCCAAAAGGTTGGAAAAGAGTTCCTACAAAGGTTTTGGACAGTGATTTTAACCCTAATGCCAAAAAACTTAAACCTTACCCTAGCCTTAAAATCTAATACCCGGGTATTACATTCAGGAACCCCGAAAACCCCAAATATTGTTTTTTCATTTTTCAAATTTTTTTGGTCTAACTAACTCAAAAAAGGTTGGAAAAGAGTTCCTACAAAGGTTTTGGACAGTGATTTTAACCCTAACGCCAAAAAACTTAAACCTTACCATAGCCCCAAAACCTAATACCCGGGTATTACTTTCAGGGAGCCCGAAAACCCCCAATAATATTTTTTTCTTTTTTCATATTTTTTGGTCTAACTCCAAAAGGTTGGAAAAGAGTTCCTACAAAGGTTTTGGACAGTGATTTTAACCCTAACGCCAAAAAACTTAAACCTTACCATAGCCCCAAAACACAATATCCGGGTATTTCTTTCAGGGAGCCCGAAAACCCCCAAAAATATTTTTTTCTTTTTTCCTATTTTTTGGTCTAACTAACTCCAAAAGGTTGGAAAAGAGTTCCTACAAAGGTTTTGGACAGTGATTTTAACCCTAACGCCAAAAACCTTAAACCTTACCATAGCCCCATAACCTAATACCCGGGTATTACTTTTAGGAAGCCTGAACACCCCAAATATTTTTTTTTTCATTTTTCATTTTTTTTTGGTCTAACTAAATCCAAAAGGTTGTTAAAGAGTTCCTACAAAGGTTTTGGACAGTGATTTTAAACCTAACGCCAAAACGTTAAACCTTACCCTAGCCTTGAAATCTAATACCCGGGTATTACATTCAGGAAGCCTGAACACCCCAAATATTTTTTTCTTCATTTTACATTTTTGTTGGTGTAACCAACTCCAAAAGGTTGGAAAAGAGTTCCTACAAAGGTTTTGGACAGTGATTTTAACCCTAATGCCAAAAAACTTAAACCTTACCCTAGCCTTAAAATCTAATACCCGGGTATTACATTCAGGAACCCCGAAAACCCCAAATATTGTTTTTTCATTTTTCAAATTTTTTTGGTCTAACTAACTCCAAAAGGTTGGAAAAGAGTTCCTACAAAGGTTTTGGACAGTGATTTTAACCCTAACGCCAAAAACCTTAAACCTTTCCCTAGTCCCAAAACCTAATACCCGGGTATTACTTTCAGGGAGCCCGAAAACCCCCAATAATATTTTTTTCTTTTTTCATATTTTTTGGTCTAACTAACTCCAAAAGGTTGGAAAAGAGTTCCTACAAAGGTTTTGGACAGTGATTTTAACCCTAACACCAAAAACCTTAAACCTTACCCTAGCCTTGAAATCTAATACCCGGGTATTACATTCAGGAAGTCCGAACACCCCAAATATTTTTTTTTTTCATTTTACATTTTTTTTGGTGTAACCAACTCCAAAAGGTTGGAAAAGAGTTCCTACAAAGGTTTTGGACAGTGATTTTAACCCTAACGCCAAAAACCTTAAACCTTACCATAGCCCCATAACCTAATACCCAGGTATTACTTTTAGGAAGCCTGAACACCCCAAATATTGTTTTTTCATTTTTCAAATTTTTTTGGTCTAACTAACTCAAAAAAGGTTGGAAAAGAGTTCCTACAAAGGTTTTGGACAGTGATTTTAACCCTAACGCCAAAAAACTTAAACCTTACCATAGCCCCAAAACCTAATACCCGGGTATTACTTTCAGGGAGCCCGAAAACCCCCAAAAATATTTTTTTCTTTTTTCATATTTTTTGGTCTAACTAACTCCAAAAGGTTGGAAAAGAGTTCCTACAAAGGTTTTGGACAGTGATTTTAACCCTAACGCCAAAAAACTTAAACCTTACCATAGCCCCAAAACACAATATCCGGGTATTACTTCAGGAAGCCCGAAAACCCCAAAATATTTTTTTTTTTTTCTTTTTTTTGGTCTAACTAACTCCAAAAGGTTGGAAAAGAGTTCCTACAAAGGTTTTGGACAGTGATTTTAACCCTAACGCCAAAAACCTTAAACCTTACCCTAGCCCCAAAACCTAATACCCGGGTATTACTTTCAGGAAGCCTGAACACCCCAAATATTTTTTTTCATTTTTCATTTTTTTTGGTCTAACTAACTCCAAAAGGTTGGAAAAGAGTTCCTACAAAGGTTTTGGACAGTGATTTTAACCCTAACGCCAAAAACCTTAAACCTTACCCTAGCCTTAAAATCTAATACCCGGGTATTACTTCAGGAAGCCTGAACACCCCAAATATTTTTTTCTTCATTTTACATTTTTTTTGGTGTAACCAACTCCAAAAGGTTGGAAAAGAGTTCCTACAAAGGTTTTGGACAGTGATTTTAACCCTAACGCCAAAAAACTTAAACCTTACCCTAGCCCAAAATCTAATACCCGGGTATTACATTCAGGAAGCCGAAAACCCCAAATATTTTTTTTCATTTTTCATTTTTTTTGGTCTAACTAACTCCAAAAGGTTGGAAAAGAGTTCCTACAAAGGTTTTGGACAGTGATTTTAACCCTAACGCCAAAAACCTTAAACCTTACCATAGCCCCATAACCTAATACCCAGGTATTACTTTTAGGAAGCCTGAACACCCCAAATATTTTTTTTTCATTTTTTTTTTTTTTTTTGGTCTAACTAACTCCAAAAGGTTGGAAAAGAGTTCCTACAAAGGTTTTGGACAGTGATTTTAAACCTAACGCCAAAAACCTTAAACCTTACCATAGCCCCATAACCTAATACCCGGGTATTACTTTTAGGAAGCCTGAACACCCCAAATATTTTTTTTTCATTTTTCTTTTTTTTTTGGTCTAACTAACTCCAAAAGGTTGGAAAAGAGTTCCTACAAAGGTTTTGGACAGTGATTTTAACCCTAACGCCAAAAACCTTAAACCTTTCCCTAGTCCCAAAACCTAATACCCGGGTATTACTTTCAGGGAGCCCGAAAACCCCCAATAATATTTTTTTCTTTTTTTCATATTTTTTGGTCTAACTAACTCCAAAAGGTTGGAAAAGAGTTCCTACAAAGGTTTTGGACAGTGATTTTAACCCTAATGCCAAAAAACTTAAACCTTACCCTAGCCTTAAAATCTAATACCCGGGTATTACATTCAGGAACCCCGAAAACCCCAAATATTGTTTTTTCATTTTTCATTTTTTTTTGGTCTAACTAACTCCAAAAGGTTGGAAAAGAGTTCCTACAAAGGTTTTGGACAGTGATTTTAACCCTAACGCCAAAAACCTTAAACCTTACCATAGCCCCAAAACCTAATACCCGGGTATTACTTTCAGGAAGCCCGAAAACCCCAAATATTTTTTTCTTTTTTCATATTTTTTGGTCTAACTCCAAAAGGTTGGAAAAGAGTTCCTACAAAGGTTTTGGACAGTGATTTTAACCCTAACGCCAAAAAACTTAAACCTTACCATAGCCCCAAAACCTAATACCCGGGTATTTCTTTCAGGGAGCCCGAAAACCCCCAAAAATATTTTTTTCTTTTTTCATATTTTTTGGTCTAACTAACTCCAAAAGGTTGGAAAAGAGTTCCTACAAAGGTTTTGGACAGTGATTTTAACCCTAACGCCAAAAACCTTAAACCTTACCATAGCCCCATAACCTAATACCCGGGTATTACTTTTAGGAAGCCTGAACACCCCAAATATATTTTTTTTCATTTTTCATTTTTTTTTGGTCTAACTAACTCCAAAAGGTTGAAAAGAGTTCCTACAAAGGTTTTGGACAGTGATTTTAACCCTAACGCCAAAAACCTTAAACCTTACCATAGCCCCATAACCTAATACCCGGGTATTACTTTTAGGAAGCCTGAACACCCCAAATATTTTTTTTTTCATTTTTCTTTTTTTTTTTTTTTGGTCTAACTAACTCCAAAAGGTTGGAAAAGAGTTCCTACAAAGGTTTTGGACAGTGATTTTAACCCTAACGCCAAAAACCTTAAACCTTTCCCTAGTCCCAAAACCTAATACCTGGGTATTACTTTCAGGGAGCCCGAAAACCCCCAATAATATTTTTTTCTTTTTTCATATTTTTTGGTCTAACTAACTCCAAAAGGTTGGAAAAGAGTTCCTACAAAGGTTTTGGACAGTGATTTTAACCCTAACGCCAAAAACCTTAAACCTTACCCTAGCCCCAAAACCTAATACCCGGGTATTACCTTCAGGAAGCCTGAACACCCCAAATATTTTTTTCTTCATTTTACATTTTTGTTGGTGTAACCAACTCCAAAAGGTTGGAAAAGAGTTCCTACAAAGGTTTTGGACAGTGATTTTAACCCTAACGCCAAAAACCTTAAACCTTACCCTAGCCTCAAAATCTAATACCCGGGTATTACATTCAGGAAGCCCGAACACCCCAAATATTTTTTTTTTTCATTTTACATTTTTTTTGGTGTAACCAACTCCAAAAGGTTGGAAAAGAGTTCCTACAAAGGTTTTGGACAGTGATTTTAACCCTAACGCCAAAAACCTTAAACCTTACCATAGCCCCATAACCTAATACCCGGGTATTACTTTTAGGAAGCCTGAACACCCCAATTATATTTTTTTTTCATTTTTCTTTTTTTTTTTGGTCTAACTAAATCCAAAAGGTTGGAAAAGAGTTCCTACAAAGGTTTTGGACAGTGATTTTAAACCTAACGCCAAAACGTTAACCTTACCATAGCCCCATAACCTAATACCCGGGTATTACTTTTAGGAAGCCTGAACACCCCAAATATTTTTTTTTCATTTTTCTTTTTTTTTTGGTCTAACTAACTCCAAAAGGTTGGAAAAGAGTTCCTACAAAGGTTTTGGACAGTGATTTTAACCCTAACGCCAAAAACCTTAAACCTTTCCCTAGTCCCAAAACCTAATACCCGGGTATTACTTTCAGGAGCCCGAAAACCCCCAATATATATTTTTTTCTTTTTTCATATTTTTTGGTCTAACTAACTCCAAAAGGTTGGAAAAGAGTTCCTACAAAGGTTTTGGACAGTGATTTTAACCCTAACGCCAAAAACCTTAAACCTTTCCCTAGTCCCAAAACCTAATACCCGGGTATTACTTTCAGGGAGCCCGAAAACCCCCAATAATATTTTTTTCTTTTTTCATATTTTTTGGTCTAACTAACTCCAAAAGGTTGGAAAAGAGTTCCTACAAAGGTTTTGGACAGTGATTTTAACCCTAACGCCAAAAAACTTAAACCTTACCCTGGCCTTAAAATCTAATACCCGGGTATTACATTCAGGAAGCCCGTAAACACCCCAAATATTTTTTTTCATTTTTCATTCTTTTTTTGGTCTAACTAACTCCAAAAGGTTGGAAAAGAGTTCCTACAAAGGTTTTGGACAGTGATTTTAACCCTAACGCCAAAAACCTTAAACCTTACCCTAGCCCCATAACCTAATACCCGGGTATTACTTTTAGGAAGCCTGAACACCCCAAATATTTTTTTTTCATTTTTCTTTTTTTTTTTTTGGTCTAACTAACTCCAAAAGGTTGGAAAAGAGTTCCTACAAAGGTTTTGGACAGTGATTTTAACCCTAACACAAAAAACCTTAAACCTTACCCTAGCCTTGAAATCTAATACCCGGGTATTACCTTCAGGAAGCCTGAACACCCCAAATATTTTTTTCTTCATTTTACATTTTTGTTGGTGTAACCAACTCCAAAAGGTTGGAAAAGAGTTCCTACAAAGGTTTTGGACAGTGATTTTAACCCTAATGCCAAAAAACTTAAACCTTACCCTAGCCTCAAAATCTAATACCCGGGTATTACATTCAGGAAGCCGAACACCCCAAATATTTTTTTTTCATTTTACATTTTTTTTGGTGTAACCAACTCCAAAAGGTTGGAAAAGAGTTCCTACAAAGGTTTTGGACAGTGATTTTAACCCTAACGCCAAAAACCTTAAACCTTACCATAGCCCCATAACCTAATACCCGGGTATTACTTTTAGGAAGCCTGAACACCCCATATATTTTTTTTTCATTTTTCTTTTTTTTTTGGTCTAACTAAATCCAAAAGGTTGTTAAAGAGTTCCTACAAAGGTTTTGGACAGTGATTTTAAACCTAACGCCAAAACGTTAAACCTTACCATAGCCCCATAACCTAATACCCGGGTATTACTTTTAGGAAGCCTGAACACCCCAAATATTTTTTTTTCATTTTTCTTTTTTTTTTTGGTCTAACTAACTCCAAAAGGTTGGAAAAGAGTTCCTACAAAGGTTTTGGACAGTGATTTTAACCCTAACGCCAAAACCCTTAAACCTTTCCCTAGTCCCAAAACCTAATACACGGGTATTACTTTCAGGGAGCCCGAAAACCCCCAAATATTTTTTTCTTTTTTCATATTTTTTGGTCTAACTAACTCCAAAAGGTTGGAAAAGAGTTCCTACAAAGGTTTTGGACAGTGATTTTAACCCTAACGCCAAAACCCTTAAACCTTTCCCTAGTCCCAAAACCTAATACACGGGTATTACTTTCAGGGAGCCCGAAAACCCCCAATAATATTTTTTTCTTTTTTCATATTTTTTGGTCTAACTAACTCCAAAAGGTTGGAAAAGAGTTCCTACAAAGGTTTTGGACAGTGATTTTAACCCTAACGCCAAAAAACTTAAACCTTACCCTGGCCTTAAAATCTAATACCCGGGTATTACATTCAGGAAGCCCGTAAACCCCAAATATTTTTTTTTTCATTTTTCATTCTTTTTTTGGTCTAACTAACTCCAAAAGGTTGAAAAAGAGTTCCTACAAAGGTTTTGGACAGTGATTTCAACCCTAACGCCAAAAACCTTAAACCTTACCCTAGCCCCATAACCTAATACCCGGGTATTACTTTTAGGAAGCCTGAACACCCCAAATATTTTTTTTTCATTTTTCTTTTTTTTTTTTTGGTCTAACTAACTCCAAAAGGTTGGAAAAGAGTTCCTACAAAGGTTTTGGACAGTGATTTTAACCCTAACACAAAAAACCTTAAACCTTACCCTAGCCTTGAAATCTAATACCCGGGTATTACCTTCAGGAAGCCTGAACACCCCAAATATTTTTTTCTTCATTTTACATTTTTGTTGGTGTAACCAACTCCAAAAGGTTGGAAAAGAGTTCCTACAAAGGTTTTGGACAGTGATTTTAACCCTAATGCCAAAAAACTTAAACCTTACCCTAGCCTCAAAATCTAATACCCGGGTATTACATTCAGGAAGTCCGAACACCCCAAATATATTTTTTTTTTCATTTTACATTTTTTTTGGTGTAACCAACTCCAAAAGGTTGGAAAAGAGTTCCTACAAAGGTTTTGGACAGTGATTTTAACCCTAACGCCAAAAACCTTAAACCTTACCATAGCCCCATAACCTAATACCCAGGTATTACTTTTAGGAAGCCTGAACACCCCATATATTTTTTTTTCATTTTTCTTTTTTTTTTTGGTCTAACTAAATCCAAAAGGTTGTTAAAGAGTTCCTACAAAGGTTTTGGACAGTGATTTTAAACCTAACGCCAAAACGTTAAACCTTACCATAGCCCCATAACCTAATACCCGGGTATTACTTTTAGGAAGCCTGAACACCCCAAATATTTTTTTTTCATTTTTCTTTTTTTTTTTGGTCTAACTAACTCCAAAAGGTTGGAAAAGAGTTCCTACAAAGGTTTTGGACAGTGATTTTAACCCTAACGCCAAAACCCTTAAACCTTTCCCTAGTCCCAAAACCTAATACACGGGTATTACTTTCAGGGAGCCCGAAAACCCCCAATAATATTTTTTTCTTTTTTCATATTTTTTGGTCTAACTAACTCCAAAAGGTTGGAAAAGAGTTCCTACAAAGGTTTTGGACAGTGATTTTAACCCTAACGCCAAAAACCTTAAACCTTACCCTAGCCTTGAAATCTAATACCTGGGTATTACATTCAGGAAGCCCGTAAACCCCAAATATTTTTTTTTTCATTTTACATTTTTGTTGGTGTAACCAACTCCAAAAGGTTGGAAAAGAGTTCCTACAAAGGTTTTGGACAGTGATTTTAACCCTAATGCCAAAAAACTTAAACCTTACCCTAGCCTCAAAATCTAATACCCGGGTATTACATTCAGGAACCCCGAAAACCCCAAATATTGTTTTTTAATTTTTCATTTTTTTTTGGTCTAACTAACTCCAAAAGGTTGGAAAAGAGTTCCTACAAAGGTTTTGGACAGTGATTTTAACCCTAACGCCAAAAACCTTAAACCTTACCATAGCCCCATAACCTAATACCCGGGTATTACTTTTAGGAAGCCTGAACACCCCAAATATATTTTTTTTCATTTTTCTTTTTTTTTTGGTCTAACCAACTCCAAAAGGTTGTAAAAGAGTTCCTACAAAGGTTTTGGACAGTGATTTTAACCCTAACGCCAAAAACCTTAAACCTTACCATAGCCCCATAACCTAATACCCAGGTATTACTTTTAGGAAGCCTGAACACCCCAAATATTTTTTTTTCATTTTTCTTTTTTTTTGGTCTAACTAACTCCAAAAGGTTGGAAAAGAGTTCCTACAAAGGTTTTGGACAGTGATTTTAACCCTAACGCCAAAAAACTTAAACCTTACCCTGGCCTTAAAATCTAATACCCGGGTATTACATTCAGGAAGCCCGTAAACCCCAAATATTTTTTTTTTCATTTTTCATTCTTTTTTTGGTCTAACTAACTCCAAAAGGTTGAACAAGAGTTCCTACAAAGGTTTTGGACAGTGATTTCAACCCTAACGCCAAAAACCTTAAACCTTACCCTAGCCCCATAACCTAATACCCGGGTATTACTTTTAGGAAGCCTGAACACCCCAAATATTTTTTTTCATTTTTCTTTTTTTTTTTTGGTCTAACTAACTCCAAAAGGTTGGAAAAGAGTTCCTACAAAGGTTTTGGACAGTGATTTTAACCCTAACGCCAAAAACCTTAAACCTTTCCCTAGTCCCAAAACCTAATACACGGGTATTACTTTCAGGGAGCCCGAAAACCCCCAATAATATTTTTTTCTTTTTTCATATTTTTTGGTCTAACTAACTCCAAAAGGTTGGAAAAGAGTTCCTACAAAGGTTTTGGACAGTGATTTTAACCCTAACACCAAAAACCTTAAACCTTACCCTAGCCTCAAAATCTAATACCCGGGTATTACATTCAGGAAGTCCGAACACCCCAAATATTTTTTTTTTCATTTTACATTTTTTTTGGTGTAACCAACTCCAAAAGGTTGGAAAAGAGTTCCTACAAAGGTTTTGGACAGTGATTTTAACCCTAACGCCAAAAACCTTAAACCTTACCATAGCCCCATAACCTAATACCCAGGTATTACTTTTAGGAAGCCTGAACACCCCATATATTTTTTTTTCATTTTTCTTTTTTTTTTGGTCTAACTAAATCCAAAAGGTTGTTAAAGAGTTCCTACAAAGGTTTTGGACAGTGATTTTAAACCTAACGCCAAAACGTTAAACCTTACCATAGCCCCATAACCTAATACCCGGGTATTACTTTTAGGAAGCCTGAACACCCCAAATATTTTTTTTTCATTTTTCTTTTTTTTTTGGTCTAACTAACTCCAAAAGGTTGGAAAAGTGTTCCTACAAAGGTTTTGGACAGTGATTTTAACCCTAACGCCAAAACCCTTAAACCTTTCCCTAGTCCCAAAACCTAATACACGGGTATTACTTTCAGGGAGCCCGAACACCCCAAATAATATTTTTTTCTTTTTTCATATTTTTTGGTCTAACTAACTCCAAAAGGTTGGAAAAGAGTTCCTACAAAGGTTTTGGACAGTGATTTTAACCCTAACGCCAAAAACCTTAAACCTTACCCTGGCCTTAAAATCTAATACCCGGGTATTACCTTCAGGAAGCCTGAACACCCCAAATATATTTTTTTTCATTTTTAATTTTTTTTTTTTGTCTAACTAACTCCAAAAGGTTGGAAAAGAGTTCCTACAAAGGTTTTGGACAGTGATATTAAACCTAACGCCAAAACGTTAAACCTTACCATAGCCCCATAACCTAATACCCGGGTATTACTTTTAGGAAGCCTGAACACCCCAAATATTTTTTTTTCATTTTTTTTTTTTTTTGGTCTAACTAACTCCAAAAGGTTGGAAAAGAGTTCCTACAAAGGTTTTGGACAGTGATTTTAACCCTAACGCCAAAACCCTTAAACCTTTCCCTAGTCCCAAAACCTAATACACGGGTATTACTTTCAGGGAGCCCGAAAACCCCCAATAATATTTTTTTCTTTTTTCATATTTTTTGGTCTAACTAACTCCAAAAGGTTGGAAAAGAGTTCCTACAAAGGTTTTGGACAGTGATTTTAACCCTAACGCCAAAAACCTTAAACCTTACCCTAGCCTTAAAATCTAATACCTGGGTTGTACATTCAGGAAGCCCGTAAACCCCAAATATTTTTTTTTTCTTTTTACATTTTTGTTGGTGTAACCAACTCCAAAAGGTTGGAAAAGAGTTCCTACAAAGGTTTTGGACAGTGATTTTAACCCTAACGCCAAAAAACTTAAACCTTACCCTAGCCTCAAAATCTAATACCCGGGTATTACATTCAGGAACCCCGAAAACCCCAAATATTGTTTTTTAATTTTTCATTTTTTTTTGGTCTAACTAACTCCAAAAGGTTGGAAAAGAGTTCCTACAAAGGTTTTGGACAGTGATTTTAACCCTAACGCCAAAAACCTTAAACCTTACCATAGCCCCATAACCTAATACCCGGGTATTACTTTTAGGAAGCCTGAACACCCCAAATATATTTTTTTTCATTTTTCTTTTTTTTTTGGTCTAACCAACTCCAAAAGGTTGTTAAAGAGTTCCTACAAAGGTTTTGGACAGTGATTTTAACCCTAATGCCAAAAACCTTAAACCTTACCATAGCCCCATAACCTAATACCCAGGTATTACTTTTAGGAAGCCTGAACACCCCAAATATTTTTTTTTCATTTTTCTTTTTTTTTTGGTCTAACTAACTCCAAAAGGTTGGAAAAGAGTTCCTACAAAGGTTTTGGACAGTGATTTTAACCCTAACGCCAAAAACCTTAAACCTTACCCTAGCCTTAAAATCTAATACCCGGGTATTACATTCAGGAAGCCCGTAAACCCCAAATATTTTTTTTTTCATTTTTCATTCTTTTTTTGGTCTAACTAACTCCAAAAGGTTGGAAAAGAGTTCCTACAAAGGTTTTGGACAGTGATTTTAACCCTAACGCCAAAAACCTTAAACCTTACCCTAGCCCCATAACCTAATACCCGGGTATTACTTTTAGGAAGCCTGAACACCCCAAATATTTTTTTTTCATTTTTCTTTTTTTTTTGGTCTAACTAACTCCAAAAGGTTGGAAAAGAGTTCCTACAAAGGTTTTGGACAGTGATTTTAACCCTAACACCAAAAACCTTAAACCTTTCCCTAGTCCCAAAACCTAATACACGGGTATTACTTTCAGGGAGCCAAAAAACCCCCATGATTTTTTTTTCATTTTTCTTTTTTTTTTGGTGTAACCAACTCCAAAAGGTTGGAAAAGAGTTCCTACAAAGGTTTTGGACAGTGATTTTAACCCTAACGCCAAAAACCTTAAACCTTACCATAGCCCCATAACCTAATACCCAGGTATTACTTTTAGGAAGCCTGAACACCCCATATATTTTTTTTTCATTTTTCTTTTTTTTTTGGTCTAACTAAATCCAAAAGGTTGTTAAAGAGTTCCTACAAAGGTTTTGGACAGTGATTTTAAACCTAACGCCAAAACGTTAAACCTTACCATAGCCCCATAACCTAATACCCGGGTATTACTTTTAGGAAGCCTGAACACCCCAAATATTTTTTTTTCATTTTTCTTTTTTTTTTTTGGTCTAACTAACTCCAAAAGGTTGGAAAAGAGTTCCTACAAAGGTTTTGGACAGTGATTTTAACCCTAACGCCAAAAACCTTAAACCTTTCCCTAGTCCCAAAACCTAATACACGGGTATTACTTTCAGGGAGCCCGAAAACCCCCAATAAAATTTTTTTCTTTTTTCATATTTTTTGGTCTAACTAACTCCAAAAGGTTGGAAAAGAGTTCCTACAAAGGTTTTGGACAGTGATTTTAACCCTAACACCAAAAACCTTAAACCTTACCCTAGCCTCAAAATCTAATACCCGGGTATTACATTCAGGAAGTCCGAACACCCCAAATATTTTTTTTTTTCATTTTACATTTTTTTTGGTGTAACCAACTCCAAAAGGTTGGAAAAGAGTTCCTACAAAGGTTTTGGACAGTGATTTTAACCCTAACGCCAAAAACCTTAAACCTTACCATAGCCCCATAACCTAATACCCAGGTATTACTTTTAGGAAGCCTGAACACCCCATATATTTTTTTTTCATTTTTCTTTTTTTTTTGGTCTAACTAAATCCAAAAGGTTGTTAAAGAGTTCCTACAAAGGTTTTGGACAGTGATTTTAAACCTAACGCCAAAACGTTAAACCTTACCATAGCCCCATAACCTAATACCCGGGTATTACTTTTAGGAAGCCTGAACACCCCAAATATTTTTTTTTTCATTTTTCTTTTTTTTTTGGTCTAACTAACTCCAAAAGGTTGGAAAAGTGTTCCTACAAAGGTTTTGGACAGTGATTTTAACCCTAACGCCAAAACCCTTAAACCTTTCCCTAGTCCCAAAACCTAATACACGGGTATTACTTTCAGGGAGCCCGTAAACCCCAAATATTTTTTTTTTCATTTTTCATTTTTTTTTTGGTCTAACTAACTCCAAAAGGTTGAAAAAGAGTTCCTACAAAGGTTTTGGACAGTGATTTTAACCCTAACGCCAAAAAACTTAAACCTTTCCCTGGCCTTAAAATCTAATACCCGGGTATTACATTCAGGAAGCCCGTAAACCCCAAATATATTTTTTTTCATTTTTAATTTTTTTTTTTGTCTAACTAACTCCAAAAGGTTGAAAAAGAGTTCCTACAAAGGTTTTGGACAGTGATTTTAACCCTAACGCCAAAAACCTTAAACCTTACCATAGCCCCATAACCTAATACCCGGGTATTACTTTTAGGAAGCCTGAACACCCCAAATATATTTTTTTTAATTTTTCATTTTTTTTTGGTCTAACTAAATCCAAAAGGTTGTTAAAGAGTTCCTACAAAGGTTTTGGACAGTGATTTTAACCCTAACGCCAAAAACCTTAAACCTTACCATAGCCCCATAACCTAATACCCAGGTATTACTTTTAGGAAGCCTGAACACCCCATATATTTTTTTTTCATTTTTCTTTTTTTTTTGGTCTAACTAAATCCAAAAGGTTGGAAAAGAGTTCCTACAAAGGTTTTGGACAGTGATTTTAAACCTAACGCCAAAACGTTAAACCTTACCATAGCCCCATAACCTAATACCCGGGTATTACTTTTAGGAAGCCTGAACACCCCAAATATTTTTTTTTCATTTTTCTTTTTTTTTTGGTCTAACTAACTCCAAAAGGTTGGAAAAGAGTTCCTACAAAGGTTTTGGACAGTGATTTTAACCCTAACGCCAAAAACCTTAAACCTTACCCTGGCCTTAAAATCTAATACCCGGGTATTACATTCAGGAAGCCCGTAAACCCCAAATATTTTTTTTTCATTTTTCATTTTTTTTTGGTCTAACTAACTCCAAAAGGTTGAAAAAGAGTTCCTACAAAGGTTTTGGACAGTGATTTTAACCCTAACGCCAAAAACCTTAAACCTTACCCTAGCCCCATAACCTAATACCCGGGTATTACTTTTAGGAAGCCTGAACACCCCAAATATTTTTTTTTCATTTTTCTTTTTTTTTTTTGGTCTAACTAACTCCAAAAGGTTGGAAAAGAGTTCCTACAAAGGTTTTGGACAGTGATTTTAACCCTAACGCCAAAAACCTTAAACCTTACCCTAGCCCCAAAACCTAATACCCGGGTATTACTTTCAGGAAGCCCGAAAACCCCAAAATATTTTTTTTTTTTTCTTTTTTTTTGGTCTAACTAACTCCAAAAGGTTGGAAAAGAGTTCCTACAAAGGTTTTGGACAGTGATTTTAACCCTAACGCCAAAAACCTTAAACCTTACCCTAGCCTCAAAATCTAATACCCGGGTATTACTTCAGGAAGCCTGAACACCCCAAATATTTTTTTTTTCATTTTTCATTTTTTTTGGTCTAACTAACTCCAAAAGGTTGGAAAAGAGTTCCTACAAAGGTTTTGGACAGTGATTTTAACCCTAACGCCAAAAACCTTAAACCTTACCATAGCCCCATAACCTAATACCCAGGTATTACTTTAAGGAAGCCTGAACACCCCAATATATTTTTTTTTCATTTTTCTTTTTTTTTTTGGTCTAACTAACTCCAAAAGGTTGGAAAAGAGTTCCTACAAAGGTTTTGGACAGTGATTTTAACCCTAACGCCAAAAACCTTAAACCTTACCCTAGCCCCATAACCTAATACCCGGGTATTACTTTTAGGAAGCCTGAACACCCCAAATATTTTTTTTTCATTTTTCTTTTTTTTTTTGGTCTAACTAACTCCAAAAGGTTGGAAAAGAGTTCCTACAAAGGTTTTGGACAGTGATTTTAACCCTAACGCCAAAAACTTAAACCTTTCCCTAGCCCAAAACCTAATACCCGGGTATTACTTTCAGGGAGCCCGAACACCCCAAATAATATTTTTTTCTTTTTTCATATTTTTTGGTCTAACTAACTCCAAAAGGTTGGAAAAGAGTTCCTACAAAGGTTTTGGACAGTGATTTTAACCCTAACGCCAAAAACCTTAAACCTTACCCTAGCCTTAAAATCTAATACCCGGGTATTACCTTCAGGAAGCCTGAACACCCCAAATATATTTTTTTTCATTTTTCATTTTTTTTTTTGGTCTAACTAACTCCAAAAGGTTGGAAAAGAGTTCCTACAAAGGTTTTGGACAGTGATTTTAACCCTAACGCCAAAAACCTTAAACCTTACCATAGCCCCATAACCTAATACCCGGGTATTACTTTTAGGAAGCCTGAACACCCCAAATATTTTTTTTTCATTTTTTTTTTTTTTTGGTCTAACTAACTCCAAAAGGTTGGAAAAGAGTTCCTACAAAGGTTTTGGACAGTGATTTTAACCCTAACGCCAAAAAACTTAAACCTTTCCCCAGTCACAAAACCTAATACCCAGGTATTACTTTCAGGAAGCCTGAACACCCCAATAATATTTTTTTCTTTTTTCATATTTTTTGGTCTAACTAACTCCAAAAGGTTGGAAAAGAGTTCCTACAAAGGTTTTGGACAGTGATTTTAACCCTAACGCCAAAAACCTTAAACCTTACCCTAGCCTTAAAATCTAATACCCGGGTATTACATTCAGGAAGCCTGAACACCCCAAATATTTTTTTTTTTTCATTTTACATTTTTTTTGGTGTAACTAACTCCAAAAGGTTGGAAAAGAGTTCCTACAAAGGTTTTGGACAGTGATTTTAACCCTAACGCCAAAAAACTTAAACCTTACCCTAGCCCCAAAACCTAATACCCGGGTATTACTTTCAGGAAGCCTGAACACCCCAAATATTTTTTTTTCATTTTTTTTTTTTTTTTGGTCTAACTAACTCCAAAAGGTTGGAAAAGAGTTCCTACAAAGGTTTTGGACAGTGATTTTAACCCTAACGCCAAAAACCTTAAACCTTACCCTAGCCCCAAAACCTAATACCCGGGTATTACTTTTAGGAAGCCTGAACACCCCAAATATTTTTTTTTCATTTTTCTTTTTTTTTTTGGTCTAACTAACTCCAAAAGGTTGGAAAAGAGTTCCTACAAAGGTTTTGGACAGTGATTTTAACCCTAACGCCAAAAACCTTAAACCTTACCATAGCCCCATAACCTAATACCCGGGTATTACTTTCAGGAAGCCTGAACACCCCAAATATTTTTTTTTCATTTTTCTTTTTTTTTGGTCTAACTAACTCCAAAAGGTTGGAAAAGAGTTCCTACAAAGGTTTTGGACAGTGATTTTAACCCTAACGCCAAAAACCTTAAACCTTACCCTAGCCCAAAATCTAATACCCGGGTATTACATTCAGGAAGCCCGAAAACCCCAAATATTTTTTTTTTCATTTTTCATTTTTTTTTGGTCTAACTAACTCCAAAAGGTTGGAAAAGAGTTCCTACAAAGGTTTTGGACAGTGATTTTAACCCTAACGCCAAAAACCTTAAACCTTACCCTAGCCCCATAACCTAATACCCGGGTATTACTTTTAGGAAGCCTGAACACCCCAAATATTTTTTTTTCATTTTTCTTTTTTTTTTTGGTCTAACTAACTCCAAAAGGTTGGAAAAGAGTTCCTACAAAGGTTTTGGACAGTGATTTTAACCCTAACGCCAAAAACCTTAAACCTTTCCCTAGACACAAAACCTAATACCCGGGTATTACTTTCAGGAAGCCCGAACACCCCAAATATTTTTTTTTCATTTTTCATTTTTTTTGGTCTAACTAACTCCAAAAGGTTGGAAAAGAGTTCCTACAAAGGTTTTGGACAGTGATTTTAACCCTAACGCCAAAAACCTTAAACCTTACCATAGCCCCATAACCTAATACCCGGGTATTACTTTCAGGAAGCCTGAACACCCCAAATATTTTTTTTTTCATTTTTCTTTTTTTTTTTTTGGTCTAACTAACTCCAAAAGGTTGGAAAAGAGTTCCTACAAAGGTTTTGGACAGTGATTTTAAACCTAACGCCAAAACGTTAAACCTTACCATAGCCCCATAACCTAATACCCGGGTATTACTTTTAGGAAGCCTGAACACCCCAAATATTTTTTTTTTTTAATTTTTTTTTTTTTTTTGGTCTAACTAACTCCAAAAGGTTGGAAAAGAGTTCCTACAAAGGTTTTGGACAGTGATTTTAACCCTAACGCCAAAAACCTTAAACCTTTCCCTAGTCCCAAAACCTAATACACGGGTATTACTTTCAGGGAGCCCGAAAACCCCCAAATATTTTTTTTTCTTTTTTCATATTTTTTGGTCTAACTAACTCCAAAAGGTTGGAAAAGAGTTCCTACAAAGGTTTTGGACAGTGATTTTAACCCTAACGCCAAAAACCTTAAACCTTACCCTAGCCTAAAAATCTAATACCCGGGTATTACATTCAGGAAGCCTGAACACCCCAAATATTTTTTTTTTCATTTTACATTTTTTTTGGTGTAACCAACTCCAAAAGGTTGGAAAAGAGTTCCTACAAAGGTTTTGGACAGTGATTTTAACCCTAACGCCAAAAACCTTAAACCTTACCATAGCCCCATAACCTAATACCCGGGTATTACTTTTAGGAAGCCTGAACACCCCAAATATATTTTTTTTCATTTTTCTTTTTTTTTTTGGTCTAACTAACTCCAAAAGGTTGGAAAAGAGTTCCTACAAAGGTTTTGGACAGTGATTTTAACCCTAACGCCAAAAACCTTAAACCTTACCATAGCCCCATAACCTAATACCCGGGTATTACTTTTAGGAAGCCTGAACACCCCAAATATTTTTTTTTCATTTTTCTTTTTTTTTTTTGGTCTAACTAACTCCAAAAGGTTGGAAAAGAGTTCCTACAAAGGTTTTGGACAGTGATTTTAACCCTAACGCCAAAAACCTTAAACCTTACCCTAGTCCCAAAACCTAATACCCGGGTATTACTTTCAGGAAGCCCGAAAACCCCAAATATTTTTTTTTCATTTTTCTTTTTTTTTGGTCTAACTAACTCCAAAAGGTTGGAAAAGAGTTCCTACAAAGGTTTTGGACAGTGATTTTAACCCTAACGCCAAAAAACTTAAACCTTTCCCTAGCCTTAAAATCTAATACCCGGGTATTACATTCAGGAAGCCCGTAAACCCCAAATATTTTTTTTTTCATTTTTCATTTTTTTTTTTTGGTCTAACTAACTCCAAAAGGTTGAAAAAGAGTTCCTACAAAGGTTTTGGACAGTGATTTTAACCCTAACGCCAAAAACCTTAAACCTTACCATAGCCCCATAACCTAATACCCGGGTATTACTTTCAGGAAGCCTGAACACCCCAAATATTTTTTTTTCATTTTTCATTTTTTTTTGGTCTAACTAACTCCAAAAGGTTGGAAAAGAGTTCCTACAAAGGTTTTGGACAGTGATTTTAACCCTAACGCCAAAAACCTTAAACCTTACCATAGCCCCATAACCTAATACCCGGGTATTACTTTTAGGAAGCCTGAACACCCCAAATATTTTTTTTTCCATTTTTCTTTATTTTTTGGTCTAACTAACTCCAAAAGGTTGGAAAAGAGTTCCTACAAAGGTTTTGGACAGTGATTTTAACCCTAACGCCAAAAACCTTAAATCTTACCATAGCCCCAAAACTTAATACTCGGGTATTACATTCAGGAAGCCAGAAAACCCCAAATATTTTTTTCATTTTTCTTTTTTTTTTTGGTCTAACTAACTCCAAAAGGTTGGAAAAGAGTTCCTACAAAGGTTTTGGACAGTGATTTTAACCCTAACGCCAAAAACCTTAAACCTTACCCTAGCCCAAAACCTAATACCCGGGTATTACTTTCAGGAAGCCCGAAAACCCCCAATATTTTTTTTTCTTTTTTCATTTTTTTTTGGTCTAACTAACTCCAAAAGGTTGGAAAAGAGTTCCTACAAAGGTTTTGGACAGTGATTTTAACCCTAACGCCAAAAACTTAAACCTTACCCTAGCCCAAAACCTAATACCCGGGTATTACATTCAGGAAGCCAGAAAACCCCAAATATTTTTTTTTCATTTTTCATTTTTTTTTGGTCTAACTAACTCCAAAAGGTTGGAAAAGAGTTCCTACAAAGGTTTTGGACAGTGATTTTAACCCTAACGCCAAAAACCTTAAACCTTACCCTAGCCCCATAACCTAATACCCGGGTATTACTTTCAGGAAGCCCGAACACCCCAAATATTTTTTTTTCATTTTTCTTTTTTTTTTTTTGGTCTAACTAACTCCAAAAGGTTGGAAAAGAGTTCCTACAAAGGTTTTGGACAGTGATTTTAACCCTAACGCCAAAAACCTTAAACCTTACCCTAGCCTTGAAATCTAATACCCGGGTATTACCTTCAGGAAGCCTGAACACCCCAAATATTTTTTTTTCATTTTTCTTTTTTTTTTTTGGTCTAACTAACTCCAAAAGGTTGGAAAAGAGTTCCTACAAAGGTTTTGGACAGTGATTTTAACCCTAACGCCAAAAAACTTAAACCTTACCCTAGCCCCAAAACCTAATACCCGGGTATTACATTCAGGAAGCCCGAACACCCCAAATATTTTTTTTTTTTCATTTTACATTTTTTTTTGGTCTAACTAACTCCAAAAGGTTGGAAAAGAGTTCCTACAAAGGTTTTGGACAGTGATTTTAACCCTAACGCCAAAAACCTTAAACCTTACCCTAGCCCCATAACCTAATACCCGGGTATTACTTTTAGGAAGCCTGAACACCCCATATATTTTTTTTTCATTTTTCTTTTTTTTTTGGTCTAACTAACTCCAAAAGGTTGGAAAAGAGTTCCTACAAAGGTTTTGGACAGTGATTTTAACCCTAACGCCAAAAACCTTAAACCTTACCCTAGCCCCAAACCTAATACCCGGGTATTACTTTTCAGGAAGCCTGAACACCCCAAATATTTTTTTTTCATTTTTCTTTTTTTTTGGTCTAACTAACTCCAAAAGGTTGGAAAAGAGTTCCTACAAAGGTTTTGGACAGTGATTTTAACCCTAACGCCAAAAACCTTAAACCTTACCCTAGCCCAAAACCTAATACCCGGGTATTACTTTCAGGAAGCCCGAAAACCCCCAATATTTTTTTTTTTTTTCATTTTTTTTGGTCTAACTAACTCCAAAAGGTTGGAAAAGAGTTCCTACAAAGGTTTTGGACAGTGATTTTAACCCTAACGCCAAAAAACTTAAACCTTACCCTAGCCTTAAAATCTAATACCTGGGTATTACATTCAGGAAGCCCGAAAACCCCAAATATTTTTTTTTCATTTTTCATTTTTTTTTGGTCTAACTAACTCCAAAAGGTTGGAAAAGAGTTCCTACAAAGGTTTTGGACAGTGATTTTAACCCTAACGCCAAAAACCTTAAACCTTACCCTAGCCCAAAACCTAATACCCGGGTATTACTTTCAGGAAGCCCGAAAACCCCAAATATTTTTTTTCATTTTTCATTTTTTTTTGGTCTAACTAACTCCAAAAGGTTGGAAAAGAGTTCCTACAAAGGTTTTGGACAGTGATTTTAACCCTAACGCCAAAAACCTTAAACCTTACCCTAGCCCCATAACCTAATACCCGGGTATTACTTTCAGGAAGCCTGAACACCCCAAATATTTTTTTTTTCATTTTTCTTTTTTTTGGTCTAACTAACTCCAAAAGGTTGGAAAAGAGTTCCTACAAAGGTTTTGGACAGTGATTTTAACCCTAACGCCAAAAACCTTAAACCTTACCCTAGCCCAAAATCTAATACCCGGGTATTACTTTCAGGAAGCCTGAACACCCCAAATATTTTTTTTTTCATTTTTCATTTTTTTTGGTCTAACTAACTCCAAAAGGTTGGAAAAGAGTTCCTACAAAGGTTTTGGACAGTGATTTTAACCCTAACGCCAAAAACCTTAAACCTTACCCTAGCCCCATAACCTAATACCCGGGTATTACTTTTAGGAAGCCTGAACACCCCAAATATTTTTTTTTCATTTTTCTTTTTTTTTTTTTGGTCTAACTAACTCCAAAAGGTTGGAAAAGAGTTCCTACAAAGGTTTTGGACAGTGATTTTAACCCTAACGCCAAAAACCTTAAACCTTTCCCTAGTCCCAAAACCTAATACACGGGTATTACTTTCAGGAAGCCCGAAAACCCCAAAAATTTTTTTTTTCTTTTTTCATTTTTCATTGGTCTAACTAACTCCAAAAGGTTGGAAAAGAGTTCCTACAAAGGTTTTGGACAGTGATTTTAACCCTAACGCCAAAAACCTTAAACCTTACCCTAGCCTTGAAATCTAATACCCGGGTATTACTTTCAGGAAGCCTGAACACCCCAAATATTTTTTTTTCATTTTACATTTTTTTTTGGTCTAACTAACTCCAAAAGGTTGGAAAAGAGTTCCTACAAAGGTTTTGGACAGTGATTTTAACCCTAACGCCAAAAACCTTAAACCTTACCCTAGCCCAAATCTAATACCCGGGTATTACTTCAGGAAGCCTGAACACCCCAAATATTTTTTTTTTCATTTTTCATTTTTTTTGGTCTAACTAACTCCAAAAGGTTGGAAAAGAGTTCCTACAAAGGTTTTGGACAGTGATTTTAACCCTAACGCCAAAAACCTTAAACCTTACCATAGCCCCATAACCTAATACCCGGGTATTACTTTTAGGAAGCCTGAACACCCCAAATATATTTTTTTTCATTTTTCTTTTTTTTTGGTCTAACTAACTCCAAAAGGTTGAAAAGAGTTCCTACAAAGGTTTTGGACAGTGATTTTAACCCTAACGCCAAAACCTTAAACCTTACCATAGCCCCATAACCTAATACCCGGGTATTACTTTTAGGAAGCCTGAACACCCCAAATATTTTTTTTTCATTTTTCTTTTTTTTTTTTGGTCTAACTAACTCCAAAAGGTTGGAAAAGAGTTCCTACAAAGGTTTTGGACAGTGATTTTAACCCTAACGCCAAAACCCTTAAACCTTTCCCTAGTCCCAAAACCTAATACCCGGGTATTACTTTCAGGAAGCCCGAAAACCCCCAAATATTTTTTTCTTTTTTCATTTTTTTGGTCTAACTAACTCCAAAAGGTTGGAAAAGAGTTCCTACAAAGGTTTTGGACAGTGATTTTAACCCTAACGCCAAAAAACTTAAACCTTACCCTAGCCTTAAAATCTAATACCCGGGTATTACATTCAGGAAGCCCGTAAACCCCAAATATTTTTTTTTTCATTTTTCATTTTTTTTTGGTCTAACTAACTCCAAAAGGTTGGAAAAGAGTTCCTACAAAGGTTTTGGACAGTGATTTTAACCCTAACGCCAAAAACCTTAAACCTTACCCTAGCCCCATAACCTAATACCCGGGTATTACTTTCAGGAAGCCTGAACACCCCAAATATTTTTTTTTCATTTTTTTTTTTTTTTTTTGGTCTAACTAACTCCAAAAGGTTGGAAAAGAGTTCCTACAAAGGTTTTGGACAGTGATTTTAACCCTAACGCCAAAAACCTTAAACCTTTCCCTAGTCCCAAAACCTAATACCCGGGTATTACTTTCAGGGAGCCCGAAAACCCCCAATAAAATTTTTTTCTTTTTTCATATTTTTTGGTCTAACTAACTCCAAAAGGTTGGAAAAGAGTTCCTACAAAGGTTTTGGACAGTGATTTTAACCCTAACGCCAAAAACCTTAAACCTTACCCTAGCCTCAAAATCTAATACCCGGGTATTACATTCAGGAAGCCCGAACACCCCAAATATTTTTTTTTTTCATTTTACATTTTTTTTGGTGTAACCAACTCCAAAAGGTTGGAAAAGAGTTCCTACAAAGGTTTTGGACAGTGATTTTAACCCTAACGCCAAAAACCTTAAACCTTACCATAGCCCCATAACCTAATACCCGGGTATTACTTTTAGGAAGCCTGAACACCCCAAATATTTTTTTTTTCATTTTTCTTTTTTTTTTGGTCTAACTAAATCCAAAAGGTTGGAAAAGAGTTCCTACAAAGGTTTTGGACAGTGATTTTAAACCTAACGCCAAAACGTTAAACCTTACCATAGCCCCATAACCTAATACCCGGGTATTACTTTTAGGAAGCCTGAACACCCCAAATATTTTTTTTTCATTTTTCTTTTTTTTTTTGGTCTAACTAACTCCAAAAGGTTGGAAAAGAGTTCCTACAAAGGTTTTGGACAGTGATTTTAACCCTAACGCCAAAACCTTAAACCTTTCCCTAGTCCCAAAACCTAATACCCGGGTATTACTTTCAGGGAGCCCGAACACCCCAAATAATTTTTTTTCTTTTTTCATTTTTTTTGGTCTAACTAACTCCAAAAGGTTGGAAAAGAGTTCCTACAAAGGTTTTGGACAGTGATTTTAACCCTAACGCCAAAAACCTTAAACCTTACCATAGCCCCATAACCTAATACCCGGGTATTACTTTTAGGAAGCCTGAACACCCCAAATATTTTTTTTTCATTTTTCTTTTTTTTTTGGTCTAACTAACTCCAAAAGGTTGGAAAAGAGTTCCTACAAAGGTTTTGGACAGTGATTTTAACCCTAACGCCAAAAAACTTAAACCTTTCCCTAGTCCCAAAACCTAATACCCGGGTATTACTTTCAGGAAGCCCGAAAACCCCAAATATTTTTTTCTTTTTTCATATTTTTTGGTCTAACTAACTCCAAAAGGTTGGAAAAGAGTTCCTACAAAGGTTTTGGACAGTGATTTTAACCCTAACGCCAAAAACCTTAAACCTTACCCTAGCCTTGAAATCTAATACCCGGGTATTACCTTCAGGAAGCCTGAACACCCCAAATATTTTTTTTTCATTTTTCTTTTTTTTTTTGGTCTAACTAACTCCAAAAGGTTGGAAAAGAGTTCCTACAAAGGTTTTGGACAGTGATTTTAAACATAACGCCAAAAAACCTTAAACCTTACCCTAGTCCCAAAACCTAATACCCGGGTATTACATTCAGGAACCCCGAAAACCCCAAATATTTTTTTTTAATTTTTCATTTTTTTTTGGTCTAACTAACTCCAAAAGGTTGGAAAAGAGTTCCTACAAAGGTTTTGGACAGTGATTTTAACCCTAACGCCAAAAAACTTAAACCTTACCATAGCCACAAAACCTAATACCTGGGTATTACTTTTAGGAAGCCTGAACACCCCAAATATTTTTTTTTCATTTTTCTTTTTTTTTTTGGTCTAACTAACTCCAAAAGGTTGGAAAAGAGTTCCTACAAAGGTTTTGGACAGTGATTTTAACCCTAACGCCAAAAACCTTAAACCTTACCCTAGCCCCAAAACCTAATACCCGGGTATTACTTTCAGGAAGCCCGAAAACCCCCAATAATATTTTTTTCTTTTTTCATTTTTTTGGTCTAACTAACTCCAGAAGGTTGGAAAAGAGTTCCTACAAAGGTTTTGGACAGTGATTTTAACCCTAACGAAATAAAACTTAAACCTTACCCTAGCCCCATAACCTAATACCCGGGTATTACTTTTAGGAAGCCTGAACACCCCAAATATTTTTTTTTCATTTTTCTTTTTTTTTGGTCTAACTAACTCCAAAAGGTTGGAAAAGAGTTCCTACAAAGGTTTTGGACAGTGATTTTAACCCTAACGCCAAAAACCTTAAACCTTACCATAGCCCCATAACCTAATACCCGGGTATTACTTTTAGGAAGCCTGAACACCCCAAATATTTTTTTTTCATTTTTCTTTTTTTTTTGGTCTAACTAACTCCAAAAGGTTGGAAAAGAGTTCCTACAAAGGTTTTGGACAGTGATTTTAACCCTAACGCCAAAAACCTTAAACCTTTCCCTAGCCCCAAAACTTAATACCCGGGTATTACTTTCAGGAAGCCCGAAAACCCCCAATAATTTTTTTTTCTTTTTTCATTTTTCATTGGTCTAACTAACTCCAAGAGGTTGGAAAAGAGTTCCTACAAAGGTTTTGGACAGTGATTTTAACCCTAACACCAAAAAACTTAAATCTTACCCTGGCCTTAAAATCTAATACCCGGGTATTACATTCAGGAAGCCCGTAAACCCCAAATATATTTTTTTTCATTTTTAATTTTTTTTTTTGTCTAACTAACTCCAAAAGGTTGGAAAAGAGTTCCTACAAAGGTTTTGGACAGTGATTTTAACCCTAACGCCAAAAACCTTAAACCTTACCATAGCCCCATAACCTAATACCCGGGTATTACTTTTAGGAAGCCTGAACACCCCAAATATATTTTTTTTCATTTTTCATTTTTTTTTGGTCTAACTAACTCCAAAAGGTTGAAAAAGAGTTCCTACAAAGGTTTTGGACAGTGATTTTAACCCTAACGCCAAAAACCTTAAACCTTACCATAGCCCCATAACCTAATACCCAGGTATTACTTTTAGGAAGCCTGAACACCCCATATATTTTTTTTTCATTTTTCTTTATTTTTTGGTCTAACTAAATCCAAAAGGTTGGAAAAGAGTTCCTACAAAGGTTTTGGACAGTGATTTTAACCCTAACGCCAAAAAACTTAAACCTTACCATAGCCCCATAACCTAATACCCGGGTATTACTTTTAGGAAGCCTGAACACCCCAAATATTTTTTTTTCATTTTTCTTTTTTTTTTTGGTCTAACTAACTCCAAAAGGTTGGAAAAGAGTTCCTACAAAGGTTTTGGACAGTGATTTTAACCCTAACGCCAAAACCCTTAAACCTTTCCCTAGTCCCAAAACCTAATACACGGGTATTACTTTCAGGGAGCCCGAAAACCCCCAATAATATTTTTTTCTTTTTTCATTTTTTTTGGTCTAACTAACTCCAAAAGGTTGGAAAAGAGTTCCTACAAAGGTTTTGGACAGTGATTTTAACCCTAACGCCAAAAACCTTAAACCTTACCCTAGCCTTGAAATCTAATACCCGGGTATTACCTTCAGGAAGCCTGAACACCCCAAATATTTTTTTCTTCATTTTACATTTTTTTTGGTCTAACTAACTCCAAAAGGTTGGAAAAGAGTTCCTACAAAGGTTTTGGACAGTGATTTTAACCCTAACGCCAAAAAACTTAAACCTTACCCTAGCCTCAAAATCTAATACCCGGGTATTACATTCAGGAACCCCGAAAACCCCAAATATTGTTTTTTAATTTTTCATTTTTTTTTGGTCTAACTAACTCCAAAAGGTTGGAAAAGAGTTCCTACAAAGGTTTTGGACAGTGATTTTAACCCTAACGCCAAAAAACTTAAACCTTACCATAGCCCCAAAACCTAATACCCGGGTATTACTTTTAGGAAGCCTGAACACCCCAAATATTTTTTTTTTCATTTTTCTTTTTTTTTTGGTCAAACTAACTCCAAAAGGTTGGAAAAGAGTTCCTACAAAGGTTTTGGACAGTGATTTTAACCCTAACGCCAAAAACCTTAAACCTTTCCCCAGTCCCAAAACCTAATACCTGGGTATTACCTTCAGGAGCCCGAAAACCCCCAAAATATTTTTTTCTTTTTTCATATTTTTTGGTCTAACTAACTCCAAAAGGTTGGAAAAGAGTTCCTACAAAGGTTTTGGACAGTGATTTTAACCCTAACGCCAAAAAACTTAAACCTTTCCCTAGCCTTAAAATCTAATACCCGGGTATTACTTTTAGGAAGCCTGAACACCCCAAATATATTTTTTTCATTTTTCATTTTTTTTTTTTTGGTCTAACTAACTCCAAAAGGTTGGAAAAGAGTTCCTACAAAGGTTTTGGACAGTGATTTTAACCCTAACGCCAAAAAACTTAAACCTTACCCTAGCCTTAAAATCTAATACCCGGGTATTACATTCAGGAAGCCCGAAAACCCCAAATATTTTTTTTTCATTTTTCATTTTTTTTTGGTCTAACTAACTCCAAAAGGTTGGAAAAGAGTTCCTACAAAGGTTTTGGACAGTGATTTTAACCCTAACGCCAAAAACCTTAAACCTTACCCTAGCCCCATAACCTAATACCCGGGTATTACTTTTAGGAAGCCTGAACACCCCAAATATTTTTTTTTCATTTTTCTTTTTTTTTTTTTTGGTCTAACTAACTCCAAAAGGTTGGAAAAGAGTTCCTACAAAGGTTTTGGACAGTGATTTTAACCCTAACGCCAAAAACCTTAAACCTTTCCCTAGTCCCAAAACCTAATACACGGGTATTACTTTCAGGGAGCCCGAAAACCCCCAATAATATTTTTTTCTTTTTTCATATTTTTTGGTCTAACTAACTCCAAAAGGTTGGAAAAGAGTTCCTACAAAGGTTTTGGACAGTGATTTTAACCCTAACGCCAAAAACCTTAAACCTTACCCTAGCCTTGAAATCTAATACCCGGGTATTACCTTCAGGAAGCCTGAACACCCCAAATATTTTTTTTTCATTTTACATTTTTTTTTGGTGTAACTAACTCCAAAAGGTTGGAAACGAGTTCCTACAAAGGTTTTGGACAGTGATTTTAACCCTAACGCCAAAAACCTTAAACCTTACCCTAGCCCAAAATCTAATACCCGGGTATTACCTTCAGGAAGCCTGAACACCCCAAATATTTTTTTTTTCATTTTACATTTTTTTTGGTGTAACCAACTCCAAAAGGTTGGAAAAGAGTTCCTACAAAGGTTTTGGACAGTGATTTTAACCCTAACGCCAAAAACCTTAAACCTTACCCTAGCCCCATAACCTAATACCCGGGTATTACTTTTAGGAAGCCTGAACACCCCAAATATATTTTTTTCATTTTTCTTTTTTTTTTTTGGTCTAACTAACTCCAAAAGGTTGGAAAAGAGTTCCTACAAAGGTTTTGGACAGTGATTTTAACCCTAACGCCAAAAACTTAAACCTTACCATAGCCCCATAACCTAATACCCGGGTATTACTTTTAGGAAGCCTGAACACCCCAAATATTTTTTTTTCATTTTTTTTTTTTTTTTGGTCTAACTAACTCCAAAAGGTTGGAAAAGAGTTCCTACAAAGGTTTTGGACAGTGATTTTAACCCTAACGCCAAAAACCTTAAACCTTACCCTAGCCCAAAACCTAATACCCGGGTATTACTTTCAGGAAGCCCGAAAACCCCCAATAATTTTTTTTTCTTTTTTCATTTTTTTTGGTCTAACTAACTCCAAAAGGTTGGAAAAGAGTTCCTACAAAGGTTTTGGACAGTGATTTTAACCCTAACGCCAAAAAACTTAAACCTTACCCTAGCCCAAAACCTAATACCCGGGTATTACTTTCAGGAAGCCCGAAACCCCAAATATTTTTTTTTCATTTTTTTTTTTTTTTGGTCTAACTAACTCCAAAAGGTTGGAAAAGAGTTCCTACAAAGGTTTTGGACAGTGATTTTAACCCTAACGCCAAAAACCTTAAACCTTACCCTAGCCCCATAACCTAATACCCGGGTATTACTTTTAGGAAGCCTGAACACCCCAAATATTTTTTTTTCATTTTTCTTTTTTTTTGGTCTAACTAACTCCAAAAGGTTGGAAAAGAGTTCCTACAAAGGTTTTGGACAGTGATTTTAACCCTAACGCCAAAAACCTTAAACCTTACCCTAGCCCAAAACCTAATACCCGGGTATTACTTTCAGGAAGCCCGAAAACCCCAATAATTTTTTTTTCATTTTTCATTTTTTTTGGTCTAACTAACTCCAAAAGGTTGAAAAAGAGTTCCTACAAAGGTTTTGGACAGTGATTTTAACCCTAACGCCAAAAACCTTAAACCTTACCCTAGCCTCAAAATCTAATACCCGGGTATTACATTCAGGAAGCCGAACACCCCAAATATTTTTTTTTCATTTTACATTTTTTTTGGTGTAACCAACTCCAAAAGGTTGGAAAAGAGTTCCTACAAAGGTTTTGGACAGTGATTTTAACCCTAACGCCAAAAACCTTAAACCTTACCATAGCCCCATAACCTAATACCCGGGTATTACTTTTAGGAAGCCTGAACACCCCATATATTTTTTTTTCATTTTTCTTTTTTTTTTGGTCTAACTAACTCCAAAAGGTTGGAAAAGAGTTCCTACAAAGGTTTTGGACAGTGATTTTAACCCTAACGCCAAAAACTTAAACCTTACCATAGCCCCATAACCTAATACCCGGGTATTACTTTTAGGAAGCCTGAACACCCCAAATATTTTTTTTTCATTTTTCTTTTTTTTTTTGGTCTAACTAACTCCAAAAGGTTGGAAAAGAGTTCCTACAAAGGTTTTGGACAGTGATTTTAACCCTAACGCCAAAACCCTTAAACCTTTCCCTAGTCCCAAAACCTAATACCGGGTATTACTTTCAGGAAGCCCGAACACCCCAAATAATTTTTTTTCATTTTTCATTTTTTTGGTCTAACTAACTCCAAAAGGTTGAAAAAGAGTTCCTACAAAGGTTTTGGACAGTGATTTTAACCCTAACGCCAAAAAACTTAAACCTTACCATAGCCCCATAACCTAATACCCGGGTATTACTTTTAGGAAGCCTGAACACCCCAAATATTTTTTTTTCATTTTTCTTTTTTTTTTGGTCTAACTAACTCCAAAAGGTTGGAAAAGAGTTCCTACAAAGGTTTTGGACAGTGATTTTAACCCTAACGCCAAAACCCTTAAACCTTTCCCTAGTCCCAAAACCTAATACCCGGGTATTACTTTCAGGAAGCCCGAAAACCCCCAATATTTTTTTTTCTTTTTTCATTTTTTTGGTCTAACTAACTCCAAAAGGTTGGAAAAGAGTTCCTACAAAGGTTTTGGACAGTGATTTTAACCCTAACGCCAAAAACCTTAAACCTTACCCTAGCCTTGAAATCTAATACCCGGGTATTACCTTCAGGAAGCCTGAACACCCCAAATATTTTTTTCTTCATTTTTCATTTTTTTTTGGTCTAACTAACTCCAAAAGGTTGGAAAAGAGTTCCTACAAAGGTTTTGGACAGTGATTTTAACCCTAACGCCAAAAAACTTAAACCTTACCCTAGCCTCAAAATCTAATACCCGGGTATTACATTCAGGAAGCCCGAAAACCCCAAATAATTTTTTTTTTCATTTTTCATTTTTTTTTGGTCTAACTAACTCCAAAAGGTTGAAAAAGAGTTCCTACAAAGGTTTTGGACAGTGATTTTAACCCTAACGCCAAAAAACTTAAACCTTACCATAGCCACAAAACCTAATACCTGGGTATTACTTTTAGGAAGCCTGAACTCCCCAAATATTTTTTTTTCATTTTTCTTTTTTTTTTGGTCTAACTAACTCCAAAAGGTTGGAAAAGTGTTCCTACAAAGGTTTTGGACAGTGATTTTAACCCTAACGCCAAAAACCTTAAACCTTTCCCCAGTCCCAAAACCTAATACCTGGGTATTACCTTCACGGAGCCCGAAAACCCCCAATAATATTTTTTTCTTTTTTCATATTTTTTGGTCTAACTAACTCCAAAAGGTTGGAAAAGAGTTCCTACAAAGGTTTTGGACAGTGATTTTAACCCTAACGCCAAAAAACCTTAAACCTTACCATAGCCCCATAACCTAATACCCGGGTATTACTTTTAGGAAGCCTGAACACCCCAAATATTTTTTTTCATTTTTCATTTTTTTTTGGTCTAACTAACTCCAAAAGGTTGGAAAAGAGTTCCTACAAAGGTTTTGGACAGTGATTTTAACCCTAACGCCAAAAACCTTAAACCTTACCATAGCCCCATAACCTCATACCCGGGTATTACTTTTAGGAAGCCTGAACACCCCAAATATTTTTTTTTTCATTTTTCTTTTTTTTTTGGTCTAACTAACTCCAAAAGGTTGGAAAAGAGTTCCTACAAAGGTTTTGGACAGTGATTTTAACCCTAACGCCAAAAACCTTAAACCTTTCCCTAGCCCAAAACCTAATACCCGGGTATTACTTTCAGGAAGCCCGAAAACCCCAATAATTTTTTTTCTTTTTCATATTTTTTGGTCTAACTAACTCCAAAAGGTTGGAAAAGAGTTCCTACAAAGGTTTTGGACAGTGATTTTAACCCTAACGCCAAAAAACTTAAACCTTTCCCTGGCCTTAAAATCTAATACCCGGGTATTACATTCAGGAAGCCCGTAAACCCCAAATATATTTTTTTTCATTTTTAATTTTTTTTTTGTCTAACTAACTCCAAAAGGTTGGAAAAGAGTTCCTACAAAGGTTTTGGACAGTGATTTTAACCCTAACGCCAAAAACCTTAAACCTTACCATAGCCCCATAACCTAATACCCGGGTATTACTTTTAGGAAGCCTGAACACCCCAAATATATTTTTTCATTTTTCATTTTTTTTTGGTCTAACTAACTCCAAAAGGTTGGAAAAGAGTTCCTACAAAGGTTTTGGACAGTGATTTTAACCCTAACGCCAAAAACCTTAAACCTTACCATAGCCCCATAACCTAATACCCGGGTATTACTTTTAGGAAGCCTGAACACCCCAAATATTTTTTTTTCATTTTTCTTTTTTTTTGGTCTAACTAACTCCAAAAGGTTGGAAAAGAGTTCCTACAAAGGTTTTGGACAGTGATTTTAACCCTAACGCCAAAACTTAAACCTTACCATAGCCCCATAACCTAATACCCGGGTATTACTTTTAGGAAGCCTGAACACCCCAAATATTTTTTTTTCATTTTTCTTTTTTTTTGGTCTAACTAACTCCAAAAGGTTGGAAAAGAGTTCCTACAAAGGTTTTGGACAGTGATTTTAACCCTAACGCCAAAAAACTTAAACCTTTCCCTAGTCCCAAAACCTAATACACGGGTATTACTTTCAGGGAGCCCGAAAACCCCCAATAATATTTTTTTCTTTTTTCATATTTTTTGGTCTAACTAACTCCAAAAGGTTGGAAAAGAGTTCCTACAAAGGTTTTGGACAGTGATTTTAACCCTAACGCCAAAAACCTTAAACCTTACCCTAGCCTTGAAATCTAATACCCGGGTATTACCTTCAGGAAGCCTGAACACCCCAAATATTTTTTTCTTCATTTTACATTTTTTTGGTGTAACCAACTCCAAAAGGTTGGAAAAGAGTTCCTACAAAGGTTTTGGACAGTGATTTTAACCCTAATGCCAAAAAACTTAAACCTTACCCTAGCCTCAAAATCTAATACCCGGGTATTACATTCAGGAACCCCGAAAACCCCAAATATTGTTTTTTAATTTTTCATTTTTTTTTGGTCTAACTAACTCCAAAAGGTTGGAAAAGAGTTCCTACAAAGGTTTTGGACAGTGATTTTAACCCTAACGCCAAAAAACTTAAACCTTACCATAGCCACAAAACCTAATACCTGGGTATTACTTTTAGGAAGCCTGAACTCCCCAAATATTTTTTTTTCATTTTTCTTTTTTTTTTTTGGTCTAACTAACTCCAAAAGGTTGGAAAAGAGTTCCTACAAAGGTTTTGGACAGTGATTTTAACCCTAACGCCAAAAACCTTAAACCTTTCCCCAGTCCCAAAACCTAATACCTGGGTATTACCTTCAGGAAGCCCGAAAACCCCCAATAATATTTTTTTCTTTTTTCATATTTTTTGGTCTAACTAACTCCAAAAGGTTGGAAAAGAGTTCCTACAAAGGTTTTGGACAGTGATTTTAACCCTAACGCCAAAAAACTTAAACCTTTCCCTGGCCTTAAAATCTAATACCCGGGTATTACCTTCAGGAAGCCTGAACACCCCAAATATATTTTTTTTCATTTTTAATTTTTTTTTTTTGTCTAACTAACTCCAAAAGGTTGGAAAAGAGTTCCTACAAAGGTTTTGGACAGTGATTTTAACCCTAACGCCAAAAACCTTAAACCTTACCATAGCCCCATAACCTAATACCCGGGTATTACTTTTAGGAAGCCTGAACACCCCAAATAGATTTTTTTTAATTTTTCATTTTTTTTTGGTCTAACTAAATCCAAAAGGTTGTTAAAGAGTTCCTACAAAGGTTTTGGACAGTGATTTTAAACCTAACGCCAAAAACCTTAAACCTTACCATAGCCCCATAACCTCATACCCGGGTATTACTTTTAGGAAGCCTGAACACCCCAAATATTTTTTTTTTCATTTTTCTTTTTTTTTTGGTCTAACTAACTCCAAAAGGTTGGAAAAGAGTTCCTACAAAGGTTTTGGACAGTGATTTTAACCCTAACGCCAAAACCCTTAAACCTTTCCCTAGTCCCAAAACCTAATACCCGGGTATTACTTTCAGGAAGCCCGAAAACCCCCAATAATATTTTTTTCTTTTTTCATATTTTTTGGTCTAACTAACTCCAAAAGGTTGGAAAAGAGTTCCTACAAAGGTTTTGGACAGTGATTTTAACCCTAACGCCAAAAAACTTAAACCTTACCCTTGCCTTAAAATCTAATACCCGGGTATTACATTCTGGAAGCCCGTAAACCCCAAATATATTTTTTTTCATTTTTAATTTTTTTTTTTGTCTAACTAACTCCAAAAGGTTGGAAAAGAGTTCCTACAAAGGTTTTGGACAGTGATTTTAACCCTAACGCCAAAAACCTTAAACCTTACCATAGCCCCATAACCTAATACCCGGGTATTACTTTTAGGAAGCCTGAACACCCCAAATATATTTTTTTTAATTTTTCATTTTTTTTTGGTCTAACTAACTCCAAAAGGTTGGAAAAGAGTTCCTACAAAGGTTTTGGACAGTGATTTTAACCCTAACGCCAAAACCTTAAACCTTACCATAGCCCCAAAACCTAATACCCAGGGTATTACTTTTAGGAAGCCTGAACACCCCATATATTTTTTTTTATTTTTATTTATTTTTTGGTCTAACTAACTCCAAAAGGTTGGAAAAGAGTTCCTACAAAGGTTTTGGACAGTGATTTTAACCCTAACGCCAAAACCTTAAACCTTACCATAGCCCCATAACCTAATACCCGGGTATTACTTTTAGGAAGCCTGAACACCCCAAATATATTTTTTTTCATTTTTCTTTTTTTTTTGGTCTAACTAACTCCAAAAGGTTGGAAAAGAGTTCCTACAAAGGTTTTGGACAGTGATTTTAACCCTAACGCCAAAAACCTTAAACCTTACCCTAGCCTCAAAATCTAATACCCGGGTATTACATTCAGGAAGCCGAACACCCCAAATATTTTTTTTTTCATTTTACATTTTTTTTGGTGTAACCAACTCCAAAAGGTTGGAAAAGAGTTCCTACAAAGGTTTTGGACAGTGATTTTAACCCTAACGCCAAAAACCTTAAACCTTACCATAGCCCCATAACCTAATACCCGGTATTACTTTTAGGAAGCCTGAACACCCCAAATATTTTTTTTTCATTTTTCTTTTTTTTTTGGTCTAACTAAATCCAAAAGGTTGTAAAAGAGTTCCTACAAAGGTTTTGGACAGTGATTTTAAACCTAACGCCAAAACGTTAAACCTTACCATAGCCCCATAACCTAATACCCGGGTATTACTTTTAGGAAGCCTGAACACCCCAAATATTTTTTTTTCATTTTTCTTTTTTTTTTGGTCTAACTAACTCCAAAAGGTTGGAAAAGAGTTCCTACAAAGGTTTTGGACAGTGATTTTAACCCTAACGCCAAAACCCTTAAACCTTTCCCTAGCCCCAAAACCTAATACACGGGTATTACTTTCAGGAAGCCCGAAACCCCAAATAATTTTTTTTCATTTTTCATTTTTTTGGTCTAACTAACTCCAAAAGGTTGGAAAAGAGTTCCTACAAAGGTTTTGGACAGTGATTTTAACCCTAACGCCAAAAACCTTAAACCTTACCCTAGCCTTAAAATCTAATACCCGGGTATTACCTTCAGGAAGCCTGAACACCCCAAATATATTTTTTTTCATTTTTCATTTTTTTTTGGTCTAACTAACTCCAAAAGGTTGGAAAAGAGTTCCTACAAAGGTTTTGGACAGTGATTTTAACCCTAACGCCAAAAAACTTAAACCTTACCATAGCCCCATAACCTAATACCCGGGTATTACTTTTAGGAAGCCTGAACACCCCAAAATTTTTTTTTTCATTTTTTTTTTTTTTTGGTCTAACTAACTCCAAAAGGTTGGAAAAGAGTTCCTACAAAGGTTTTGGACAGTGATTTTAACCCTAACGCCAAAACCTTAAACCTTACCCTAGTCCCAAAACCTAATACACGGGTATTACTTTCAGGAAGCCCGAAAACCCCCAATAATATTTTTTTCTTTTTTCATATTTTTTGGTCTAACTAACTCCAAAAGGTTGGAAAAGAGTTCCTACAAAGGTTTTGGACAGTGATTTTAACCCTAACGCCAAAAACCTTAAACCTTACCCTAGCCTTAAAATCTAATACCTGGGTATTACATTCAGGAAGCCCGTAAACCCCAAATATTTTTTTTTCATTTTACATTTTTGTTGGTGTAACCAACTCCAAAAGGTTGGAAAAGAGTTCCTACAAAGGTTTTGGACAGTGATTTTAACCCTAATGCCAAAAAACTTAAACCTTACCCTAGCCTCAAAATCTAATACCCGGGTATTACATTCAGGAACCCCGAAAACCCCAAATATTGTTTTTTAATTTTTCATTTTTTTTTGGTCTAACTAACTCCAAAAGGTTGGAAAAGAGTTCCTACAAAGGTTTTGGACAGTGATTTTAACCCTAACGCCAAAAACCTTAAACCTTACCATAGCCCCATAACCTAATACCCGGGTATTACTTTTAGGAAGCCTGAACACCCCAAATATATTTTTTTCATTTTTCTTTTTTTTTTGGTCTAACTAACTCCAAAAGGTTGGAAAAGAGTTCCTACAAAGGTTTTGGACAGTGATTTTAACCCTAATGCCAAAAACCTTAAACCTTACCATAGCCCCATAACCTAATACCCGGGTATTACTTTTAGGAAGCCTGAACACCCCAAAATATTTTTTTTTCATTTTTCTTTTTTTTTTTGGTCTAACTAACTCCAAAAGGTTGGAAAAGAGTTCCTACAAAGGTTTTGGACAGTGATTTTAACCCTAACGCCAAAAAACTTAAACCTTACCCTAGCCCCAAAACCTAATACCCGGGTATTACTTCAGGAAGCCCTAAACCCCAAATATTTTTTTTTCATTTTTCATTTTTTTTTGGTCTAACTAACTCCAAAAGGTTGGAAAAGAGTTCCTACAAAGGTTTTGGACAGTGATTTTAACCCTAACGCCAAAAACCTTAAACCTTACCCTAGCCCCAAAACCTAATACCCGGGTATTACTTTTAGGAAGCCTGAACACCCCAAATATATTTTTTTTCATTTTTCTTTTTTTTTTTTTGGTCTAACTAACTCCAAAAGGTTGGAAAAGAGTTCCTACAAAGGTTTTGGACAGTGATTTTAACCCTAACGCCAAAAACCTTAAACCTTACCATAGCCCCATAACCTAATACCCGGGTATTACTTTTAGGAAGCCTGAACACCCCAAATAGATTTTTTTTAATTTTTCATTTTTTTTTGGTCTAACTAAATCCAAAAGGTTGGAAAAGAGTTCCTACAAAGGTTTTGGACAGTGATTTTAAACCTAACGCCAAAAACCTTAAACCTTACCATAGCCCCATAACCTAATACCCGGGTATTACTTTTAGGAAGCCTGAACACCCCAAATATTTTTTTTTTCATTTTTCTTTTTTTTTTGGTCTAACTAACTCCAAAAGGTTGGAAAAGAGTTCCTACAAAGGTTTTGGACAGTGATTTTAACCCTAACGCCAAAAACCTTAAACCTTTCCCTAGTCCCAAAACCTAATACACGGGTATTACTTTCAGGGAGCCCGAAAACCCCCAATAATATTTTTTTCTTTTTTCATATTTTTTGGTCTAACTAACTCCAAAAGGTTGGAAAAGAGTTCCTACAAAGGTTTTGGACAGTGATTTTAACCCTAACGCCAAAAAACTTAAACCTTTCCCTGGCCTTAAAATCTAATACCCGGGTATTACATTCAGGAAGCCCGTAAACCCCAAATATATTTTTTTTCATTTTTAATTTTTTTTGGTCTAACTAACTCCAAAAGGTTGAAAAAGAGTTCCTACAAAGGTTTTGGACAGTGATTTTAACCCTAACGCCAAAAACCTTAAACCTTACCATAGCCCCATAACCTAATACCCGGGTATTACTTTTAGGAAGCCTGAACACCCCAAATATATTTTTTTTAATTTTTCATTTTTTTTTGGTCTAACTAACTCCAAAAGGTTGTTAAAGAGTTCCTACAAAGGTTTTGGACAGTGATTTTAACCCTAACGCCAAAAACCTTAAACCTTACCATAGCCCCATAACCTAATACCCAGGTATTACTTTTAGGAAGCCTGAACACCCCATATATTTTTTTTTCATTTTTCTTTATTTTTTGGTCTAACTAAATCCAAAAGGTTGGAAAAGAGTTCCTACAAAGGTTTTGGACAGTGATTTTAAACCTAACGCCAAAACGTTAAACCTTACCATAGCCCCATAACCTAATACCCGGGTATTACTTTTAGGAAGCCTGAACACCCCAAATATTTTTTTTTCATTTTTCTTTTTTTTTTGGTCTGACTAACTCCAAAAGGTTGGAAAAGAGTTCCTACAAAGGTTTTGGACAGTGATTTTAACCCTAACGCCAAAACCCTTAAACCTTTCCCTAGTCCCAAAACCTAATACACGGGTATTACTTTCAGGGAGCCCGAAAACCCCCAATAATATTTTTTTCTTTTTTCATATTTTTTGGTCTAACTAACTCCAAAAGGTTGGGAAAGAGTTCCTACAAAGGTTTTGGACAGTGATTTTAACCCTAACGCCAAAAACCTTAAACCTTACCCTAGCCTTGAAATCTAATACCCGGGTATTACCTTCAGGAAGCCTGAACACCCCAAATATTTTTTTCTTCATTTTACATTTTTGTTGGTGTAACCAACTCCAAAAGTTTGGAAAAGAGTTCCTACAAAGGTTTTGGACAGTGATTTTAACCCTAATTCCAAAAAACTTAAACCTTACCCTAGCCTCAAAATCTAATACCCGGGTATTACATTCAGGAACCCCGAAAACCCCAAATATTGTTTTTTAATTTTTCATTTTTTTTTGGTCTAACTAACTCCAAAAGGTTGTAAAAGAGTTCCTACAAAGGTTTTGGACAGTGATTTTAACCCTAACGCCAAAAAACTTAAACCTTACCATAGCCACAAAACCTAATACCTGGGTATTACTTTTAGGAAGCCTGAACTCCCCAAATATTTTTTTTTCATTTTTCTTTTTTTTTTGGTCAAACTAACTCCAAAAGGTTGGAAAAGTGTTCCTACAAAGGTTTTGGACAGTGATTTTAACCCTAACGCCAAAAACCTTAAACCTTTCCCCAGTCCCAAAACCTAATACCTGGGTATTACCTTCACGGAGCCCGAAAACCCCCAATAATATTTTTTTCTTTTTTCATATTTTTTGGTCTAACTAACTCCAAAAGGTTGGAAAAGAGTTCCTACAAAGGTTTTGGACAGTGATTTTAACCCTAACGCCAAAAAACTTAAACCTTTCCCTGGCCTTAAAATCTAATACCCGGGTATTACCTTCAGGAAGCCTGAACACCCCAAATATATATTTTTTCATTTTTAATTTTTTTTTTTTGTCTAACTAACTCCAAAAGGTTGAAAAAGAGTTCCTACAAAGGTTTTGGACAGTGATTTTAACCCTAACGCCAAAAACCTTAAACCTTACCATAGCCCCATAACCTAATACCCGGGTATTACTTTTAGGAAGCCTGAACACCCCAAATAGATTTTTTTTTTTTTTTTTTTTTTTGGTCTAACTAAATCCAAAAGGTTGTTAAAGAGTTCCTACAAAGGTTTTGGACAGTGATTTTAAACCTAACGCCAAAAACCTTAAACCTTACCATAGCCCCATAACCTCATACCCGGGTATTACTTTTAGGAAGCCTGAACACCCCAAATATTTTTTTTTTCATTTTTCTTTTTTTTTTTGGTCTAACTAACTCCAAAAGGTTGGAAAAGAGTTCCTACAAAGGTTTTGGACAGTGATTTTAACCCTAACGCCAAAACCCTTAAACCTTTCCCTAGTCCCAAAACCTAATACACGGGTATTACTTTCAGGGAGCCCGAAAACCCCCAATAATATTTTTTTCTTTTTTCATATTTTTTGGTCTAACTAACTCCAAAAGGTTGGAAAAGAGTTCCTACAAAGGTTTTGGACAGTGATTTTAACCCTAACGCCAAAAAACTTAAACCTTACCCTGGCCTTAAAATCTAATACCCGGGTATTACATTCAGGAAGCCCGTAAACCCCAAATATATTTTTTTTCATTTTTAATTTTTTTTTTTGTCTAACTAACTCCAAAAGGTTGAAAAAGAGTTCCTACAAAGGTTTTGGACAGTGATTTTAACCCTAACGCCAAAAACCTTAAACCTTACCATAGCCCCATAACCTAATACCCGGGTATTACTTTTAGGAAGCCTGAACACCCCAAATATATTTTTTTTAATTTTTCATTTTTTTTGGTCTAACTAAATCCAAAAGGTTGTTAAAGAGTTCCTACAAAGGTTTTGGACAGTGATTTTAACCCTAACGCCAAAACCTTAAACCTTACCATAGCCCCATAACCTAATACCCAGGTATTACTTTTAGGAAGCCTGAACACCCCATATATTTTTTTTTTTTTATTTTTCTTTATTTTTTGGTCTAACTAAATCCAAAAGGTTGGAAAAGAGTTCCTACAAAGGTTTTGGACAGTGATTTTAAACCTAACGCCAAAACGTTAAACCTTACCATAGCCCCATAACCTAATACCCGGGTATTACTTTTAGGAAGCCTGAACACCCCAAATATATTTTTTTTAATTTTTCTTTTTTTTTTGGTCTAACTAAATCCAAAAGGTTGTTAAAGAGTTCCTACAAAGGTTTTGGACAGTGATTTTAACCCTAACACCAAAAACCTTAAACCTTACCCTAGCCTCAAAATCTAATACCCGGGTATTACATTCAGGAAGTCCGAACACCCCAAATATTTTTTTTTTTCATTTTACATTTTTTTTGGTGTAACCAACTCCAAAAGGTTGGAAAAGAGTTCCTACAAAGGTTTTGGACAGTGATTTTAACCCTAACGCCAAAAACCTTAAACCTTACCATAGCCCCATAACCTAATACCCAGGTATTACTTTTAGGAAGCCTGAACACCCCAAATATATTTTTTTTTCATTTTTCTTTTTTTTTTGGTCTAACTAAATCCAAAAGGTTGTTAAAGAGTTCCTACAAAGGTTTTGGACAGTGATTTTAAACCTAACGCCAAAACGTTAAACCTTACCATAGCCCCATAACCTAATACCCGGGTATTACTTTTAGGAAGCCTGAACACCCCAAATATTTTTTTTTCATTTTTCTTTTTTTTTTGGTCTAACTAACTCCAAAAGGTTGGAAAAGAGTTCCTACAAAGGTTTTGGACAGTGATTTTAACCCTAACGCCAAAACCCTTAAACCTTTCCCTAGTCCCAAAACCTAATACACGGGTATTACTTTCAGGGAGCCCGAACACCCCAAATAATATTTTTTTCTTTTTTCATATTTTTTGGTCTAACTAACTCCAAAAGGTTGGAAAAGAGTTCCTACAAAGGTTTTGGACAGTGATTTTAACCCTAACACCAAAAACCTTAAACCTTTCCCTGGCCTTAAAATCTAATACCCGGGTATTACCTTCAGGAAGCCTGAACACCCCAAATATATTTTTTTTCATTTTTAATTTTTTTTTTTTGTCTAACTAACTCCAAAAGGTTGGAAAAGAGTTCCTACAAAGGTTTTGGACAGTGATTTTAAACCTAACGCCAAAACGTTAAACCTTACCATAGCCCCATAACCTAATACCCGGGTATTACTTTTAGGAAGCCTGAACACCCCAAATTTTTTTTTTTCATTTTTTTTTTTTTTTGGTCTAACTAACTCCAAAAGGTTGGAAAAGAGTTCCTACAAAGGTTTTGGACAGTGATTTTAACCCTAACGCCAAAACCCTTAAACCTTTCCCTAGTCCCAAAACCTAATACACGGGTATTACTTTCAGGGAGCCCGAAAACCCCCAATAATATTTTTTTCTTTTTTCATATTTTTTGGTCTAACTAACTCCAAAAGGTTGGAAAAGAGTTCCTACAAAGGTTTTGGACAGTGATTTTAACCCTAACGCCAAAAACCTTAAACCTTACCCTAGCCTTAAAATCTAATACCTGGGTATTACATTCAGGAAGCCCGTAAACCCCAAATATTTTTTTTCATTTTACATTTTTGTTGGTGTAACCAACTCCAAAAGGTTGGAAAAGAGTTCCTACAAAGGTTTTGGACAGTGATTTTAACCCTAATGCCAAAAAACTTAAACCTTACCCTAGCCTCAAAATCTAATACCCGGGTATTACATTCAGGAACCCCGAAAACCCCAAATATTGTTTTTTAATTTTTCATTTTTTTTTGGTCTAACTAACTCCAAAAGGTTGGAAAAGAGTTCCTACAAAGGTTTTGGACAGTGATTTTAACCCTAACGCCAAAAACCTTAAACCTTACCATAGCCCCATAACCTAATACCCGGGTATTACTTTTAGGAAGCCTGAACACCCCAAATATATTTTTTTCATTTTTTTTTTTTTTTTTGGTCTAACCAACTCCAAAAGGTTGTTAAAGAGTTCCTACAAAGGTTTTGGACAGTGATTTTAACCCTAATGCCAAAAACCTTAAACCTTACCATAGCCCCATAACCTAATACCCAGGTATTACTTTTAGGAAGCCTGAACACCCCAAATATTTTTTTTTCATTTTTCTTTTTTTTTTTGGTCTAACTAACTCCAAAAGGTTGGAAAAGAGTTCCTACAAAGGTTTTGGACAGTGATTTTAACCCTAACGCCAAAAAACTTAAACCTTACCCTGGCCTTAAAATCTAATACCCGGGTATTACATTCAGGAAGCCCGTAAACCCCAAATATTTTTTTTTTCATTTTTCATTCTTTTTTTGGTCTAACTAACTCCAAAAGGTTGAACAAGAGTTCCTACAAAGGTTTTGGACAGTGATTTCAACCCTAACGCCAAAAACCTTAAACCTTACCCTAGCCCCATAACCTAATACCCGGGTATTACTTTTAGGAAGCCTGAACACCCCAAATATTTTTTTTTCATTTTTCTTTTTTTTTTTTGGTCTAACTAACTCCAAAAGGTTGGAAAAGAGTTCCTACAAAGGTTTTGGACAGTGATTTTAACCCTAACGCCAAAAACCTTAAACCTTTCCCTAGTCCCAAAACCTAATACACGGGTATTACTTTCAGGGAGCCAAAAAACCCCCAATAAAATTTTTTTCTTTTTTCATATTTTTTGGTCTAACTAACTCCAAAAGGTTGGAAAAGAGTTCCTACAAAGGTTTTGGACAGTGATTTTAACCCTAACACCAAAAACCTTAAACCTTACCCTAGCCTCAAAATCTAATACCCGGGTATTACATTCAGGAAGTCCGAACACCCCAAATATTTTTTTTTTTCATTTTTAATTTTTTTTGGTGTAACCAACTCCAAAAGGTTGGAAAAGAGTTCCTACAAAGGTTTTGGACAGTGATTTTAACCCTAACGCCAAAAACCTTAAACCTTACCATAGCCCCATAACCTAATACCCAGGTATTACTTTTAGGAAGCCTGAACACCCCATATATTTTTTTTTCATTTTTCTTTTTTTTTTTGGTCTAACTAAATCCAAAAGGTTGTTAAAGAGTTCCTACAAAGGTTTTGGACAGTGATTTTAAACCTAACGCCAAAACGTTAAACCTTACCATAGCCCCATAACCTAATACCCGGGTATTACTTTTAGGAAGCCTGAACACCCCAAATATTTTTTTTTCATTTTTCTTTTTTTTTTGGTCTAACTAACTCCAAAAGGTTGGAAAAGAGTTCCTACAAAGGTTTTGGACAGTGATTTTAACCCTAACGCCAAAAACCTTAAACCTTACCCTAGCCTTAAAATCTAATACCCGGGTATTACCTTCAGGAAGCCTGAACACCCCAAATATTTTTTTCTTCATTTTACATTTTTGTTGGTGTAACCAACTCCAAAAGGTTGGAAAAGAGTTCCTACAAAGGTTTTGGACAGTGATTTAAACCCTAATGCCAAAAAACTTAAACCTTACCCTAGCCTTAAAATCTAATACCCGGGTATTACATTCAGGAACCCCGAAAACCCCAAATATTGTTTTTTCATTTTTCATTTTTTTTTGGTCTAACTAACTCAAAAAAGGTTGGAAAAGAGTTCCTACAAAGGTTTTGGACAGTGATTTTAACCCTAATGCCAAAAAACTTAAACCTTACCATAGCCCCAAAACCTAATACCCGGGTATTACTTTCAGGGAGCCCGAAAACCCCCAATAATATTTTTTTCTTTTTTCATATTTTTTGGTCTAACTCCAAAAGGTTGGAAAAGAGTTCCTACAAAGGTTTTGGACAGTGATTTTAACCCTAACGCCAAAAAACTTAAACCTTACCATAGCCCCAAAACCTAATACCCGGGTATTTCTTTCAGGGAGCCCGAAAACCCCCAAAAATATTTTTTTCTTTTTTCATATTTTTTGGTCTAACTAACTCCAAAAGGTTGGAAAAGAGTTCCTACAAAGGTTTTGGACAGTGATTTTAACCCTAACGCCAAAAAACTTAAACCTTACCATAGCCCCATAACCTAATACCCGGGTATTACTTTTAGGAAGCCTGAACACCCCAAATATTTTTTTTTTCATTTTTCATTTTTTTTTGGTCTAACTAACTCCAAAAGGTTGGAAAAGAGTTCCTACAAAGGTTTTGGACAGTGATTTTAACCCTAACGCCAAAAACCTTAAACCTTTCCCTAGTCCCAAAACCTAATACACGGGTATTACTTTCAGGGAGCCCGAACACCCCAAATATATATTTTTTCATTTTTCATTTTTTTTTTGGTTTATCTAATTCCAAAAGGTTGGAAAAGTGTTCCTACAAAGGTTTTGGACAGTGATTTTAACCCTAACGCCAAAAACCTTAAACCTTACCATAGCCCCATAACCTAATACCCGGGTATTACTTTTAGGAAGCCTGAACACCCCAAATATATTTTTTTTAATTTTTCATTTTTTTTTGGTCTAACTAAATCCAAAAGGTTGTTAAAGAGTTCCTACAAAGGTTTTGGACAGTGATTTTAAACCTAACGCCAAAACGTTAAACCTTACCATAGCCCCATAACCTAATACCCGGGTATTACTTTTAGGAAGCCTGAACACCCCAAATATATTTTTTTTTCATTTTTCTTTTTTTTTTGGTCTAACTAACTCCAAAAGGTTGGAAAAGAGTTCCTACAAAGGTTTTGGACAGTGATTTTAACCCTAACGCCAAAAACCTTAAACCTTTCCCTAGTCCCAAAACCTAATACACGGGTATTACTTTCAGGGAGCCCGAAAACCCCCAATAATATTTTTTTCTTTTTTCATATTTTTTGGTCTAACTAACTCCAAAAGGTTGGAAAAGAGTTCCTACAAAGGTTTTGGACAGTGATTTTTACCCTAACGCCAAAAACCTTAAACCTTACCCTAGCCTTGAAATCTAATACCCGGGTATTACCTTCAGGAAGCCTGAACACCCCAAATATTTTTTTCTTCATTTTACATTTTTGTTGGTGTAACCAACTCCAAAAGGTTGGAAAAGAGTTCCTACAAAGGTTTTGGACAGTGATTTTAACCCTAACGCCAAAAACCTTAAACCTTACCATAGCCCCATAACCTAATACCCAGGTATTACTTTTAGGAAGCCTGAACACCCCAAATATTTTTTTTTCATTTTTCTTTTTTTTTTGGTCTAACTAACTCCAAAAGGTTGGAAAAGAGTTCCTACAAAGGTTTTGGACAGTGATTTTAACCCTAACGCCAAAACCCTTAAACCTTTCCCTAGTCCCAAAACCTAATACACGGGTATTACTTTCAGGGAGCCCGAAAACCCCCAATAATATTTTTTTCTTTTTTCATATTTTTTGGTCTAACTAACTCCAAAAGGTTGGAAAAGAGTTCCTACAAAGGTTTTGGACAGTGATTTTAACCCTAACGCCAAAAAACTTAAACCTTACCCTGGCCTTAAAATCTAATACCCGGGTATTACATTCAGGAAGCCCGTAAACCCCAAATATATTTTTTTTCATTTTTAATTTTTTTTTTTGTCTAACTAACTCCAAAAGGTTGAAAAAGAGTTCCTACAAAGGTTTTGGACAGTGATTTTAACCCTAACGCCAAAAACCTTAAACCTTACCATAGCCCCATAACCTAATACCCGGGTATTACTTTTAGGAAGCCTGAACACCCCAAATATATTTTTTTTAATTTTTCATTTTTTTTTGGTCTAACTAAATCCAAAAGGTTGTTAAAGAGTTCCTACAAAGGTTTTGGACAGTGATTTTAACCCTAACGCCCAAAACGTTAAACCTTGCCATAGCCCCATAACCTAATACCCAGGTATTACTTTTAGGAAGCCTGAACACCCCATATATTTTTTTTTTCATTTTTCTTTATTTTTTGGTCTAACTAAATCCAAAAGGTTGGAAAAGAGTTCCTACAAAGGTTTTGGACAGTGATTTTAAACCTAACGCCAAAACGTTAAACCTTACCATAGCCCCATAACCTAATACCCGGGTATTACTTTTAGGAAGCCTGAACACCCCAAATATTTTTTTTTCATTTTTCTTTTTTTTTTGGTCTAACTAACTCCAAAAGGTTGGAAAAGAGTTCCTACAAAGGTTTTGGACAGTGATTTTAACCCTAACGCCAAAACCCTTAAACCTTTCCCTAGTCCCAAAACCTAATACACGGGTATTACATTCAGGAAGCCCGTAAACCCCAAATATTTTTTTTTTCATTTTTCATTCTTTTTTTGGTCTAACTAACTCCAAAAGGTTGAAAAAGAGTTCCTACAAAGGTTTTGGACAGTGATTTCAACCCTAATGCCAAAAACCTTAAACCTTACCCTAGCCCCATAACCTAATACCCGGGTATTACTTTTAGGAAGCCTTAACACCCCAAATATTTTTTTTTCATTTTTTTTTTTTTTTTTTGGTCTAACTAACTCCAAAAGGTTGGAAAAGAGTTCCTACAAAGGTTTTGGACAGTGATTTTAACCCTAACACAAAAAACCTTAAACCTTACCCTAGCCTTGAAATCTAATACCCGGGTAATACCTTCAGGAAGCCTGAACACCCCAAATATTTTTTTCTTCATTTTACATTTTTGTTGGTGTAACCAACTCCAAAAGGTTGGAAAAGAGTTCCTACAAAGGTTTTGGACAGTGATTTTAACCCTAATGCCAAAAAACTTAAACCTTACCCTAGCCTCAAAATCTAATACCCGGGTATTACATTCAGGAAGTCCGAACACCCCAAATATTTTTTTTTTCATTTTACATTTTTTTTGGTGTAACCAACTCCAAAAGGTTGGAAAAGAGTTCCTACAAAGGTTTTGGACAGTGATTTTAACCCTAACGCCAAAAACCTTAAACCTTACCATAGCCCCATAACCTAATACCCAGGTATTACTTTTAGGAAGCCTGAACACCCCATATATTTTTTTTTCATTTTTCTTTTTTTTTGGTCTAACTAAATCCAAAAGGTTGTTAAAGAGTTCCTACAAAGGTTTTGGACAGTGATTTTAAACCTAACGCCAAAACGTTAAACCTTACCATAGCCCCATAACCTAATACCCGGGTATTACTTTTAGGAAGCCTGAACACCCCAAATATTTTTTTTTCATTTTTCTTTTTTTTTTGGTCTAACTAACTCCAAAAGGTCTGAAAAGAGTTCCTACAAAGGTTTTGGACAGTGATTTTAACCCTAACGCCAAAACCCTTAAACCTTTCCCTAGTCCCAAAACCTAATACACGGGTATTACTTTCAGGGAGCCCGAAAACCCCCAATAATATTTTTTTCTTTTTTCATATTTTTTGATCTAACTAACTCCAAAAGGTTGGAAAAGAGTTCCTACAAAGGTTTTGGACAGTGATTTTAACCCTAACGCCAAAAACCTTAAACCTTACCCTAGCCTTGAAATCTAATACCTGGGTATTACATTCAGGAAGCCCGTAAACCCCAAATATTTTTTTTTTCATTTTACATTTTTGTTGGTGTAACCAACTCCAAAAGGTTGGAAAAGAGTTCCTACAAAGGTTTTGGACAGTGATTTTAACCCTAATGCCAAAAAACTTAAACCTTACCCTAGCCTCAAAATCTAATACCCGGGTATTACATTCAGGAACCCCGAAAACCCCAAATATTGTTTTTTAATTTTTCATTTTTTTTTGGTCTAACTAACTCCAAAAGGTTGGAAAAGAGTTCCTACAAAGGTTTTGGACAGTGATTTTAACCCTAACGCCAAAAACCTTAAACCTTACCATAGCCCCATAACCTAATACCCGGGTATTACTTTTAGGAAGCCTGAACACCCCATATATTTTTTTTCATTTTTCTTTTTTTTTTGGTCTAACCAACTCCAAAAGGTTGTTAAAGAGTTCCTACAAAGGTTTTGGACAGTGATTTTAACCCTAATGCCAAAAACCTTAAACCTTACCATAGCCCCATAACCTAATACCCAGGTATTACTTTTAGGAAGCCTGAACACCCCAAATATTTTTTTTTCATTTTTCTTTTTTTTTTGGTCTAACTAACTCCAAAAGGTTGGAAAAGAGTTCCTACAAAGGTTTTGGACAGTGATTTTAACCCTAACGCCAAAAAACTTAAACCTTACCCTGGCCTTAAAATCTAATACCCGGGTATTACATTCAGGAAGCCCGTAAACCCCAAATATTTTTTTTTTCATTTTTCATTCTTTTTTTGGTCTAACTAACTCCAAAAGGTTGAAAAAGAGTTCCTACAAAGGTTTTGGACAGTGATTTCAACCCTAACGCCAAAAACCTTAAACCTTACCCTAGCCCCATAACCTAATACCCGGGTATTACTTTTAGGAAGCCTGAACACCCCAAATATTTTTTTTTCATTTTTCTTTTTTTTTTTTTGGTCTAACTAACTCCAAAAGGTTGGAAAAGAGTTCCTACAAAGGTTTTGGACAGTGATTTTAACCCTAACACAAAAAACCTTAAACCTTACCCTAGCCTTGAAATCTAATACCCGGGTATTACCTTCAGGAAGCCTGAACACCCCAAATATTTTTTTCTTCATTTTACATTTTTGTTGGTGTAACCAACTCCAAAAGGTTGGAAAAGAGTTCCTACAAAGGTTTTGGACAGTGATTTTAACCCTAATGCCAAAAAACTTAAACCTTACCCTAGCCTCAAAATCTAATACCCGGGTATTACATTCAGGAAGTCCGAACACCCCAAATATTTTTTTTTTTCATTTTACATTTTTTTTGGTGTAACCAACTCCAAAAGGTTGTTAAAGAGTTCCTACAAAGGTTTTGGACAGTGATTTTAACCCTAACGCCAAAAACCTTAAACCTTACCATAGCCCCATAACCTAATACCCAGGTATTACTTTTAGGAAGCCTGAACACCCCAAATATATTTTTTTTTCATTTTTCTTTTTTTTTTGGTCTAACTAAATCCAAAAGGTTGTTAAAGAGTTCCTACAAAGGTTTTGGACAGTGATTTTAAACCTAACGCCAAAACGTTAAACCTTACCATAGCCCCATAACCTAATACCCGGGTATTACTTTTAGGAAGCCTGAACACCCCAAATATTTTTTTTTCATTTTTCTTTTTTTTTTGGTCTAACTAACTCCAAAAGGTTGGAAAAGAGTTCCTACAAAGGTTTTGGACAGTGATTTTAACCCTAACGCCAAAACCCTTAAACCTTTCCCTAGTCCCAAAACCTAATACACGGGTATTACTTTCAGGGAGCCCGAAAACCCCCAATAATATTTTTTTCTTTTTTCATATTTTTTGGTCTAACTAACTCCAAAAGGTTGGAAAAGAGTTCCTACAAAGGTTTTGGACAGTGATTTTAACCCTAACGCCAAAAACCTTAAACCTTACCCTAGCCTTGAAATCTAATACCTGGGTATGACATTCAGGAAGCCCGTAAACCCCAAATATTTTTTTTTTCATTTTACATTTTTGTTGGTGTAACCAACTCCAAAAGGTTGGAAAAGAGTTCCTACAAAGGTTTTGGACAGTGATTTTAACCCTAATGCCAAAAAACTTAAACCTTACCCTAGCCTCAAAATCTAATACCCGGGTATTACATTCAGGAACCCCGAAAACCCCAAATATTGTTTTTTAATTTTTCATTTTTTTTTGGTCTAACTAACTCCAAAAGGTTGGAAAAGAGTTCCTACAAAGGTTTTGGACAGTGATTTTAACCCTAACGCCAAAAACCTTAAACCTTACCATAGCCCCATAACCTAATACCCGGGTATTACTTTTAGGAAGCCTGAACACCCCAAATATATTTTTTTTCATTTTTCTTTTTTTTTTGGTCTAACCAACTCCAAAAGGTTGTTAAAGAGTTCCTACAAAGGTTTTGGACAGTGATTTTAACCCTAATGCCAAAAACCTTAAACCTTACCATAGCCCCATAACCTAATACCCAGGTATTACTTTTAGGAAGCCTGAACACCCCAAATATTTTTTTTTCATTTTTCTTTTTTTTTGGTCTAACTAACTCCAAAAGGTTGGAAAAGAGTTCCTACAAAGGTTTTGGACAGTGATTTTAACCCTAACGCCAAAAAACTTAAACCTTACCCTGGCCTTAAAATCTAATACCCGGGTATTACATTCAGGAAGCCCGAAAACCCCAAATATTTTTTTTTTCATTTTTCATTTTTTTTGGTCTAACTAAATCCAAAAGGTTGAAAAAGAGTTCCTACAAAGGTTTTGGACAGTGATTTCAACCCTAACGCCAAAAACCTTAAACCTTACCCTAGCCCCATAACCTAATACCCGGGTATTACTTTTAGGAAGCCTGAACACCCCAAATATTTTTTTTTTCATTTTTCTTTTTTTTTTGGTCTAACTAACTCCAAAAGGTTGGAAAAGAGTTCCTACAAAGGTTTTGGACAGTGATTTTAACCCTAACACAAAAAACCTTAAACCTTACCCTAGCCTTGAAATCTAATACCCGGGTATTACCTTCAGGAAGCCTGAACACCCCAAATATTTTTTTCTTCATTTTACATTTTTGTTGGTGTAACCAACTCCAAAAGGTTGGAAAAGAGTTCCTACAAAGGTTTTGGACAGTGATTTTAACCCTAATGCCAAAAAACTTAAACCTTACCCTAGCCTCAAAATCTAATACCCGGGTATTACATTCAGGAAGTCCGAACACCCCAAATATTTTTTTTTTTTCATTTTACATTTTTTTTGGTGTAACCAACTCCAAAAGGTTGGAAAAGAGTTCCTACAAAGGTTTTGGACAGTGATTTTAACCCTAACGCCAAAAACCTTAAACCTTACCATAGCCCCATAACCTAATACCCAGGTATTACTTTTAGGAAGCCTGAACACCCCATATATTTTTTTTTCATTTTTCTTTTTTTTTTGGTCTAACTAAATCCAAAAGGTTGTTAAAGAGTTCCTACAAAGGTTTTGGACAGTGATTTTAAACCTAACGCCAAAACGTTAAACCTTACCATAGCCCCATAACCTAATACCCGGGTATTACTTTTAGGAAGCCTGAACACCCCAAATATTTTTTTTTCATTTTTCTTTTTTTTTTGGTCTAACTAACTCCAAAAGGTTGGAAAAGAGTTCCTACAAAGGTTTTGGACAGTGATTTTAACCCTAACGCCAAAACCCTTAAACCTTTCCCTAGTCCCAAAACCTAATACACGGGTATTACTTTCAGGGAGCCCGAAAACCCCCAATAATATTTTTTTCTTTTTTCATATTTTTTGGTCTAACTAACTCCAAAAGGTTGGAAAAGAGTTCCTACAAAGGTTTTGGACAGTGATTTTAACCCTAACGCCAAAAACCTTAAACCTTACCCTAGCCTTGAAATCTAATACCTGGGTATGACATTCAGGAAGCCCGTAAACCCCAAATATTTTTTTTTCATTTTACATTTTTGTTGGTGTAACCAACTCCAAAAGGTTGGAAAAGAGTTCCTACAAAGGTTTTGGACAGTGATTTTAACCCTAATGCCAAAAAACTTAAACCTTACCCTAGCCTCAAAATCTAATACCCGGGTATTACATTCAGGAACCCCGAAAACCCCAAATATTGTTTTTTAATTTTTCATTTTTTTTTGGTCTAACTAACTCCAAAAGGTTGGAAAAGAGTTCCTACAAAGGTTTTGGACAGTGATTTTAACCCTAACGCCAAAAAACTTAAACCTTACCATAGCCCCATAACCTAATACCCGGGTATTACTTTTAGGAAGCCTGAACACCCCAAATATATTTTTTTTCATTTTTCTTTTTTTTTTGGTCTAACCAACTCCAAAAGGTTGTTAAAGAGTTCCTACAAAGGTTTTGGACAGTGATTTTAACCCTAATGCCAAAAACCTTAAACCTTACCATAGCCCCATAACCTAATACCCAGGTATTACTTTTAGGAAGCCTGAACACCCCAAATATTTTTTTTTCATTTTTCTTTTTTTTTTGGTCTAACTAACTCCAAAAGGTTGGAAAAGAGTTCCTACAAAGGTTTTGGACAGTGATTTTAACCCTAACGCCAAAAAACTTAAACCTTACCCTGGCCTTAAAATCTAATACCCGGGTATTACATTCAGGAAGCCCGTAAACCCCAAATATTTTTTTTTTCATTTTTCATTCTTTTTTTGGTCTAACTAACTCCAAAAGGTTGAAAAAGAGTTCCTACAAAGGTTTTGGACAGTGATTTCAACCCTAACGCCAAAAACCTTAAACCTTACCCTAGCCCCATAACCTAATACCCGGGTATTACTTTTAGGAAGCCTGAACACCCCAAATATTTTTTTTTCATTTTTCTTTTTTTTTTTGGTCTAACTAACTCCAAAAGGTTGGAAAAGAGTTCCTACAAAGGTTTTGGACAGTGATTTTAACCCTAACGCCAAAAACCTTAAACCTTTCCCTAGTCCCAAAACCTAATACACGGGTATTACTTTCAGGGAGCCCGAAAACCCCCAATAAAATTTTTTTCTTTTTTCATATTTTTTGGTCTAACTAACTCCAAAAGGTTGGAAAAGAGTTCCTACAAAGGTTTTGGACAGTGATTTTAACCCTAACACCAAAAACCTTAAACCTTACCCTAGCCTCAAAATCTAATACCCGGGTATTACATTCAGGAAGTCCGAACACCCCAAATATTTTTTTTTTTCATTTTACATTTTTTTTGGTGTAACCAACTCCAAAAGGTTGGAAAAGAGTTCCTACAAAGGTTTTGGACAGTGATTTTAACCCTAACGCCAAAAACCTTAAACCTTACCATAGCCCCATAACCTAATACCCAGGTATTACTTTTAGGAAGCCTGAACACCCCATATATTTTTTTTTTCATTTTTCTTTTTTTTTTGGTCTAACTAAATCCAAAAGGTTGTTAAAGAGTTCCTACAAAGGTTTTGGACAGTGATTTTAAACCTAACGCCAAAACGTTAAACCTTACCATAGCCCCATAACCTAATACCCGGGTATTACTTTTAGGAAGCCTGAACACCCCAAATATTTTTTTTTTCATTTTTCTTTTTTTTTTGGTCTAACTAACTCCAAAAGGTTGGAAAAGTGTTCCTACAAAGGTTTTGGACAGTGATTTTAACCCTAACGCCAAAACCCTTAAACCTTTCCCTAGTCCCAAAACCTAATACACGGGTATTACTTTCAGGGAGCCCGAAAACCCCCAATAATATTTTTTTCTTTTTTCATATTTTTTGGTCTAACTAACTCCAAAAGGTTGGAAAAGAGTTCCTACAAAGGTTTTGGACAGTGATTTTAACCCTAATGCCAAAAAACTTAAACCTTACCCTGGCCTTAAAATCTAATACCCGGGTATTACATTAAGGAAGCCCGGAAACCCCAAATATTTTTTTTTCATTTTTCATTTTTTTTTGGTCGAACTAACTCCAAAAGGTTGAAAAAGAGTTCCTACAAAGGTTTTGGACAGTGATTTTAACCCTAACGCCAAAAACCTTAAACCTTACCATAGCCCCATAACCTAATACACGGGTATTACTTTTAGGAAGCCTGAACACCCCAAATATTTTTTTTTCATTTTTCTTTTTTTTTGGTCTAACCAACTCCAAAAGGTTGGAAAAGAGTTCCTACAAAGGTTTTGGACAGTGATTTTAACCCTAATGCCAAAAAACTGAAACCTTACCCTGGCCTTAAAATGTAATACCCGGGTATTACATTCAGGAAGCCCGAACACCCCAAGTTTTTTTTTTTTTCATTTTACATTTTTTTTGGTGTAACCAACTCCAAAAGGTTGGAAAAGAGTTCCTACAAAGGTTTTGGACAGTGATTTTAACCCTAACGCCAAAAACCTTAAACCTTTCCCTAGTCCCAAAACCTAATACCCGGGTATTACCTTCAGGAAGCCCGAACACCCCAAATATTTTTTTTTCATTTTACATTTTTGTTGGTGTAACCAACTCCAAAAGGTTGGAAAAGAGTTCCTACAAAGGTTTTGGACAGTGATTTTAACCCTAACGCCAAAAACCTTAAACCTTACCCTAGCCTTAAAATCTAATACCCGGGTATTACCTTCAGGAAGCCCGAACACCCATAATATTTTTTTCTTTATTTTACATTTTTGTTGGTGTAACCAACTCCAAAAGGTTGGAAAAGAGTTCCTACAAAGGTTTTGGACAGTGATTTTAACCCTAACGCCAAAAACCTTAAAACTTACCATAGCCCCATAACCTAATTCCCGGGTATTACCTTCAGGAAGCCCGAACACCCCAAATATTTTTTTTTCATTTTTCATTTTTTTTTGGTCTAACTAACTCCAAAAGGTTGGAAAAGAGTTCCTACAAAGGTTTTGGACAGTGATTTTAACCCTAACGCCAAAACGTTAAACCTTACCATAGCCCCATAACCTAATACCCGGGTATTACTTTTAGGAAGCCTGAACACCCCAAATATTTTTTTTTTCATTTTTCTTTTTTTTTGGTCTAACTAACTCCAAAAGGTTGGAAAAGAGTTCCTACAAAGGTTTTGGACAGTGATTTTAACCCTAACACAAAAAACCTTAAACCTTACCCTAGCCTTGAAATCTAATACCCGGGTATTACCTTCAGGAAGCCTGAACACCCCAAATATTTTTTTCTTCATTTTACATTTTTGTTGGTGTAACCAACTCCAAAAGGTTGGAAAAGAGTTCCTACAAAGGTTTTGGACAGTGATTTTAACCCTAATGCCAAAAACTTAAACCTTACCCTAGCCTTAAAATCTAATACCCGGGTATTACATTCAGGAAGCCCGAACACCCCAAATATTTTTTTTTTCATTTTACATTTTTTTTGGTGTAACCAACTCCAAAAGGTTGGAAAAGAGTTCCTACAAAGGTTTTGGACAGTGATTTTAACCCTAACGCCAAAAACCTTAAACCTTACCATAGCCCCATAACCTAATACCCAGGTAATACTTTTAGGAAGCCTGAACACCCCATATATTTTTTTTTCATTTTTCTTTTTTTTTTTGGTCTAACTAAATCCAAAAGGTTGTTAAAGAGTTCCTACAAAGGTTTTGGACAGTGATTTTAAACCTAACGCCAAAACGTTAAACCTTACCATAGCCCCATAACCTAATACCCGGGTATTACTTTTAGGAAGCCTGAACACCCCAAATATTTTTTTTTCATTTTTCTTTTTTTTTGGTCTAACTAACTCCAAAAGGTTGGAAAAGAGTTCCTACAAAGGTTTTGGACAGTGATTTTAACCCTAACGCCAAAAACCTTAAACCTTTCCCTAGTCCCAAAACCTAATACACGGGTATTACTTTCAGGGAGCCCGAAAACCCCCAATAATATTTTTTTCTTTTTTCATATTTTTTGGTCTAACTAACTCCAAAAGGTTGGAAAAGAGTTCCTACAAAGGTTTTGGACAGTGATTTTAACCCTAACGCCAAAAACCTTAAACCTTACCCTAGCCTTGAAATCTAATACCTGGGTATTACATTCAGGAAGCCCGAAAACCCCAAATATTTTTTTTCATTTTACATTTTTGTTGGTGTAACCAACTCCAAAAGGTTGGAAAAGAGTTCCTACAAAGGTTTTGGACAGTGATTTTAACCCTAACGCCAAAAAACTTAAACCTTACCCTGGCCTTAAAATCTAATACCCGGGTATTACATTCAGGAAGCCCGTAAACCCCAAATATTTTTTTTTTCATTTTTCATTCTTTTTTTGGTCTAACTAACTCCAAAAGGTTGAAAAAGAGTTCCTACAAAGGTTTTGGACAGTGATTTCAACCCTAACGCCAAAAACCTTAAACCTTACCCTAGCCCCATAACCTAATACCCGGGTATTACTTTTAGGAAGCCTGAACACCCCAAATATTTTTTTTTCATTTTTCTTTTTTTTTGGTCTAACTAACTCCAAAAGGTTGGAAAAGAGTTCCTACAAAGGTTTTGGACAGTGATTTTAACCCTAACACAAAAAACCTTAAACCTTACCCTAGCCTTGAAATCTAATACCCGGGTATTACCTTCAGGAAGCCTGAACACCCCAAATATTTTTTTCTTCATTTTACATTTTTGTTGGTGTAACCAACTCCAAAAGGTTGGAAAAGAGTTCCTACAAAGGTTTTGGACAGTGATTTTAACCCTAATGCCAAAAAACTTAAACCTTACCCTAGCCTCAAAATCTAATACCCGGGTATTACATTCAGGAAGTCCGAACACCCCAAATATTTTTTTTTTTCATTTTACATTTTTTTTGGTCCAACCAACTCCAAAAGGTTGGAAAAGAGTTCCTACAAAGGTTTTGGACAGTGATTTTAACCCTAACGCCAAAAACCTTAAACCTTACCATAGCCCCATAACCTAATACCCAGGTATTACTTTTAGGAAGCCTGAACACCCCATATATTTTTTTTTCATTTTTCTTTTTTTTTTGGTCTAACTAAATCCAAAAGGTTGTTAAAGAGTTCCTACAAAGGTTTTGGACAGTGATTTTAAACCTAACGCCAAAAACGTTAAACCTTACCATAGCCCCATAACCTAATACCCGGGTATTACTTTTAGGAAGCCTGAACACCCCAAATATTTTTTTTTCATTTTTCTTTTTTTTTTGGTCTAACTAACTCCAAAAGGTTGGAAAAGAGTTCCTACAAAGGTTTTGGACAGTGATTTTAACCCTAACGCCAAAACCCTTAAACCTTTCCCTAGTCCCAAAACCTAATACACGGGTATTACTTTCAGGGAGCCCGAAAACCCCCAATAATATTTTTTTCTTTTTTCATATTTTTTGGTCTAACTAACTCCAAAAGGTTGGAAAAGAGTTCCTACAAAGGTTTTGGACAGTGATTTTAACCCTAACGCCAAAAACCTTAAACCTTACCCTAGCCTTAAATCTAATACCCGGGTATTACATTCAGGAAGCCTGAACACCCCAAATATTTTTTTTTCATTTTACATTTTTGTTGGTGTAACCAACTCCAAAAGGTTGGAAAAGAGTTCCTACAAAGGTTTTGGACAGTGATTTTAACCCTAATGCCAAAAAACTTAAACCTTACCCTAGCCTCAAAATCTAATACCCGGGTATTACATTCAGGAACCCCGAAAACCCCAAATATTGTTTTTTAATTTTTCATTTTTTTTGGTCTAACTAACTCCAAAAGGTTGGAAAAGAGTTCCTACAAAGGTTTTGGACAGTGATTTTAACCCTAACGCCAAAAACCTTAAACCTTACCATAGCCCCATAACCTAATACCCGGGTATTACTTTTAGGAAGCCTGAACACCCCAAATATATTTTTTTTCATTTTTCTTTTTTTTTTGGTCTAACCAACTCCAAAAGGTTGTTAAAGAGTTCCTACAAAGGTTTTGGACAGTGATTTTAACCCTAATGCCAAAAACCTTAAACCTTACCATAGCCCCATAACCTAATACCCAGGTATTACTTTTAGGAAGCCTGAACACCCCAAATATTTTTTTTTCATTTTTCTTTTTTTTTTGGTCTAACTAACTCCAAAAGGTTGGAAAAGAGTTCCTACAAAGGTTTTGGACAGTGATTTTAACCCTAACGCCAAAAAACTTAAACCTTACCCTGGCCTTAAAATCTAATACCCGGGTATTACATTCAGGAAGCCCGTGAACCCCAAATATTTTTTTTTTCATTTTTCATTCTTTTTTTGGTCTAACTAACTCCAAAAGGTTGAAAAAGAGTTCCTACAAAGGTTTTGGACAGTGATTTCAACCCTAACGCCAAAAACCTTAAACCTTACCCTAGCCCCATAACCTAATACCCGGGTATTACTTTTAGGAAGCCTGAACACCCCATATATTTTTTTTCATTTTTCTTTTTTTTTTTTGGTCTAACTAACTCCAAAAGGTTGGAAAAGAGTTCCTACAAAGGTTTTGGACAGTGATTTTAACCCTAACGCCAAAAACCTTAAACCTTTCCCTAGTCCCAAAACCTAATACACGGGTATTAATTTCAGGGAGCCCGAAAACCCCCAATAAAATTTTTTTCTTTTTTCATATTTTTTGGTCTAACTAACTCCAAAAGGTTGGAAAAGAGTTCCTACAAAGGTTTTGGACAGTGATTTTAACCCTAACACCAAAAACCTTAAACCTTACCCTAGCCTCAAAATCTAATACCCGGGTATTACATTCAGGAAGTCCGAACACCCCAAATATTTTTTTTTTTCATTTTACATTTTTTTTGGTGTAACCAACTCCAAAAGGTTGGAAAAGAGTTCCTACAAAGGTTTTGGACAGTGATTTTAACCCTAACGCCAAAAACCTTAAACCTTACCATAGCCCCATAACCTAATACCCAGGTATTACTTTTAGGAAGCCTGAACACCCCATATATTTTTTTTTCATTTTTCTTTTTTTTTTGGTCTAACTAAATCCAAAAGGTTGTTAAAGAGTTCCTACAAAGGTTTTGGACAGTGATTTTAAACCTTACGCCAAAACGTTAAACCTTACCATAGCCCCATAACCTAATACCCGGGTATTACTTTTAGGAAGCCTGAACACCCCAAATATTTTTTTTTTCATTTTTCTTTTTTTTTTGGTCTAACTAACTCCAAAAGGTTGGAAAAGTGTTCCTACAAAGGTTTTGGACAGTGATTTTAACCCTAACGCCAAAACCCTTAAACCTTTCCCTAGTCCCAAAACCTAATACACGGGTATTACTTTCAGGGAGCCCGAAAACCCCCAATAATATTTTTTTCTTTTTTCATATTTTTTGGTCTAACTAACTCCAAAAGGTTGGAAAAGAGTTCCTACAAAGGTTTTGGACAGTGATTTTAACCCTAATGCCAAAAAACTTAAACCTTACCCTGGCCTTAAAATCTAATACCCGGGTATTACATTAAGGAAGCCCGAACACCCCAAATATTTTTTTCATTTTTCATTTTTTTTTGGTCTAACTAACTCCAAAAGGTTGGAAAAGAGTTCCTACAAAGGTTTTGGACAGTGATTTTAACCCTAACGCCAAAAACCTTAAACCTTACCATAGCCCCATAACCTAATACACGGGTATTACTTTTAGGAAGCCTGAACACCCCAAATATTTTTTTTTCATTTTTCTTTTTTTTTGGTCTAACCAACTCCAAAAGGTTGGAAAAGAGTTCCTACAAAGGTTTTGGACAGTGATTTTAACCCTAATGCCAAAAAACTGAAACCTTACCCTGGCCTTAAAATGTAATACCCGGGTATTACATTCAGGAAGCCCGAACACCCCAAATTTTTTTTTTTCATTTTACATTTTTTTTGGTGTAACCAACTCCAAAAGGTTGGAAAAGAGTTCCTACAAAGGTTTTGGACAGTGATTTTAACCCTAACGCCAAAAACCTTAAACCTTTCCCTAGTCCCAAAACCTAATACCCGGGTATTACCTTCAGGAAGCCCGAACACCCCAAATATTTTTTTTTCATTTTACATTTTTGTTGGTGTAACCAACTCCAAAAGGTTGGAAAAGAGTTCCTACAAAGGTTTTGGACAGTGATTTTAACCCTAACGCCAAAAACCTTAAACCTTACCCTAGCCTTAAAATCTAATACCCGGGTATTACCTTCAGGAAGCCCGAACACCCATAATATTTTTTTCTTTATTTTACATTTTTGTTGGTGTAACCAACTCCAAAAGGTTGGAAAAGAGTTCCTACAAAGGTTTTGGACAGTGATTTTAACCCTAACGCCAAAAACCTTAAAACTTACCATAGCCCCATAACCTAATTCCCGGGTATTACCTTCAGGAAGCCCGAACACCCCAAATATTTTTTTTTCATTTTTCATTTTTTTTGGTCTAACTAACTCCAAAAGGTTGGAAAAGAGTTCCTACAAAGGTTTTGGACAGTGATTTTAACCCTAACGCCAAAAACCTTAAACCTTACCCTAGCCTTAAAATCTAATACCCGGGTATTACATTCAGGAACCCCGAAAACCCCAAATATTGTTTTTTAGTTTTTCATTTTTTTTTGGTCTAACTAACTCCAAAAGGTTGGAAAAGAGTTCCTACAAAGGTTTTGGACAGTGATTTTAACCCTAACGCCGAAAAACTTAAACCTTACCCTGGCATTAAAATCTAATACCCGGGTATTACATTAAGGAAGCCTGAACACCCCAAATATTTTTTTTTCATTTTTCTTTTTTTTTGGTCTAACTAACTCCAAAAGGTTGGAAAAGAGTTCCTACAAAGGATTTGGACAGTGATTTTAACCCTAACGCCAAAAACCTTAAACCTTTCCCTAGTCCCAAAACCGAATCCCCGGGTATTACTTCCAGGGAGCCCGAAAACCACCAATAATATTTTTTTTCTTTTTTCATATTTTTTGGTCTAACTAACTCCAAAAGGTTGGAAAAGAGTTCCTACAAAGGTTTTGGACAGTGATTTTAACCCTAATGCCAAAAAACTTAAACCTTACCCTGGCCTTAAAATCTAATACCCGGGTATTACATTAAGGAAGCCCGGAAACCCCAAATATTTTTTTTTCATTTTTCATTTTTTTTTGGTCGAACTAACTCCAAAAGGTTGGAAAAGAGTTCCTACAAAGGTTTTGGACAGTGATTTTAAACCTAACGCCAAAAACCTTAAACCTTACCATAGCCCCATAACCTAATACCCGGGTATTACTTTTAGGAAGCCTGAACACCCCAAATATTTTTTTTTCATTTTTCATTTTTTTTTGGTCGAACTAACTCCAAAAGGTTGGAAAAGAGTTCCTACAAAGGTTTTGGACAGTGATTTTGACCCTAACGCCAAAAACCTTAAACCTTTCCCTAGTCCCAAAACCTAATACCCGGGTATTACTTTCAGGGAGCCCGAAAACCCCCAATAATTTTTTTTCTTTTTTCATTTTTTTTGGTCTAACTAACTCCAAAAGGTTGGAAAAGAGTTCCTACAAAGGTTTTGGACAGTGATTTTAACCCTAACGCCAAAAACCTTAAACCTTACCCTAGCCCCATAACCTAATACCCAGGTATTACTTTTAGGAAGCCTGAACACCCCAATAATTTTTTTTCATTTTTCTTTTTTTTTTTGGTCTAACTAACTCCAAAAGGTTGGAAAAGAGTTCCTACAAAGGTTTTGGACAGTGATTTTAACCCTAATGCCAAAAAACTTAAACCTTACCCTGGCCTTAAAATCTAATACCCGGGTATTACATTCAGGAAGCCCGGAAACCCCAAATATTTTTTTTTTCATTTTTCATTCTTTTTTTGGTCTAACCAACTCCAAAAGGTTGGAAAAGAGTTCCTACAAAGGTTTTGGACAGTGATTTTAACCCTAAAGCCAAAAACCTTAAACCTTACCCTAGCCTTAAAATCTAATACCCTGGTATTACCTTCAGGAAGCCTGAACACCCCAAATATTTTTTTCTTCATTTTACATTTTTGTTGGTGTAACCAACTCCAAAAGGTTGGAAAAGAGTTCCTACAAAGGTTTTGGACAGTGATTTTAACCCTAACGCCAAAAAACTTAAACCTTACCATAGCCCCAAAACCTAATACCCGGGTATTACTTTCAGGGAGCCCGAAAACCCCCAATAATATTTTTTTCTTTTTTCATATTTTTTGGTCTAACTAACTCCAAAAGGTTGGAAAAGAGTTCCTACAAAGGTTTTGGACAGTGATTTTAACCCTAACGCCAAAAAACTTAAACCTTTCCCTGGCCTTAAAATCTAATACCCGGGTATTACATTCAGGAAGCCCGTAAACCCCAAATATTTTTTTTTTCATTTTTCTTTTTTTTTTTGGTCTAACTAACTCCAAAAGGTTGAAAAAGAGTTCCTACAAAGGTTTTGGACAGTGATTTTAAACCTAACGCCAAAACGTTAAACCTTACCATAGCCCCATAACCTAATACCCGGGTATTAGTTTTAGGAAGCCTGAACACCCCAAATATTTTTTTTTCATTTTTCTTTTTTTTTTTGGTCTAACTTACTCCAAAAGGTTGGAAAATAGTTCCTACAAAGGTTTTGGACAGTGATTTTAACCCTAACGCCAAAAACCTTAAAACTTACCCTAGCCTTGAAATCTAATACCCGGGTATTACCTTCAGGAAGCCTGAACACCCCAAATATTTTTTTCTTCATTTTACATTTTTGTTGGTGTAACCAACTCCAAAAGGTTGGAAAAGAGTTCCTACAAAGGTTTTGGACAGTGATTTTAACCCTAATGCCAAAAAACTTAAACCTTACCCTAGCCTCAAAATCTAATACCCGGGTATTACATTCAGGAAGCCCGAAAACCCCAAATATTTTTTTTTTCATTTTTCATTTTTTTTTGGTCTAACTAACTCCAAAAGGTTGGAAAAGAGTTCCTACAAAGGTTTTGGACAGTGATTTTAACCCTAACGCCAAAAACCTTAAACCTTACCATAGCCCCATAACCTAATACCCGGGTATTACTTTTAGGAAGCCTGAACACCCCAAATATTTTTTTTTTCATTTTTCTTTTTTTTTGGTCTAACCAACTCCAAAAGGTTGGAAAAGAGTTCCTACAAAGGTTTTGGACAGTGATTTTAACCCTAATGCCAAAAAACTGAAACCTTACCCTGGCCTTAAAATCTAATACCCGGGTATTACATTCAGGAAGCCCGAAAACCCCCAAATTTTTTTTTTTCATTTTTCATTTTTTTTTGGTCTAACTAACTCCAAAAGGTTGAAAAAAGAGTTCCTACAAAGGTTTTGGACAGTGATTTCAACCCTAACGCCAAAAACCTTAAACCTTACCCTAGCCCCATAACCTAATACCCGGGTATTACTTTTAGGAAGCCTGAACACCCCAAATATTTTTTTTTCATTTTTCTTTTTTTTTTTGGTCTAACTAACTCCAAAAGGTTGGAAAAGAGTTCCTACAAAGGTTTTGGACAGTGATTTTAACCCTAACGCCAAAAACCTTAAACCTTTCCCTAGTCCCAAAACCTAATACCCGGGTATTACATTCAGGAACCCCGAAAACCCCAAATATTTTTTTCTTCATTTTACATTTTTGTTGGTGTAACCAACTCCAAAAGGTTGGAAAAGAGTTCCTACAAAGGTTTTGGACAGTGATTTTAACCCTAATGCCAAAAAACTTAAACCTTACCCTAGCCCCATAACCTAATACCCGGGTATTACATTCAGGAACCCCGAAAACCCCAAATATTGTTTTTTAATTTTTCATTTTTTTTTGGTCTAACTAACTCCAAAAGGTTGGAAAAGAGTTCCTACAAAGGTTTTGGACAGTGATTTTAACCCTAACGCCAAAAACCTTAAACCTTTCCCTAGTCCCAAAACCTAATACACGGGTATTACTTTCAGGGAGCCCGAAAACCCCCAATAAAATTTTTTTCTTTTTTCATATTTTTTGGTCTAACTAACTCCAAAAGGTTGGAAAAGAGTTCCTACAAAGGTTTTGGACAGGGATTTTAACCCTAACGCCAAAAACCTTAAACCTTACCCTAGCCTCAAAATCTAATACCCGGGTATTACATTCAGGAAGTCCGAACACCCCAAATATATTTTTTTTTCATTTTACATTTTTTTTGGTGTAACCAACTCCAAAAGGTTGGAAAAGAGTTCCTACAAAGGTTTTGGACAGTGATTTTAACCCTAACGCCAAAAACCTTAAACCTTACCATAGCCCCATAACCTAATACCCAGGTATTACTTTTAGGAAGCCTGAACACCCCAAATATTTTTTTTTCATTTTTCTTTTTTTTTGGTCTAACTAAATCCAAAAGGTTGTTAAAGAGTTCCTACAAAGGTTTTGGACAGTGATTTTAAACCTTACGCCAAAACGTTAAACCTTACCATAGCCCCATAACCTAATACCCGGGTATTACTTTTAGGAAGCCTGAACACCCCAAATATTTTTTTTTTCATTTTTCTTTTTTTTTTGGTCTAACTAACTCCAAAAGGTTGGAAAAGTGTTCCTACAAAGGTTTTGGACAGTGATTTTAACCCTAACGCCAAAACCCTTAAACCTTTCCCTAGTCCCAAAACCTAATACACGGGTATTACTTTCAGGGAGCCCGAAAACCCCCAATAATATTTTTTTCTTTTTTCATATTTTTTGGTCTAACTAACTCCAAAAGGTTGGAAAAGAGTTCCTACAAAGGTTTTGGACAGTGATTTTAACCCTAATGCCAAAAAACTTAAACCTTACCCTGGCCTTAAAATCTAATACCCGGGTATTACATTAAGGAAGCCCGGAAACCCCAAATATTTTTTTTTCATTTTTCATTTTTTTTTGGTCGAACTAACTCCAAAAGGTTGAAAAAGAGTTCCTACAAAGGTTTTGGACAGTGATTTTAACCCTAACGCCAAAAACCTTAAACCTTACCATAGCCCCATAACCTAATACACGGGTATTACTTTTAGGAAGCCTGAACACCCCAAATATTTTTTTTTCATTTTTCTTTTTTTGGTCTAACCAACTCCAAAAGGTTGGAAAAGAGTTCCTACAAAGGTTTTGGACAGTGATTTTAACCCTAATGCCAAAAAACTGAAACCTTACCCTGGCCTTAAAATGTAATACCCGGGTATTACATTCAGGAAGCCCGAACACCCCAAGTTTTTTTTTTTTTCATTTTACATTTTTTTTGGTGTAACCAACTCCAAAAGGTTGGAAAAGAGTTCCTACAAAGGTTTTGGACAGTGATTTTAACCCTAACGCCAAAAACCTTAAACCTTTCCCTAGTCCCAAAACCTAATACCCGGGTATTACCTTCAGGAAGCCCGAACACCCCAAATATTTTTTTTTCATTTTACATTTTTGTTGGTGTAACCAACTCCAAAAGGTTGGAAAAGAGTTCCTACAAAGGTTTTGGACAGTGATTTTAACCCTAACGCCAAAAACCTTAAACCTTACCCTAGCCTTAAAATCTAATACCCGGGTATTACCTTCAGGAAGCCCGAACACCCAAAATATTTTTTTCTTTATTTTACATTTTTGTTGGTGTAACCAACTCCAAAAGGTTGGAAAAGAGTTCCTACAAAGGTTTTGGAGAGTGATTTTAACCCTAACGCCAAAAACCTTAAAACTTACCATAGCCCCATAACCTAATTCCCGGGTATTACCTTCAGGAATCCCGAACACCCCAAATATTTTTTTTTCATTTTTCATTTTTTTTTGGTCTAACTAACTCCAAAAGGTTGGAAAAGAGTTCCTACAAAGGTTTTGGACAGTGATTTTAACCCTAACGCCAAAAACCTTAAACCTTACCCTAGCCTTAAAATCTAATACCCGGGTATTACATTCAGGAACCCCGAAAACCCCAAATATTGTTTTTTAGTTTTTCATTTTTTTTTGGTCTAACTAACTCCAAAAGGTTGGAAAAGAGTTCCTACAAAGGTTTTGGACAGTGATTTTAACCCTAACGCCGAAAAACTTAAACCTTACCCTGGCATTAAAATCTAATACCCGGGTATTACATTAAGGAAGCCTGAACACCCCAAATATTTTTTTTTCATTTTTCTTTTTTTTTGGTCTAACTAACTCCAAAAGGTTGGAAAAGAGTTCCTACAAAGGATTTGGACAGTGATTTCAACCCTGACGCCAAAAACCTTAAACCATTCCCTAGTCCCAAAACCGAATCCCCGGGTATTACTTTCAGGGAGCCCGAAAACCCCCAATAATATTTTTTTCTTTTTTCATATTTTTTGGTCTAACTAACTCCAAAAGGTTGGAAAAGAGTTCCTACAAAGGTTTTGGACAGTGATTTTAACCCTAATGCCAAAAAACTTAAACCTTACCCTGGCCTTAAAATCTAATACCCGGGTATTACATTAAGGAAGCCCGGAAACCCCAAATATTTTTTTTTCATTTTTCATTTTTTTTTGGTCGAACTAACTCCAAAAGGTTGGAAAAGAGTTCCTACAAAGGTTTTGGACAGTGATTTTAAACCTAACGCCAAAACGTTAAACCTTACCATAGCCCCATAACCTAATACCCGGGTATTACTTTTAGGAAGCCTGAACACCCCAAATATTTTTTTTTCATTTTTCTTTTTTTTTTGGTCGAACTAACTCCAAAAGGTTGGAAAAGAGTTCCTACAAAGGTTTTGGACAGTGATTTTGACCCTAACGCCAAAAACCTTAAACCTTTCCCTAGTCCCAAAACCTAATACCCGGGTATTACATTCAGGAACCCCGAAAACCCCAAATATTTTTTTCTTCATTTTACATTTTTGTTGGTGTAACCAACTCCAAAAGGTTGGAAAAGAGTTCCTACAAAGGTTTTGGACAGTGATTTTAACCCTAACGCCAAAAAACTTAAACCTTACCATAGCCCCATAACCTAATACCTGGGTATTACTTTTAGGAAGCCTGAACACCCCAAATATTTTTTTTTCATTTTTCTTTTTTTTTTTTGGTCTAACCAACTCCAAAAGGTTGGAAAAGTGTTCCTACAAAGGTTTTGGACAGTGATTTTAACCCTAACGCCAAAAAACTTAAACCTTACCCTGGCCTTAAAATCTAATACCTGGGTATTACTTTCAGGAAGCCCGAACACCCCAAATATATATTTTTTTCATTTTACATTTTTTTTGGTGTAACCAACTCCAAAAGGTTGGAAAAGAGTTCCTACAAAGGTTTTGGACAGTGATTTTAACCCTAATGCCAAAAAACTTAAACCTTACCCTAGCCTTAAAATCTAATACCCGGGTATTACATTCAGGAAGCCCGAAAACCCCAAATATTTTTTTTTCATTTTTCTTTTTTTTTGGTCTAACCAACTCCAAAAGGTTGGAAAAGTGTTCCTACAAAGGTTTTGGACAGTGATTTTAACCCTAACGCCAAAAACCTTAAACCTTACCATAGCCCCATAACCTAATACCCAGGTATTACTTTTAGGAAGCCTGAACACCCCAAATATCTTTTTTTTCATTTTTCTTTTTTTTTTGGTCTAACTAACTCCAAAAGGTTGGAAAAGAGTTCCTACAAAGGTTTTGGACAGTGATTTTAACCCTAACGCCAAAAACCTTAAAACTTACCATAGCCCCATAACCTAATTCCCGGTTATTACCTTCAGGAAGCCCGAACACCCCAAATATTTTTTTTTCATTTTACATTTTTGTTGGTGTAACCAACTCCAAAAGGTTGGAAAAGAGTTCCTACAAAGGTTTTGGACAGTGATTTTAACCCTAATGCCAAAAAACTTAAACCTTACCCTAGCCTTAAAATCTAATACCCGGGTATTACATTCAGGAAGCCCGAAAACCCCAAATATTTTTTTTTTCATTTTTCTTTTTTTTTTGGTCTAACTAACTCCAAAAGGTTGGAAAAGAGTTCCTACAAAGGTTTTGGACAGTGATTTTAACCCTAACGCCAAAAACCTTAAACCTTTCCCTAGTCCCATAACCTAATACCCTGGTATTACCTTCAGGAAGCCTGAACACCCCAAATATTTTTTTCTTCATTTTACATTTTTGTTGGTCTAACCAACTCCAAAAGGTTGGAAAAGAGTTCCTACAAAGGTTTTGGACAGTGATTTTAACCCTAATGCCAAAAAACTTAAACCTTACCCTAGCCTTAAAATCTAATACATTACATTCAGGAACCCCAAAAACCCCAAATATTGTTTTTTCATTTTTCATTTTTTTTTGGTCTAACTAACTCCAAAAGGTTGGAAAAGAGTTCCTACAAAGGTTTTGGACAGTGATTTTAACCCTAACGCCAAAAAACTTAAACCTTACCATAGCCCCATAACCTAATACCCGGGTATTACTTTCAGGGAGCCCGAAAACCCCCAATAATATTTTTTTCTTTTTTCATATTTTTTGGTCTAACTAACTCCAAAAGGTTGGAAAAGAGTTCCTACAAAGGTTTTGGACAGTGATTTTAACCCTAATGCCAAAAAACTTAAACCTTACCCTAGCCTTAAAATCTAATACCCGGGTATTACATTCAGGAACCCCAAAAACCCCAAATATTGTTTTTTCATTTTTCATTTTTTTTTGGTCTAACTAACTCCAAAAGGTTGGAAAAGAGTTCCTACAAAGGTTTTGGACAGTGATTTTAACCCTAACGCAGAAAAACTTAAACCTTACCATAGCCCCATAACCTAATACCCGGGTATTACTTTCAGGGAGCCCGAAAACCCCCAATAATATTTTTTTCTTTTTTCATATTTTTTGGTCTAACTAACTCCAAAAGGTTGGAAAAGAGTTCCTACAAAGGTTTTGGACAGTGATTTTAACCCTAACGCCAAAAAACTTAAACCTTACCATAGCCCCATAACCTAATACCCGGGTATTACTTTCAGGGAGCCCGAAAACCCCCAATAATATTTTTTTCTTTTTTCATATTTTTTGGTCTAACTAACTCCAAAAGGTTGGAAAAGAGTTCCTACAAAGGTTTTGGACAGTGATTTTAACCCTAACGCCAAAAAACTTAAACCTTTCCCTGGCCTTAAAATCTAATACCCGGGTATTACATTCAGGAAGCCTGAACACCCCAAATATTTTTTTTTTCATTTTTCATTTTTTTTTTGGTCTAACTAACTCCAAAAGGTTGAAAAAGAGTTCCTACAAAGGTTTTGGACAGTGATTTTAACCCTAACGCCAAAAACCTTAAACCTTACCATAGCCCCATAACCTAATCGGGTATTACTTTTAGGAAGCCTGAACACCCCAAATATTTTTTTGTCATTTTACATTTTTGTTGGTGTAACCAACTCCAAAAGGTTGGAAAAGAGTTCCTACAAAGGTTTTGGACAGTGATTTTAACCCTAACGCCAAAAAACTTAAACCTTACCCTAGCCTTAAAATCTAATACCCTTACATTCAGGAAGCCCGAAAACCCCAAATATATATTTTTTCATTTTTCATTTTTTTTTGGTTTATCTAATTCCAAAAGGTTTGAAAAGTGTTCCTACAAAGGTTTTGGACAGCGATTTTAACCCTAACACCAAAAACCTTAAACCTTACCCTGGCCTTAAAATCTAATACCTGGGTATTACTTTCAGGAAGCCCGAACACCCCAAATATTTTTTTTTTTCATTTTACATTTTTTTTTGTGTAACCAACTCCAAAAGGTTGGAAAAGAGTTCCTACAAAGGTTTTGGACAGTGATTTCAACCCTAACGCCAAAAACCTTAAACCTTACCCTAGCCACAAAACCTAATACCCGGGTATTACTTTTAGGAAGCCTGAACACCCCAAATATTTTTTTTTCATTTTTCTTTTTTTTTTTTTTTGGTCTAACTAACTCCAAAAGATTGAAAAAGAGTTCCTACAAAGGTTTTGGACAGTGATTTTAACCCTAACGCCAAAAAACTTAAACCTTACCATAGCCCCATAACCTAATACCTGGGTATTACTTTTAGGAAGCCTGAACACCCCAAATATTTTTTTTTCATTTTTCTTTTTTTTTTTTTTGGTCAAACTAACTCCAAAAGGTTGGAAAAGTGGTCCTACAAAGGTTTTGGACAGTGATTTTAACCCTAACGCCAAAAACCTTAAACCTTACCCTGGCCTTAAAATCTAATACCTGGGTATTGCTTTCAGGAAGCCCGAACACCCCAAATATTTTTTTTTTTCATTTTACATTTTTTTTGGTGTAACCAACTCCAAAAGGTTGGAAAAGAGTTCCTACAAAGGTTTTGGACAGTGATTTTAACCCTAACGCCAAAAAACTTAAACCTTACCATAGCCCCATAACCTAATACCCAGGTATTACTTTTAGGAAGCCTGAACACCCCAAATATTTTTTTTTCATTTTTCTTTTTTTTTTTGGTCTAACTAACTCCAAAAGGTTGGAAAAGAGTTCCTACAAAGGTTTTGGACAGTGATTTCAACCCTAACGCCAAAAACCTTAAACCTTACCCTAGCCCCATAACCTAATACCCGGGTATTACTTTTAGGAAGCCTGAACACCCCAAATATTTTTTTTTCATTTTTCTTTTTTTTTTGGTCAAACTAACTCCAAAAGGTTGGAAAAGTGGTCCTACAAAGGTTTTGGACAGTGATTTTAACCCTAACGCCAAAAACCTTAAACCTTACCCTGGCCTTAAAATCTAATACCTGGGTATTACTTTCAGGAAGCCCGAACACCCCAAATATTTTTTTTTTTCATTTTACATTTTTTTTGGTGTAACCAACTCCAAAAGGTTGGAAAAGAGTTCCTACAAAGGTTTTGGACAGTGATTTTAACCCTAACGCCAAAAAACTTAAACCTTACCATAGCCCCATAACCTAATACCCAGGTATTACTTTTAGGAAGCCTGAACACCCCAAATAATATTTTTTTCATTTTTCTTTTTTTTTTGGTCTAACTAACTCCAAAAGGTTGGAAAAGAGTTCCTACAAAGGTTTTGGACAGTGATTTTAACCCTAACGCCAAAAAACTTAAACCTTACCCTGGCCTTAAAATCTAATACCCGGGTATTACATTCAGGAAGCCCGAAAACCCCAAATATTTTTTTTTTCATTTATCTTTTATTTTTGGTCTAACTAACTTCAAAAGGTTGAAAAAAGAGTTCCTACAAAGGTTTTGGACAGTGATTTTACCCCTAACGCCAAAAACCTTAAACCTTACCCTAGCCCCATAACCTAATACCTGGGTATTACCTTCAGGAAGCCCGAACTCCCCAAATATTTCTTTTTCATTTTACAATTTTTTTTTTGGTGTAACTAACTCCATAAGGTCTGAAATATGTTCCTAAAAAGGTTTTGGACAGTGATTTTAACCCTAACACCAAAAACATTAAACCTTTCCCTAGCCCCATAATCTAATACCTTCAGGAAGACCGAACACCCCAAACATTTTTTTTTCATTTTTTGTTTATTTTTGGTCTAACTAACTCCAAAAGGTTGGAAAAGAGTTCCTACAAAGGTTTTGGACAGTAGTTTTTAACCCTTACTCCAAAAACATTTAAACCTTACCCTAGCCCCATTACCTAATACCCGGGTATTACCTTCAGGAAGCCCGAAAACCCCATATATTTTTCTTGTTCCTTTTTTTTTTTTTTTTGGTCTAACTAACTCAATAAGGTCTGAAACATGTTCCTACAAAGGTTTTGGACAGTGATTTTAACCCTAATGCCAAAAAACTTAAACCTTACCCTGGCCTTAAAATCTAATACCCGGGTATTACATTCAGGAAGCCCGAACACCCCAAATATATATTTTTTTCATTTTACATTTTTTTTGGTGTAACCAACTCCAAAAGGTTGGAAAAGAGTTCCTACAAAGGTTTTGGACAGTGATTTTAACCCTAACGCCAAAAACCTTAAACCTTACCCTAGCCCCATAACCTAATACCCAGGTATTACTTTTAGGAAGCCTGAACACCCCAAATATTTTTTTTTCATTTTTCTTTCTTTTTTGGTCTAACTAACTCCAAAAGGTTGGAAAAGAGTTCCTACAAAGGTTTTGGACAGTGATTTTAACCCTAACGCCAAAAACCTTAAACCTTACCCTAGCCCCATAACCTAATACCCAGGTATTACTTTTAGGAAGCCTGAACACCCCAAATATTTTTTTTTCATTTTTCTTTCTTTTTTGGTCTAACTAACTCCAAAAGGTTGGAAAAGAGTTCCTACAAAGGTTTTGGACAGTGATTTTAACCCTAACGCCAAAAAACTTAAACCTTACCCTGGCCTTAAAATCTAATACCCGGGTATTACATTCAGGAAGCCAGGTAAACCCCAAATATATATTTTTTTATTTTTCATTCTTTTTGTGGTCTAACTAACTCCAAAAGGTTGGAAAAGAGTTCCTACAAAGGTTTTGGACAGTGATTTTAACCCTAACGCCAAAAAACTTAAACCTTACCCTAGCCTAAAAAATCTAATACCCGGGTTTTACATTCAGGAAGCCCGAAAACCCCAAATACATATTTTTTCATTTTTCATTTTTTTTTTGGTTTATCTAATTCCAAAAGGTTGGAAAAGTGTTCCTACAAAGGTTTTGGACAGTGATTTTAACCCTAACGCCAAAAACCTTAAACCTTACCATAGCCCCATAACCTAATACCCAGGTATTACTTTTAGGAAGCCTGAACACCCCAAATATTTTTTTTTCATTTTTCTTTCTTTTTTGGTCTAACTAACTCCAAAAGGTTGGAAAAGAGTTCCTACAAAGGTTTTGGACAGTGATTTTAACCCTAACGCCAAAAAACTTAAACCTTACCCTGGCCTTAAAATCTAATACCCGGGTATTACATTCAGGAAGCCCGTAAACCCCAAATATTTTTTTTTTCATTTTTCATTTTTTTTTGGTCTAACTAACTCCAAAAGGTTGAAAAAGAGTTCCTACAAAGGTTTTGGACAGTGATTTCAACCCTAACGCCAAAAACCTTAAACCTTACCCTAGCCCCATAACCTAATACCCGGGTATTACTTTTAGGAAGCCTGAACACCCCAAATATTTTTTTTTCATTTTTCTTTTTTTTTTTTGGTCTAACTAACTCCAAAAGGTTGGAAAAGAGTTCCTACAAAGGTTTTGGACAGTGATTTTAACCCTAACGCCAAAAACCTTAAACCTTTCCCTAGTCCCAAAACCTAATACACGGGTATTACTTTCAGGGAGCCCGAAAACCCCCAATAATATTTTTTTTCTTTTTTCATATTTTTTGGTCTAACTAACTCCAAAAGGTTGGAAAAGAGTTCCTACAAAGGTTTTGGACAGTGATTTTAACCCTAACGCCAAAAACCTTAAACCTTACCCTAGCCTTGAAATCTAATACCCGGGTATTACCTTCAGGAAGCCTGAACACCCCAAATATTTTTTTTTTCATTTTTCTTTTTTTTTGGTCTAACTAACTCCAAAAGGTTGGAAAAGAGTTCCTACAAAGGTTTTGGACAGTGATTTTAACCCTAACGCCAAAAACCTTAAACCTTACCCTGGCCTTAAAATCTAATACCCGGGTATTACATTCAGGAAGCCTGAAAACCCCAAATATATTTTTTTTTTTTTTCTTTTTTTTTGGTCTAACTAACTCCAAAAGGTTGGAAAAGAGTTCCTACAAAGGTTTTGGACAGTGATTTTAACCCTAACGCCAAAAAACTTAAACCTTACCCTAGCCCAAAATCTAATACCCGGGTATTACTTTCAGGAAGCCCGAAAACCCCAAATATTTTTTTTTCATTTTTCATTTTTTTTTGGTCTAACTAACTCCAAAAGGTTGGAAAAGAGTTCCTACAAAGGTTTTGGACAGTGATTTTAACCCTAACGCCAAAAACCTTAAACCTTACCATAGCCCTATAACCTAATACCCAGGTATTACTTTTAGGAAGCCTGAACACCCCAAATATTTTTTTTTCATTTTTCTTTTTTTTTTGGTCTAACTAACTCCAAAAGGTTGGAAAAGAGTTCCTACAAAGGTTTTGGACAGTGATTTTAACCCTAACGCCAAAAAACTTAAACCTTACCCTGGCCTTAAAATCTAATACCCGGGTATTACATTCAGGAAGCCCGTAAACCCCAAATATTTTTTTTTTCATTTTTCATTTTTTTTGGTCTAACTAACTCCAAAAGGTTGAAAAAGAGTTCCTACAAAGGTTTTGGACAGTGATTTCAACCCTAACGCCAAAAACCTTAAACCTTACCCTAGCCCCATAACCTAATACCCGGGTATTACTTTTAGGAAGCCTGAACACCCCAAATATTTTTTTTTCATTTTTCTTTTTTTTTTTTGGTCTAACTAACTCCAAAAGGTTGGAAAAGAGTTCCTACAAAGGTTTTGGACAGTGATTTTAACCCTAACGCCAAAAACCTTAAACCTTTCCCTAGTCCCAAAACCTAATACACGGGTATTACTTTCAGGGAGCCCGAAAACCCTCAATAATATTTTTTTCTTTTTTCATATTTTTTGGTCTAACTAACTCCAAAAGGTTGGAAAAGAGTTCCTACAAAGGTTTTGGACAGTGATTTTAACCCTAACGCCAAAAACCTTAAACCTTACCCTAGCCTTGAAATCTAATACCCGGGTATTACCTTCAGGAAGCCTGAACACCCCAAATATTTTTTTTTTCATTTTTCTTTTTTTTTTGGTCTAACTAACTCCAAAAGGTTGGAAAAGAGTTCCTACAAAGGTTTTGGACAGTGATTTTAACCCTAACGCCAAAAAACTTAAACCTTACCCTGGCCTTAAAATCTAATACCCGGGTATTACTTTTAGGAAGCCGGTAAACCCCAAATATATATTTTTTTATTTTTCATTCTTTTTGTGGTCTAACTAACTCCAAAAGGTTGGAAAAGAGTTCCTACAAAGGTTTTGGACAGTGATTTTAACCCTAACGCCAAAAAACTTAAACCTTACCCTAGCCTAAAAAATCTAATACCCGGGTTTTACATTCAGGAAGCCCGAAAACCCCAAATACATATTTTTTCATTTTTCATTTTTTTTTTGGTTTATCTAATTCCAAAAGGTTGGAAAAGTGTTCCTACAAAGGTTTTGGACAGTGATTTTAACCCTAACGCCAAAAACCTTAAACCTTACCATAGCCCCATAACCTAATACCCGGGTATTACTTTTAGGAAGCCTGAACACCCCAAATATTTTTTTTTCATTTTTCTTTTTTTTTGGTCTAACTAACTCCAAAAGGTTGGAAAAGAGTTCCTACAAAGGTTTTGGACAGTGATTTTAACCCTAACGCCAAAAAACTTAAACCTTACCATGGCCTTAAAATCTAATACCCGGGTATTACATTCAGGAAGCCCGTAAACCCCAAATATTTTTTTTTTCATTTTTCATTTTTTTTTGGTCTAACTAACTCCAAAAGGTTGAAAAAGAGTTCCTACAAAGGTTTTGGACAGTGATTTCAACCCTAACGCCAAAAACCTTAAACCTTACCCTAGCCCCATAACCTAATACCCGGGTATTACTTTTAGGAAGCCTGAACACCCCAAATATTTTTTTTTCATTTTTCTTTTTTTTTTGGTCTAACTAACTCCAAAAGGTTGGAAAAGAGTTCCTACAAAGGTTTTGGACAGTGATTTTAACCCTAACGCCAAAAACCTTAAACCTTACCCTAGTCCCAAAACCTAATACACGGGTATTACTTTCAGGGAGCCCGAAAACCCCCAATAATATTTTTTTCTTTTTTCATATTTTTTGGTCTAACTAACTCCAAAAGGTTGGAAAAGAGTTCCTACAAAGGTTTTGGACAGTGATTTTAACCCTAACACCAAAAACCTTAAACCTTACCCTAGCCTTGAAATCTAATACCCGGGTATTACCTTCAGGAAGCCTGAACACCCCAAATATTTTTTTTTTCATTTTTCTTTTTTTTTTGGTCTAACTAACTCCAAAAGGTTGGAAAAGAGTTCCTACAAAGGTTTTGGACAGTGATTTTAACCCTAACGCCAAAAAACTTAAACCTTACCCTGGCCTTAAAATCTAATACCCGGGTATTACATTTAGGAAGCCGGGAAACCCCAAATATATATTTTTTTATTTTTCTTTCTTTTTGTGGTCTTACTAACTCCAAAAGGTTGGAAAAGAGTTCCTACAAAGGTTTTGGACAGTGATTTTAACCCTAACGCCAAAAAACTTAAACCTTACCCTAGCCTTAAAATCTAATACCCGGGTTTTACATTCAGGAAGCCCGAAAACCCCAAATACATATTTTTTCATTTTTCATTTTTTTTGGTTTATCTAATTCCAAAAGGTTGGAAAAGTGTTCCTACAAAGGTTTTGGACAGTGATTTTAACCCTAACGCCAAAAACCTTAAACCTTACCATAGCCCCATAACCTAATACCCAGGTATTACTTTTAGGAAGCCTGAACACCCCAAATATTTTTTTTTCATTTTTCTTTTTTTTTTGGTCTAACTAACTCCAAAAGGTTGGAAAAGAGTTCCTACAAAGGTTTTGGACAGTGATTTTAACCCTAACGCCAAAAAACTTAAACCTTACCCTGGCCTTAAAATCTAATACCCGGGTATTACATTCAGGAAGCCCGTAAACCCCAAATATTTTTTTTTCATTTTTCATTTTTTTTTGGTCTAACTAACTCCAAAAGGTTGAAAAAGAGTTCCTACAAAGGTTTTGGACAGTGATTTCAACCCTAACGCCAAAAACCTTAAACCTTACCCTAGCCCCATAACCTAATACCCGGGTATTACTTTTAGGAAGCCTGAACACCCCAAATATTTTTTTTTCATTTTTCTTTTTTTTTTTGGTCTAACTAACTCCAAAAGGTTGGAAAAGAGTTCCTACAAAGGTTTTGGACAGTGATTTCAACCCTAACGCCAAAAACCTTAAACCTTACCCTAGTCCCAAAACCTAATACACGGGTATTACTTTCAGGGAGCCCGAAAACCCCCAATAATATTTTTTTCTTTTTTCATATTTTTTGGTCTAACTAACTCCAAAAGGTTGGAAAAGAGTTCCTACAAAGGTTTTGGACAGTGATTTTAACCCTAACACCAAAAACCTTAAACCTTACCCTAGCCTTGAAATCTAATACCCGGGTATTACCTTCAGGAAGCCTGAACACCCCAAATATTTTTTTCTTCATTTTACATTTTTGTTGGTGTAACCAACTCCAAAAGGTTGGAAAAGAGTTCCTACAAAGATTTTGGACAGTGATTTTAACCCTAACGCCAAAAAACTTAAACCTAACCCTGGCATTAAAATCTAATACCCGGGTATTACAAGAAGGAAGCCTGATCACCCCAAATATTTTTTTTTCATTATTCTTTTTTTTTTGTCTAACTAACTCCAAAAGGTTGGAAAAGAGTTCCTACAAAGGTTTTGGACAGTGATTTTAACCCTAACGCCAAAAACCTTAAACCTTTCCCTAGTCCCAAAACCTAATACCCGGGTATTACTTTCAGGGAGCCCGAAAACCCCCAATAATTTTTTTTTCTTTTTTCATTTTTTTTGGTCTAACTAACTCCAAAAGGTTGGAAAAGAGTTCCTACAAAGGTTTTGGACAGTGATTTTAACCCTAACGCCAAAAACCTTAAACCTTACCCTAGCCTTAAAATCTAATACCCGGGTATTACCTTCAGGAAGCCCGAACACCCAAAATATTTTTTTCTTTATTTTACATTTTTGTTGGTCTAACTAACTCCAAAAGGTTGGAAAAGAGTTCCTACAAAGGTTTTGGACAGTGATTTTAACCCTAACGCCAAAAACCTTAAAACTTACCATAGCCCCATAACCTAATTCCCGGGTATTACCTTCAAGAAGCCCGAACACCCCAAATATTTTTTTTTCATTTTACATTTTTGTTGGTGTAACCAACTCCAAAAGGTTGGAAAAGAGTTCCTACAAAGGTTTTGGACAGTGATTTTAACCCTAACGCCAAAAAACTTAAACATTACCCTAGCCTTAAAATCTAATACCCGGGTATTACATTCAGGAAGCCCAAAAACCCCCAATATTTTTTTTTTCATTTTTCTTTTTTTTTTGGTCTAACTAACTCCAAAAGGTTGGAAAAGAGTTCCTACAAAGGTTTTGGACAGTGATTTTAACCCTAACGCCAAAAAACTTAAACCTTACCCTAGCCTTAAAATCTAATACCCGGGTATTACATTCAGGAAGCCCAAAAACCCCAAAATTTTTTTTTTTCATTTTACATTTTTTTTGGTGTAACCAACTCCAAAAGGTTGGAAAAGAGTTCCTACAAAGGTTTTGGACAGTGATTTTAACCCTAACGCCAAAAACCTTAAACCTTACCATAGCCCCATAACCTAATACCCAGGTATTACTTTTAGGAAGCCTGAACACCCCATATATTTTTTTTTCATTTTTCTTTTTTTTTGGTCTAACTAACTCCAAAAGGTTGGAAAAGAGTTCCTTCAAAGGTTTTGGACAGTGATTTTAACCCTAACGCCAAAAAACTTAAACCTTACCCTGGCCTTAAAATCGAATACCCGGGTATTACATTCAGGAAGCCCGTAAACCCCAAATATTTTTTTTTTTTTCATTTTTCATTTTTTTTTGGTCTAACTAACTCCAAAAGGTTGAAAAAGGGTTCCTACAAAGGTTTTGGACAGTGATTTTAACCCTAATGCCATAAACCTTAAACCTTACCATAGCCCCATAACCTAATACCCGGGTATTACTTTCAGGGAGCCCGAAAACCCCCAATAATATTTTTTTCTTTTATCATATTTTTTGGTCTAACTAACTCCAAAAGGTTGGAAAAGAGTTCCTACAAAGGTTTTGGACAGTGATTTTAACCCTAACACCAAAAACCTTAAACCTTACCCTAGCCTTGAAATCTAATACCCGGGTATTACCTTCAGGAAGCCTGAACACCCCAAATATTTTTTTCTTCATTTTACATTTTTGTTGGTGTAACCAACTCCAAAAGGTTGGAAAAGAGTTCCTACAAAGATTTTGGACAGTGATTTTAACCCTAACGCCAAAAAACTTAAACCTAACCCTGGCATTAAAATCTAATACCCGGGTATTACAAGAAGGAAGCCTGATCACCCCAAATATTTTTTTTTCATTATTCTTTTTTTTTTGTCTAACTAACTCCAAAAGGTTGGAAAAGAGTTCCTACAAAGGTTTTGGACAGTGATTTTAACCCTAACGCCAAAAACCTTAAACCTTTCCCTAGTCCCAAAACCTAATACCCGGGTATTACTTTCAGGGAGCCCGAAAACCCCCAATAATTTTTTTTTCTTTTTTCATTTTTTTTGGTCTAACTAACTCCAAAAGGTTGGAAAAGAGTTCCTACAAAGGTTTTGGACAGTGATTTTAACCCTAACGCCAAAAACCTTAAACCTTACCCTAGCCTTAAAATCTAATACCCGGGTATTACCTTCAGGAAGCCCGAACACCCAAAATATTTTTTTCTTTATTTTACATTTTTGTTGGTCTAACTAACTCCAAAAGGTTGGAAAAGAGTTCCTACAAAGGTTTTGGACAGTGATTTTAACCCTAACGCCAAAAACCTTAAAACTTACCATAGCCCCATAACCTAATTCCCGGGTATTACCTTCAAGAAGCCCGAACACCCCAAATATTTTTTTTTCATTTTACATTTTTGTTGGTGTAACCAACTCCAAAAGGTTGGAAAAGAGTTCCTACAAAGGTTTTGGACAGTGATTTTAACCCTAACGCCAAAAAACTTAAACATTACCCTAGCCTTAAAATCTAATACCCGGGTATTACATTCAGGAAGCCCAAAAACCCCCAATATTTTTTTTTTCATTTTTCTTTTTTTTTTGGTCTAACTAACTCCAAAAGGTTGGAAAAGAGTTCCTACAAAGGTTTTGGACAGTGATTTTAACCCTAACGCCAAAAAACTTAAACCTTACCCTAGCCTTAAAATCTAATACCCGGGTATTACATTCAGGAAGCCCAAAAACCCCCAAATTTTTTTTTTTCATTTTACATTTTTTTTGGTGTAACCAACTCCAAAAGGTTGGAAAAGAGTTCCTACAAAGGTTTTGGACAGTGATTTTAACCCTAACGCCAAAAACCTTAAACCTTACCATAGCCCCATAACCTAATACCCAGGTATTACTTTTAGGAAGCCTGAACACCCCATATATTTTTTTTTCATTTTTCTTTTTTTTTTTGGTCTAACTAACTCCAAAAGGTTGGAAAAGAGTTCCTTCAAAGGTTTTGGACAGTGATTTTAACCCTAACGCCAAAAAACTTAAACCTTACCCTGGCCTTAAAATCGAATACCCGGGTATTACATTCAGGAAGCCCGTAAACCCCAAATATTTTTTTTTTTTCATTTTTCATTTTTTTTTGGTCTAACTAACTCCAAAAGGTTGAAAAAGAGTTCCTACAAAGGTTTTGGACAGTGATTTTAACCCTAACGCCAAAAACCTTAAACCTTACCCTAGCCTTAAAATCTAATACCCGGGTATCACATTCAGGAACCCCGAAAACCCCCAATAATATTTTTTTCATTTTTCTTTTTTTTTTGGTCTAACTAACTCCAAAAGGTTGGAAAAGAGCTCCTACAAAGGTTTTGGACAGTGATTTTAACCCTAACGCCGAAAAACTTAAACCTTACCCTGGCTTTAAAATCTAATACCCGGGTATTACATTAAGGAAGCCTGAACACCCCAAATATTTTTTTTTCATTTTTCTTTTTTTTTTGGTCTAACTAACTCCAAAAGGTTGGAAAAGAGTTCCTACAAAGGTTTTGGACAGTGATTTTAACCCTAACGCCAAAAACCTTAAACCTTACCCTGGCCTTCAAATCTAATACCTGGGTATTACTTTCAGGAAGCCCGAACACCCCAAATATATATTTTTTTCATTTTACATTTTTTTTGGTGTAACCAACTCCAAAAGGTTGGAAAAGAGTTCCTACAAAGGTTTTGGACAGTGATTTTAACCCTAACGCCAAAAAACTTAAACCTTACCCTGGCCTTAAAATCTAATACCCGGGTATTACATTCAGGAAGCCCGTAAACCCCAAATATTTTTTTTTTCATTTTTCTTTTTTTTTTGGTCTAACTAACTCCAAAAGGTTGAAAAAGAGTTCCTACAAAGGTTTTGGACAGTGATTTTAACCCTAACGCCAAAAACCTTAAACCTTACCCTAGCCTTAAAATCTAATACCCGGGTATTACATTCAGGAACCCCGAAAACCCCCAATAATATTTTTTTCATTTTTCTTTTTTTTTTTGGTCTAACTAACTCCAAAAGGTTGGAAAAGAGTTCCTACAAAGGTTTTGGACAGTGATTTTAACCCTAACGCCAAAAAACTAAAACCTTACTCTAGCCTTAAAATCTAATACCCGGGTATTACCTTCAGGAAGCCTGAACACCCCAAATATTTTTTTCTTCATTTTACATTTTTGTTGGTGTAACCAACTCCAAAAGGTTGGAAAAGAGTTCCTACAAAGGTTTTGGACAGTGATTTTAACCCTAACGCCAAAAACCTTAAACCTTACCCTAGCCCCATAAACTAATACCCGGGTATAACCTTCAGGAAGCCTGAACACCCCAAACATTTTTTTTTTAATTTTTTTTTTTTTTTTTTTGGTCCAACTAACTCCAAAAGGTTGGAAAAGAGTTCCTACAAAGGTTTTGGACAGTGATATTAACCCTAACACCAAAAACATTAAACCTTTCCCTAGCCCCATAATCTAATACCTTCAGGAAGACCGAACACCCCAAACATTTTTTTTTTCATTTTTTGTTTCTTTTTGGTCTATCTAACTCCAAAAGGTTGGAAAAGAGTTCCTACAAAGGTTTTGGACAGTGATTTTAAACCTAATGCCAAAAACCTTAAACCTTACCCTAGCCTTAAAATCTAATACCCGGGTATTACATTCAGGAAGCCCGTGAACCCCAAATATTTTTTTTTTCATTTTTCATTTTTTTTTGGTCTAACTAACTCCAAAAGGTTGAAAAAGAGTTCCTACAAAGGTTTTGGACAGTGATTTCAACCCTAACGCCAAAAACCTTAAACCTTACCCTAGCCCCATAACCTAATACCCGGGTATTACTTTTAGGAAGCCTGAACACCCCAAATATTTTTTTTTCATTTTTCTTTTTTTTTTTGGTCTAACTAACTCCAAAAGGTTGGAAAAGAGTTCCTACAAAGGTTTTGGACAGTGATTTTAACCCTAACGCCAAAAAACTTAAACCTTACCCTAGCCTTAAAATCTAATACCCTTACATTCAGGAAGCCCGAAAACCCCAAATATATATTTTTTCATTTTTCATTTTTTTTTGGTTTATCTAATTCCAAAAGGTTTGAAAAGTGTTCCTACAAAGGTTTTGGACAGCGATTTTAACCCTAACACCAAAAACCTTAAACCTTACCCTGGCCTTAAAATCTAATACCTGGGTATTACTTTCAGGAAGCCCGAACACCCCAAATATTTTTTTTTTTCATTTTACATTTTTTTTTGTGTAACCAACTCCAAAAGGTTGGAAAAGAGTTCCTACAAAGGTTTTGGACAGTGATTTCAACCCTAACGCCAAAAACCTTAAACCTTACCCTGGCCTTAAAATCTAATACCTGGGTATTACTTTCAGGAAGCCCGAACACCCCAAATATTTTTTTTTTTCATTTTACATTTTTTTTTGTGTAACCAACTCCAAAAGGTTGGAAAAGAGTTCCTACAAAGGTTTTGGACAGTGATTTCAACCCTAACGCCAAAAACCTTAAACCTTACCCTGGCCTTAAAATCTAATACCTGGGTATTACTTTCAGGAAGCCCGAACACCCCAAATATTTTTTTTTTTCATTTTACATTTTTTTTTGTGTAACCAACTCCAAAAGGTTGGAAAAGAGTTCCTACAAAGGTTTTGGACAGTGATTTCAACCCTAACGCCAAAAACCTTAAACCTTACCCTAGCCACAAAACCTAATACCCGGGTATTACTTTTAGGAAGCCTGAACACCCCAAATATTTTTTTTTCATTTTTCTTTTTTTTTTTTTTGGTCTAACTAACTCCAAAAGATTGAAAAAGAGTTCCTACAAAGGTTTTGGACAGTGATTTTAACCCTAACGCCAAAAAACTTAAACCTTACCATAGCCCCATAACCTAATACCTGGGTATTACTTTCAGGAAGCCTGAACACCCCAAATATTTTTTTTTCATTTTTCTTTTTTTTTTTTTTGGTCAAACTAACTCCAAAAGGTTGGAAAAGTGGTCCTACAAAGGTTTTGGACAGTGATTTTAACCCTAACGCCAAAAACCTTAAACCTTACCCTGGCCTTAAAATCTAATACCTGGGTATTGCTTTCAGGAAGCCCGAACACCCCAAATATTTTTTTTTTTCATTTTACATTTTTTTTGGTGTAACCAACTCCAAAAGGTTGGAAAAGAGTTCCTACAAAGGTTTTGGACAGTGATTTTAACCCTAACGCCAAAAAACTTAAACCTTACCATAGCCCCATAACCTAATACCCAGGTATTACTTTTAGGAAGCCTGAACACCCCAAATATTTTTTTTTCATTTTTCTTTTTTTTTGGTCTAACTAACTCCAAAAGGTTGGAAAAGAGTTCCTACAAAGGTTTTGGACAGTGATTTCAACCCTAACGCCAAAAACCTTAAACCTTACCCTAGCCCCATAACCTAATACCCGGGTATTACGTTTAGGAAGCCTGAACACCCCAAATATTTTTTTTTCATTTTTCTTTTTTTTTTGGTCAAACTAACTCCAAAAGGTTGGAAAAGTGGTCCTACAAAGGTTTTGGACAGTGATTTTAACCCTAACGCCAAAAAACTTAAACCTTACCCTGGCCTTAAAATCTAATACCCGGGTATTACATTCAGGAAGCCCGAAAACCCCAAATATTTTTTTTTTCATTTATCTTTTATTTTTGGTCTAACTAACTTCAAAAGGTTGAAAAAAGAGTTCCTACAAAGGTTTTGGACAGTGATTTTACCCCTAACGCCAAAAACCTTAAACCTTACCCTAGCCCCATAACCTAATACCTGGGTATTACCTTCAGGAAGCCCGAACACCCCAAATATTT